GCGTCTGTCTGTCCGTCTGACTGTCATAAGGAAACTAATTTTATGCCAAAGTTGTAAACTACTTTTTGGGACGTCACAGGCGCGCCTCGACTTACAATATTCCGTGGGTAATTTAATTTCAAGATACAAAAAAAATCCTCCTTTTCAACATGTTGGCATCAATTTCAACACGTTCGAGGCACATGTCAGTAAGCATTTTCATGTCCAAGTTAAGCCTCATCAGGTGAAGTGCCCACTTGTGGCTGCCTCAGCAGTCACAGCAGACACTTGCAGCAAGTGTATTAACATTTTCCTTAACAACAAATTGCAGATGAGCAGCAACACTAGAAGGAGCAAATAAGAAAAAAAACTGCCAGCGGAATGAACTGCTGCGTTGCATGTAGCGAAAAGTACACTTAGAAAAACTTCTGAATAAACTTTATTTCTGCTGAATATGAAAAGCAAATGATTTGTTTCTATGCATTACATATTATATTCATTTATATTTAAGCTCAGATTTTATATAAATAATATTTAAAAACAAATAATAATAATTTAAAATATTTGTAACTCATAAATTGAATAATAAATAAATGAATTTTAAATTAAAATATTTTAAGCCACATTCAACGACAATTTTTATTTGTATTATGAGACATATTTGGTTGCAGTGTTTGTGTCGCTTGAGTTGTATAAGTTTTTGCAAACTAATAAAGTGACATTGCTGAAAATTTCCAGTAAGAGTTTGCATGACTTATACAGTTGGAGACCGACAGATAAAGACACCTAATGATGATGCTGCTGGTGCTGCTACTGATGCTAATGATGATGATGATGATGGTCTCGACTGAATGGCGACACAGTTGCAAGCTCAAATAAATGAAGCAAGTGGCAAAATATAATTTTGGACTGCCAGGCAGGCAGCTGAGTCTGCACTTTGCTCAGCAAGTCTGTCTGTCTGGCTTAAGCACAAAAGTAGTTTCATTGCTAATTTGTTGAGAACGAAAAAGAAGTGCGTCCGTCCCCCATCCCCGCCCCCATCAGCTTGTACAGCAATTTTTGCGCGGCTTCCCTTGATTAAAAATTAAAAGAGCTCTCATATTTTGTGAACGATTTAGGACCAGCACTCAAAATGAATTCAAGGAGCAAGTTGTGGCAGTGCCCGCTACGTGCTTTGCATTCATCAGAATGCGAGGATTCGTTCTCTAGTTCTAGTTTCGGGCGCGATATGTGAATGTGTTTCTCGCTGGGCTGCTATAAATTTAAATCAACTTAGAGACTGCCTGCCTGCCTGTGTCTGCTTCTACGTCAGCCGCTCAACAAATCGATTTTGGCCCCAGTTCACCCTGCTTGCGCTGACCCTTGGCCATAAATTGGTAGCTGGCTAGTTGGCCCTTTTTGCTCTGGGTTTTGCTATTTCACTTTAGATCAAGCAGCGCCTGGTCTGCTCGTCTTTTTTTTTTACAATGTTACAATGTTGGCTTTACAGATTCAACATGACTTAGTGTCGGACTTAAGCGCATTAGGCCGTTGCCAAAGCCCAGAAAGTCTTTTAATGTCTTATCTCTGTGCAAATAAATAAATAGACGAGCAGCAACAGCATAAAAAATGGAAAAGCATCAAAAAATAGACAACATCAGTTGCCCATTTTGAAATTTACATTTCCCTTACCCCCAAATAGCTGTTTGTTGCAGCAGTTAAACAGCAGTATGTGCATTAGCAAACTTTGCTTGCAAATCATACTGCTTACATATCAAATCTATCTTCTGTGTCCGGCTCACTAACTTCCGGCGCAACGGAAACACCAAGTTAATGCTAATCTGCTGAACGCTAAGAGGTTTCCGCTGCGCCATTGTTGAGAGTTAAACAAGTGAAGACCCAGCAGACAGTTTATTATTTGTATTTGTGTATTTGTATTGATGTGCATTCAGCTACAGCGCAGTAATGCAATCGACTAAGGCAATTACTTGCGCATCTGAATCAAGAGGGTGAACATTGAGTAAGCCAACTTGACAGTGGAGAAAAACGTGTCCACATGCATTCGCAGCATTCCACCTGCCATCGGTGCGCTCCACTTCAGTGAGCGCTCCACAAACAACATCAGGTTCCTCTTGAAACTCCGGTTCTGTGTTATCCAATTGCATCTGAAGGCCGCATAGTGAAGATTCCCAAAGCAAATTCCAATGTATGTGCCATAGTAGCAGATGGGAAATAGCTCCAGCATAATACCTAACGCATATAAGAAATAATATGCCTTTGTCATAGGATCGTTAAAGAAAAGTAACGCTCCCGCTACGCTAATACACAAATTCACGCCACTCACAGCGAATTGAATAAGCATGGGAAGTGACATAAGGGACTCATTTATCTGGAATAGCCTGCAATGCATAGAAGAGAGAACATTTGAACATTTGGGACAATAGATTTTGTTTGATATGTTACCCACTCTAGCAGACGCTTGTGATCTGTAATGCACGCCTCCAGTTGATCCTCAGGGTCCTCAGCATCATCAAATCCAACTTGCTCAAAGCGTTCGTAAAGCATCTTAATATGAGATGACATCAGACACAATACAGCGGCGGGGAAACAATCGTTCACATAATTTTGAAGCAGCAGATAAGAAATTCCAATAATTTGATACAAATGCGATAAAAAGTAGTTTCGATTTGATTTTTTCCAATCAAAAGGAAACCAGGCAGGATACATAAGAGCACGTTCTTCCTGAAAGAGAAATGCCAATTCGGCAGCAACTCCAATTGGCAGGTAGATGCCAATGAAGATATATACAATATTCCGTAGCTGAGTTGCCATTTGATTGTGGATGTTTCTCTGTGCCGTTCCTGTAACTCGGGAATCCAGTTGTTGTACAATTTTTTCGATTCGATGGATTTTGTTAAAGTTATAAGCGTATATAATGAACTTTGTCGTACAAGCCAAACAGGTAAGAAAAATTGTCAAGTTTCGGATATTGTCCGTGAGATTAGAGTTGCGGAAAAGACAAATTCCGATGTGCACCGGGTACCAAACTGTGACAACAAGATGCAAAATGACTTTATAAGTGGAGTAGAGTCTTTTCCAGCTTATGTCCTTAGGGTTTATTCCAAGTATTTTCCAGACGATCCAGTGACTCCTGAATAAACTCAAGCTGTTGACTTCCATGGTGTAGTTGTCGGTGCTCTGATTCGAATTATTCTGATTGAGCTTACCTGTGGTGGCAGCACTTTATATTCATTCTATGAAGGTTTCTTTAATTGCTAATGTAATTACATATTTATAAAAAGCGTTTGCGTGGTCCCATCAATTATTATACCCATAATAAAATATTATAGGGTATACTGAATCGATACAAATGTATGTAACATACAAAAGGCGACTTCTCTTATTCCATTATGTAAAATCGTTTCTGATCAGTATTAAATGTTTATTTAAAACGACTGCACAATTAATTATTTGTATTTGTGTATTTGTATTGAGATGCAATCGACTAAGGCAGTTACTTGCGCATCTGAATCAAGATAGTGAACATTGAGTAAGCAAACTTGAGAGTGGAGAAAAACGTGTCAATGTGGATTCGCAGCATTCCACCAGCCATCGGTGTGCTCCCCTTCAGTGAGCGCTCCACAAACAACATCAGCTTCTTCTTGAAACTCCGATTCTGTTTTATCCAATTGCATCTGAAGGCTGCATAGTGTAAGTTCCCAAAGCAAATCTGAATATCTGTGCCATAATAGCAGATGGGAAATAACTCTAGGATAATACCGGCCGCATAGAAGAAATAATATGCCTTTGTCATAGGATCGTTAAACAAAAATATCACTCCCGCTACGCTAATACACACATTCACGCCAGTCACAGCAAATTGAATAAGCATGGAAACTGAAATAAAGGTCTCAACAGTCTGGAATAGCCTGCAATCCATAGAAGGGAGAACATTTGAATATTTGGGACAATAGATTTTGTTTGATATGTTACCCACTCTAGCAGACGCTTGTGATCTGTAATGCACGCCTCCAGTTGATCCTCAGGGTCCTCAGCGTCATCGAATCCAACTTCCGCAAAGCGTTCGTAAAGCATCTTAATATGAGATGACATCAGACACAATACAGCGGCGGGGAAACAATCGTTCACAAAATTTTGAAGCAGCAGATAAGAAATTCCAATAATTTGATACATATGCGATAAGTAATAGTTTCGATTTGATTTTTTCCAATCAAAAGGAAACCAGGCAGGATACATAAGAGCACGTTCTTCCTGAAAGAGGAATGACAATTCGGCAGCAACTCCAATTGGGAGGTAGATGCCAATGAAGACATATACAATATTCCGTAGCTGAGTTGCCAGTTGATTGTGGATGTTTCTCTGTGCCGTTCCTATAACTCGGGAATCCAGTTGTTGTATAATTTCTTCGATTCGGTGGATTTTATTAAAGTTATAAGCGTATATAACGAACTTTACCGAACAAGCCAAACAGGTAAGAAATATTGTCAAGTTTCGGATATCGTCCGTGAGATTAGAGTTGCGGAAAAGACAAATTCCGAGGTGCACCGGGTACCAAACTGTGACAACAAGATGCAAAATGACTTTATAAGTGGAGTAGAGTCTTTTCCAGCTTATGTCCTTAGGGTTTATTCCAAGTATTTTCCAGACGATCCAGTGACTCCTGAATAAACTCAAGCTGTTGACTTCCATGGTGTAGTTGTCGGTGCTCTGATTCGAATTATTCTGATTGAGCTGACCTGTGGTGGCAGCACTTTATATTCATTCTATGAAGGTTTCTTTAATTGCTAATGTAATTACATAATTATAAAAAGGGCTTGCGTGGTCCCATCAATTATTATACCCAGAATAAAATATTATAGTATACTGAATCGATACAAATGTATGTAACATACAAAAGGCGACTTCTCTTATTCCATTATGTAAAATCGTTTCTGATCAGTATTAAATGTTTATTTAAAACGACTGCATAATTCATTATTTGTATTTGTATATTTGTATTGAGATGCAATCGACTAAGGCAGTTACTTGCGCATCTGAATCAAGATAGTGAACATTGAGTAAGCAAACTTGAGAGTGGAGAAAAACGTGTCAATGTGGATTCGCAGCATTCCACCAGCCATCGGTGTGCTCCCCTTCAGTGAGCGCTCCACAAACAACATCAGCTTCTTCTTGAAACTCCGGTTCTGTTTTATCCAATTGCATCTGAAGGCTGCATAGTGTAAGTTCCCAAAGCAAATCTGAATATCTGTGCCATAATAGCAGATGGGAAATATCTCTAAGATAATAGCGGCTGCACAGAAGAAATAATATGCCTTCATCATGGGATCGTTAAACAGAAATAACACTCCCGCTACGCTTATACACACATTCACTGCAGTCACAGCAAATTGAATAAGCGTGGGAACTGAAATAAAGGTCTCAACTGTCTGGAATAGCCTGCAATCCATAGAAGGGAGAACATTTGAACATTTGGGACAATAGATTTTGCTTGATATGTTACCCACTCTAGCAGACGCTTGTGATCTGTAATGCACGCCTCCAGTTGATCCTCAGGGTCCTCAGCGTCATCGAATCCAACTTCCGCAAAGCGTTCGTAAAGCATCTTAATATGAGATGACATCAGACACAATACAGCGGCGGGGAAACTATCGTTTACATAATTTTGAAGCAGCTGATAAGAAAGCCCAATAATTTGATACAAATGCGATAAGTAATAGTTTCGATTTGATTTTTTCCAATCAAAAGGAAACCAGGCAGGATACATAAGAGCACGTTCTTCCTGAAAGAGGAATGCCAATTCGGCAGCAACTCCAATTGGCAGATAGATGACAATGAAGACATATACAATATTCCGAAGCTGAGTTGCCAGTTGATTGTGGATGTTTTTCTGTGCCGTTCCTGTAACTCGGGAATCCAGTTGATGTATAATTTCTTCAATTCGGTGTATTTTGTTAAAGTTATAAGCGTATATTACGAACTTCACCGAACAAGACAAACAGATAAGAAATATTGTCAAGTTTCGGATATCGTCCGTGAGATTAGAGTTGCGGAAAAGACAAATTCCGAGGTGTATCGGGTACCAAATTGTTGAAAGAAGATACAAAATGACTTTATAAGCGGAGTAGAGTCTTTTCCAGTTTATGTCCTTAGAGTTTATTCCAAGTATTTTCCAGACGATCCAGTGACTCCTGAATAAACTCAAGCTGTTGACTTCCATGGTGTAGTTGTCGGTGCTCTGATTCGAATTATTCTGATTGAGCTGACCTGTGGTCGCAGCACTTTATATTCATTCTATGAAGGTTTCTTTAATTGCTAATGTAATTACGTAATTATAAAAAGGGCTGGCGTGGTCCCATAAATTATTCTACCCATAAAAAGATATTATGGGATTTAATGAATCGACACAAATATATGTAATATACAAGGGGCAACTTCTCCTATTCTATTATGTAAAATCGTCTCTGATCAGTATTAAAAGGACATGCTAATCACAGTCAGGGTTTCTTGTTTTGCGAACTGCTACTAATAGATAAACATAACACTTAAACGTATGTATTCAAATCTATGGTATCTCCAAGTCGAGCGTTTTTAATTGGGGCATAATCAGATGCTTTTATAAAAATTAATAATTTAAAACCTGAATTACATTTCGAGTTGGCCTGACCTGTGGCTCTAAAGGCACAAATAGGTTTTGAATTTTGTAGTTTATATACTGATGAAATAAACATTTTTAACGCATAGTTTAATCCAAGTAATTATGTCTATCTTAGGCATTGCATGCCCTTGCAGACCTTGATAAAGTATATTCTTGATCAGCATTACTCGCCGATGTGATATTGCAACATGATCAATGTAAAAGTTTTCACTGTAATAGGCAAAATAAAAAATAGGAAACAGGATATGTAGGAGTGCGAGCATATAAAGAAGAAACGCCAACTCGGCAGTAATGTTCATTTTTTGATTCGAATTGCTTCGATTAAGCTGTCCTAAAATGTCTCCACTTAATACAAGGTTCTGAAATAGCTGAATCCAATTGCAAAATAATTGCCGTTTGCAACGCAATTTATGTACTCAACCCTTTAAAATTGACCACTCGTACTTAATAATGTACTATGAAAAATTCATTTGTGAACTTAACTGCATTTTAATTGCCATGGCCATTAGGTGACGCATATACTCGTTAAAATCGGTTTGATTTATTAGAATAATTCGAAAATATTGATGACAATTTAAACTTAAAGACACAAAGCGATTCACTTATGGAAGTTTTCAAGCATGTTGTCATGAGAACTCTCTGCAAACAAAGTTGTTATTTTTTAAATTAACTTTATCATAATTTGGATAGTTGAAAATTCACAATTTGATATGATCGATAAAAATTAATTGAAATACGAAAGCAAATTTTAGACCACCAAACCCATTCCTTTAAAGTGCTTTGGTTTTATTTATGTATTAAAATGTTATTATTATTATATTGCAGATTAAACTTATCCAACAAGAGCAGCAGCGTTTCCCTAAGCTGTAAAAATATATTGAGAGCATATATGTGTGTCATGAGAGAATTTGTATCTTAATGGGTGATTTAGTAAATTCGTTTAAACAATTTAAATTTCAAATTTAACAAGAGGGAATCATTTTGTATCCTCATTTATTATTAAGCAATCTTAAGCTGGCCCAGATATTCCTTTTGCGCAGCTTTCAATTCTCGTTTTTCTCATATTAAAAGCTTCTGCATTTGATGAAAACGCTTTCCCAACTTACAAATCAAAGAGAGCACTGAAGCTGCATTTTTGAACGTGATGCATTATTGAGTATTGACATATATACAATAAGATTTTGTATGTCATCGCTGTGACCAGCAAGTTTTGATAACGACCCGACAATAAAACTGGAAGTTACTAAGGATTTTATTTTTTATAGCATAGGGAAAAGGGCAACTGCATAACTGCTGCGTGAGCTTAAATGATTGTCTGCATTTTAAATTATATATTTTTTTTTGCGCAATGAAAAAAAATGGTTTTCGCATTTGTATTATGATGGTGAACGATGAGAAGGCAATCTTGAAAATAGAAAGAATCTATTAACATGGATGAACAGCATTCCACCAGCCACTGCTTTAGTATTGGTCTGCTCTTAAAACTTATCTCTTTCAGTCATTAATGTGCAATACTATATACGAAGTTGACTTGGATTCGTTTATCTTCCTGTAGATACCTTCAAGTGGTTTTCAGACTGTTCGTTAATGAAACTCTTGAATAATGAATAATAACAATTGGTTTGTTCTTGTCCGACGTTTTGCTGCTGATTGAGCGATTCAGTGGCGTGTCGATTATTAAATACTTATTTTCAAATAGCTTTTAAATTGCCTCTATAAATTAAATAATTATAGGTACGCGTTCGCGTGGTCACATCAATTATAATAATGACAATTAACATACAGAGTGTAACGGCTTCGAATGAATAAAATGTATCTAATTGGATTCGTTAATAAACTTGATTCAGGACGCTGTTGCCTTCTTAATACGTTTAAATTATTCTCTTTACTTGCCGTTGCAGAAATCGGTTTGCCACTTCTGTAGAACACCCAAGGCAAAAACATAAAATAAGAGGATACTTAATGTCGAATAGCATTCATCTGTCATGATTAATGTCTACGAATTGAAATTGTACTGGCTTCAAGGAAGTTGAGTGTGTTTATGTGTTTTCTTTGTGTTTGAGATAATGCCTGATAAGACTTATTAATGATTTACTTTTGTAGTACGCGACTAGTATAAGACTGTAACATAACATCTGTAACGTAACATGCAACTATGCACTTAACATGTAATATCGATATCGATCGATATCGATTGTGTGATCAACAACTTGAAGCAGAAGACGATGTGAATCGTTTTGAATAAAGTTAAGTATGCAGACGAGTTTTAGAACAAATACAATTACTTTTGACTGACATGCTTTCATTTTAGAAAGTTAATTAAGCACTTTATTTCAAGCGTAAATTACAAAAAGGCTGTAATCCTACCATATTGCAAAACATTTGTAGCACAAAGTGCATATGTGAATGACAGACAGAATGATGTGGCATAATTGCAGGTTGAAATGTTACAAAATGACAAGAAATGTTTTTGATAATTAATACAGCTGACCTGTTTTCATTGTCAGCGGTTTGGTTGCGTGTCACATTTTGCAGTGCGTTGCGTAAAAACGAGCTACACAAATGAATTTTCATATATTGTCGATTCTGCATTCATTTTGACTTTGCTAATAATAAATCGAAACGGCCAAAACAGTTATGACGCTTTTAATAACTTCATGGTTGAATTTAAAAGTTGAACTATGCAGTTGGTTTCATCGAAATGGCGTTGATTGTTCATGCAATTAGCATGTTCCATACAACACACACACATTCACACACTTCCATAACAAGTGCGTTGTGTTGACCAAAAACATGTTGCGAATTTGCGGGCAGACCCATCAATTCTTGCGTACATAACACAATGGCAACTTGCCAGCTGCAACAATCAATAAGCTACACCAATTTCACAATTCGCATTTTCCGATTCCCTGAACGAGCTTTTAATTTGTGTGCCGTTGCATTTTCGATTATTTTTTGGGTATGCATCACGCTGGCCTTAAATGCTGCACAATTCAATTCAGAATCAAATTACTCGCGATGCTTTACGCTGTCCTCTGGTACCAAATTGTCTTTAAAATACTGCTATAATTAGCTTTAAAAAAAACGATCATAATGCAAAAACTAACACAGCCCACATATTTTAGCTAAGTGAAAAGATTGGAACATTAAAGAGGTATCTTAATTTATTTAAATTATAAATTGCTCTATTATTATTTGTTTCCTAAGCTTAATTCAAAAAATATGTTCTAAGTGATACATTTTATAGGCTGCAATGATGAAGAAAATTATGCAAGGCACATTTTATGGTTGAGCGGCTGCAAGGAACGTGGGAGCGTGCTGCAGTATGAATGGCCAACGGTGGAAAGCGCAGCAGCTGCCACAGCAAAATGAGCGCGACAACAATGTAATTATCATAATTAAAGGGCCGCCCCTGTTCTTGCCTGGCCTTGTGTCTAAACAGCACCCAAAAAAAAATAAAACTGTCACAGCCGCCACAAAATTTGCTATTATAAATTCAGCCACCGCCATCAACTACAACAAGTAAGAACGCCGTAGTCGAGTGAGCTTGACGACTACGCGATACCCTGAATCCAGATTTTAAATATATTATATTTTTATAGTTTTGCAGACAAATTTCTCTTTATAAAGCTTTGATTATCCTGCTACGCCTCGCGGTTGTTGGATCTACACGGACTATAAAGTGGGTCGGAGATGCTTCCTGCTTGCCTGGTACGGAACCATTTTTATCCATTTTGGATGGGTTCAGGGTATAAAAACAACACCAGCAACAAAGATGACAAAAACTCTGCAAATTGTGGGACAAGAGTCGCGCAGCGTGGCAGCTTCTGCCGATGCCGACTGCAGCTGACTGTATAATTGAGGTAGTTCCCTAATTGTGCAACGCTGCTCATTAATTGTGTCTGTAACGAAGCTCGTTTAGTAGTTTACAAGTCCCCTCGACCCCAGTCACCCCCCACTCCAACCTTCTTAGAGAGCTGCATCCCCTGTTACAAATTGCCAGCTGCAACACTTAACTCGATTGTGACATCCAGGCTGATTATATCATGCTTTAATTATTCCACTTGCAATGCGAGCTGAACTTGTGGCATTGTTATTGCAGCGATTTGCTGTTGACGCTGTGTGCAACTGAAATGCATTCTTATCAGTTCTTATCAGTGGGATCACTATTCACCACGCCGAACATTGCTCAACAGCTGTGCCTGTTGGCTCCCAAAAATCTGCGCATGCCTTGGAAGCAGAGCGAGAACATCGAATATTATTCTTAGTCGGCATCACAGAATGATTTTGATTTCAAGTAGTTAATTTCAGAGTCCAAACCATGTTAAAAAATTTATTTTTGCTGGTATTCGGTTCAGTTTGAGCTTTAAAAAGTATTTTAACCCACAATTATGTTTTAAAATTTAAATGGAACATTAATCTAGATGCCAATCGATTGTCAATAATGTATTGCTTTCGAAAATTGTATCAGTTTTTATAAAGTTATGGCAGAAAAAGAAATTTGGATCGGTTTCCAAGTGGATTTTTTGGAATGTGCCTGTCAATCCAAACATATTTTTTACAATTTAATTGCAGTATTATTCTTCATGCAATAACATAAATATTATGGAATTTTTTGTATTATATTTAAAAAAAAGATATATAATTATTAAAGCCACCGCCATGCCAATGCACGCAACAGTTTACTTGTAAGCCATTAACTTCTTATCAGTGGCCAATAACATCGCACTTCCAGTTTAATCAAAAACATCGCAGGACAAATATCAAGCGAGAGAGAGAGTGAGAGAGAGGAAGAGAGAGAGAGAGAGATGTCACAATCTGACGAACACACTAACCTGCCTCAATAAAAACAGTCCGTGCTTTCACTTTTAGCCCATTCAGGCATCGGCTGCTGCTCCACAGACCCACATGGTGAAGCCGAGCGTCTCCTCGTTCAGGCTCGTGTTTGCCGTGGTGAATTTCCGTGCACGGCTTTTGCCGCGAACGAATCTCAGACATGGATTTTAACCAACGATTCGCAGTACGTTTTGGAACGCGTCGCGTCGTGGTTGTGTGATACTCGAGCCAGCCATCGGGAGTCCAGCGTTCAACTCACAGTGGGCCAGAGGCTCAGACCCTCACAGACCGACGAGCAACAAAGGCGCGAGATTTGAAAATCAAACCTGAGTGCACAAGTGAATGATTCAAAATAAATAAGTGAATATTTACAAAAAAATAAATGAATAAAATATAAAACATGTGTGAAATATAAATGGCGATGACAATGCCTAAAGATCGAGCATAAAAATAGTTGTATTATAGTTTTATGTCAATCTGAGAAATAAATAATTTAATGGGGTTTTAAACAACTGCGGCAGAGGTAAGTTACTGTGTTTTGATAACAGTTTATATCTGTTTCAAAAATTTAAGAAGCTCAGCTTTAAGAGCCTTAAGTCTCTTTTAAGTTCCATAAAATATTTGACGATTAAAGCAACACGCAGAATCAATCACATCAAATAAATACTTTAAATTAGAAAAAAAAACGCAAAAAATCAGATAAGTAAACATATGTGGCACTTTAACTTTGTTAAGCTCTTCACTGTTGATTGAACAATTTACATACGCAAACAGTGTCAGCAAGTGGAATTTGCAGCTAAAAGTGAATCGATGTTTTTGTTTTTTTTTTTTTGTGTAGAGTCCCATAAATGCAGACATTCGACATGCAGGATCGTATGAGTAATGCAATTATTATGCATCCGCTGATGCCAATTCAATTGAACAAGGATCAGCGTGTGGAGCCAAAGAACTCATAATAAAATAATATCCTGCGAATGGCAGTTGAGCTTAACCCCATTCAACCCAACTCACTGAGCTGCACAGCTTTAACGTAGCGTGTAAGTGCGCTGTTGTTGTTCTCTCTTTTTGTGGCCGTTGCTGCTGCACGTTGCCACGGCCAGCCGCCCCCATTTCACGCCCCCAGCAACAGCATCTCAATAGTGGTTTTTATAGGGTAGACATGTTTTGGTTCAATTTAATTGAGAGCGCATAAGCTGCAGCATGTGGCATAAACCTAATATAATTCGAAGAAACTTTAAGAATATGCAGGACATTCTAAATAAGATTACAGCATTACCCTCAACTATATACATTCTTACAGGAATTGTAAATTGTTATTATAAATGCTCTGCCAAGCTAAGAAAAATATGTTCACACATATATTTTGTATTAAACTGAATATTGTACAATTGGTCAAATTTAGTTTACGTTTTAAATTTCTTAACTAAATTCTGAAATGTGGAAAATTGTCAACGTTCTTTTTTGGTTGATGCTTTTAAAGCAATTTTATTTTAAAGTAGAGATATAAGCATTAAAGATGTAACTATGGGATTAATTTATGCATATATGTATAAATATTGATATATTGCTATCTTTGGCTAGATTTATTTATTCAAATTCCATCTGTTTGGGCTGCTTTTTAAAGTGTTCACTTAAAGTGTATATAAATTGCAAATAATTTGCATACATCCGTCTGGGTGTGTGTTTTTTGTTGGTATGAATGCTTTTGGGTCGAAGTAAATTCCATTATACGTCACGTAATTTTTCGGATACACTTCTAAAGTGATGCTCAAAGAGCACAATTGCGTTTGCCAATTGCCAGTTGCACTTTATGCCACCCCCGAAAGTATAAAGGAAAATGCCACGGCCAGAAAAAATGAGACCGCAGAGAGTTAATTTTCAAGAAGCAGGCAAGACAGATCTGGGCACACAGCTCGAGCGTGCCAAGTCAATTAATTAACAGGGCCAGACGCAGAAAGGCGTCCAGAAAACACAGCCAGAAAGTCAGCGAAAGCAAAAGCGAAAGCATTAAAGTCAGATCTTAACAGTCGGAGACAGACTCAGGGGCAGACGGAGTGGGAGAGTCAGAGTCCTAGACGCAGCAGGCAATAGAAACAGAAAAGAAAAATGCCTCATACGAGAGAGGCATTGGCCCCATGCCTCCGGTTAAAGTTGGGCTCTGTCTAGGGGCTTATATGTATGCATTGGTGGCTGAGGCTCTGGGGGGCCACAATGGGCGCCAGACGAAGTGTGAAATTGTATTTGGCTGCCGTTGAGTGCGTTTTTCAAACTTTTGCCCACATTTTTTGGCTACGCATTCTCCGCCGTTGTTAGGTAAATTAATTAAACTCTTTTTGTTTGCTCAAAATTACAATTAACGCCTAATTAATTTCGCAAATTTCTTTCATCAGTCGTCGCTCTCTCCTCCCAGCTCCCTCCCGCTCCACTCCACCGCTCCCATCGCTTTCGTTCAGGACTATCATGCTTTGCTGGGCTGCAAAAGAAAAATTAGCGACCAGGCAACAAGGAAACCGGAAATGGACATATTTAATGCCATTAAGGGGATTTGTCTAACTGTGTGTTTAATAAGAGTGCGATTGTGCGTTAGTGTGGGTGTGTGTGTTTATGTGTGTGTGTGTGTGTATACATAAGTATGCTCATAAGTTAAAACGAACATTCTCACAGAATAAATAATTATACGCTTCATTCGACTTAATTGCATCCGCCGCTGATTCTGATTATGCTTTTAACTGCGAGCGTTTTGTTGCACGCACAAATGCGAATGTGAATTTGACTGTGAACGATGCGGCACCTATGCTTAATCACGAGTCTCATTTGTGCACCCCTTCCACCCAACACACACAGTAATTTACATACAACTAGGGCAACTGCAACCAGCTAATGAGTTAAAAGTGCGCTTCTGCTGTTTGCATGCTAATTTAGTCAAATTTATGCAAATGACTGCACTTTCTAGTCGACCTATTCAAATGCATTTGCAACGCAATTGCCGCCTTTCCGAACAATGCTTGCCACCTTGCCCCCCGTCAAACAGCATTGGGAACAACAACAAACAGCTTCGAAGAAGCTAACAAGAAAATGCCGGAACTGTAGTGGCTCCCACTTGGCACTTGTTTTGCTCTTAGAATTTCGTTGTTATTTATTGTATGCCAAGAAAATGAAAGTTTTATGCAGAGCCAGTGCTGGCCAGTGCTCAGCTTTTGGCATTTGGATATGCTTTAATATGCTTCAATTTGCCCGGCCATTTCAGAAAAAAAAGTTGTTTTAGTTGGCAACACACACAGTGCAGACTCCTGGGGCTATTGCGATTATTTAACTGGTTCTCAGCTGGGCTGTCAAGTTGGCAAAGTTGTTGTTGATTTTGCTTTATGTTTGGTTTTTGTTCGGTGTCAGGGTGAGGTGAGAGAAAATTTGCATAATTATTTCATAACTACCTAATCGCCAAACAGAATTATGTATACGCCGTGTGGTCGCTTAATTTAATTATTGTTTTATGTAAGCGCCTCAAATTGCTTACATAAGCAAATGTAATTAAAACTGGGTTAAATCGGTGCATCCATATGGAGTGTAGGCAAATGTTGAATTCCATTCAATTCTTCACAAGTGTTTCGCAATTAACTTAATGCACACTAATTAAGGATGCGAGTGGAAACTTGGCCCGAGTCACCACCCACCATCCACCATCCACCATGCAATTGTTGGAATAATAATTTAAGCGCAACTTCTGTGCAGATTACAGAACAACAGCCATCAAATAAATAGCAGGCTTATGCGCCTCGTGTTTGTATAGTTCTTCGTATTGTATTTACGCTTTTTAATTAAATACAAATAAAACATGGCGTGTTAGGAACACACTGATTATACTTTGCAAATGCAATTAATTAACAACTGTTCATGGCTCATTTGGGCTAGAATGATTACCTGAATTGGAAACGATGCCGCAAGGCAATCAATCTAATTGACGCTGCTACTCCAGTTCGCCTAGATCCCACAGCGACCAATTAAAAATCGAAATTTCAGTTAAATAGAGTCACAGCGATAAGTGGAGGTCAGCCATTTGGCCAACTGGTCACGCCCCCACGATTACTAAACGATTTAGTTATTTTGTCACCAAGTTAAGCACACACCCTTCAATATATTACAAACACCCACTAAACGCTCAGTTTAAGGCACACGCACAATGCACAACACGCTATAACCCCATAAATATATATTTATATATATATAAGTATATATTTTGTTTGTGGGTGGATATATGTGGGTGTCCTTCACAGTCAATTAGTTATGAGTGCTGCGTGTTAATCATTAATTAACTTGCTTGATTGTGGCTTGACGAACATATCTATTATTAAACAGTCTTAACGAGCTTAATGCCCAAAATGATTGACAGCCATCCGCCAGGAGTTATCCATCTTATATACTTTGACTTTTGCCCTGGTTTTCAATACGTCTAAGCACATCAAAGTAGATTAAATCATCAAATTTTCAATTGTATTTTTGTTGCACTTACTGTATTTTTTTTTTTTAATTTTTCTTAATTTTTAAGTTTCATATGGCATCCATATTCTGGGGATATTTTGATTAAAGTAGTTAATTTGTAATTCATTCATTCATTGATTTACAATCGTTGACAGCCTTAAGAACTTCGAAATGTGGGAATTCTCGACTGTAATTTACTCTGTATCCACAATATTAATTGAAACCCTTTTTTTTATTACGAGAGTGCCAACAGGAAGTCATCCGTAGTTGAGTAAACCAAAATTGGTTGGGTAATATATTTCAAAATAACATTTCATATAAAAATCAAAATACGCTTTTAGCATTTGAAAGCAGAGGCCGAAAAGGGAAACATTGATTCCAGGAATTTGTCCTTTTTACTGAAATTAAACTGTCATCGCGTTGATTTGGACGTCTATTCAATCTTGCCGACGGCCTTTTGAAGTTTTTCAGATAAATGTCGTTATTGCTGCTGTTTTTTCTCTCTTTTTTTTTTTGTCTGTTTGAAATGATTTTTTTTTTGCGTCTTTCTCTCTGATTACGTTGATTTCGTTCTTGGCGCAGGTGATTTGGGTTCAGTTGAGTTTATTTATGGCGCAGTGCTTTTATGGTCGCACCTTGATTGAACATCAAGGAGAAAGCAACAGTTTCCCTCAGACTTATGAAAACAAAGGGCCAACTAGTTTCATTGCTCCCTCCACTCAAATGACAACGATAAAGTAAATTGTTACGGTTGCTCTGCACTACGGACCGCAACTTGTTTGTCCAAGTGTCGTTCCCAAGTTTTGATGCAAGGGTTTCCGCCGGTACACTTGGAAAAAACAAGTGCCCATAAGCATTTAAAGATCGCTAGACTTTAGCGCCAAGGACAGCTCACCTCATGTGCATATCTAGAACTGAAGTCATAGCTTCTTACAACTTAAGGATAAATTATTGCTAAATTAGATTAAATTCATAATTATTAAACACAAATATTAATCGATACCACAATAGTGTCTTATACAATTTTACAGTGAATGATTATTCGCAATCGAAACCTTCTTGAACTTCAAACACATTTTCTGCTTTTCAGGGTAATTTTGATTACAGATCTAGTTTGTAAATACCAGCAGTGATTATTTTTCAGAATGTATCTTTGCAAGAGTGAGGTACGGCGACAGTTGTCTGTTTGAGCACCCAAGTTTTCGGCTTACCAAACGGACCAGAAACTGCAGCTTTGTCTGGCTCGACTGCTAAACTGTGATCTGGTGCTGCTTTCGAAGCGTGTAATTTATCCCTTATGCCTTTAAAGCCTTGGCCGTCAAGTGTCAAGGTTGAGACCACAGACGGCAACATCTCAAACTTTTACATATTGTGTGTGTGTGTAAACGTATGGTTTGCATTCTATTGTATTGTGCCAGCACAAAGGCCGACAATAAACGTGACGCGACCGTTCCACCGACGCTCGACTAACTGACAACTCGTGCGTGTTTTACTGAGGCGGTGGTGCTGTAGTCCTGTGCTGACAATAGGGGCCCTCAGGCCAAAAAAAAAAAAAACAAAAAACTCTGAGCAGAGTTTGGCGCGGTGGCAATGAAGCAGTTACGACCCCGTTCCCCTTCGCTTACCCTCTGTGACCCACACGATATGATTGCTGCTCAGTCATTTCTTGTGTGTGTGTGTGTGTGTGTGTGCACATCATACACGTGCATGTCCATTGTGCGGCTCTCATTGCCAGTGTTGTTATATTATTTAATGTTTGCCTTTCAGAATAATGCGTCTGTTGTCGACGACGACGACGACGAGCAGCACTGTTTATTTTATGTGTGCTTATTGTCGCCAGAATTTCGGCCTGATGGCTCAACATTTTGCTGCAGCTTGTGTTAATTTACGACATGACCAGCAATAAAAGTAAAACCTAATGGCCAAAACCCCCGTGGACTGTCATGAGTATATAGCATCAACTCTTATCCCATCGGCTGCCAGTTAATGTACTGCATATTTGTATGTCGATGGGTCGGTTGCGTTTGACAGTATCGCAAGGTGACATGCTCGCTAGAGCGCTTATGAATATTCAATTTTGTATATCCACTCGTACTCGTACACACACGTGAACTTACACACACTCTCAAATCCACTCGCTGGAACGCTTAAAACACAGCAGGCGTGTTTCATGTTCAAGGCTTGATTCTCCCCTGTCGCGAGCATTGATTGACGTGAGCAGGAAATTGAGGAAATTAAAATGTATGCTGCATACTTTTAGGCTTCGCGGTTTAAGATTGACATCAAAACAGTCCTGCGGTAGAATTTAACGAATTCCCCACGAATAAAAACCAATTAACCAATTGGATTTTATTATTAAGACATGACAAAAGCACACACACACACACACACACACACACACACACAAACACATAAAAGCTCGTCAAACTCTAAACAGCAATGTCATAAATCACGCCAGACCACTGAATATGTATTCGTAAGCGAGGGGAAGTGTTATTGATGAGCGTTTAACTTTGGTGATATAAGCTGTGTGTGCTTTAAAATTTCATGTTGCAGTCAAGTCCAAAAATGCTGGCGTCATCGCAAAATCACACACATCCACCAACAAGTCCACACACAGTCAAGTTTGTGTACATATGTTTGTGTGTGTTTCTTGGACTTCTTGTAGTCCTTTGTATTGTTTGCCGATAATTTACTTAATAGTTCCAGTTGAGACTTTGTTTGTGTTTACGCGCGCTATTTAGTTTTATTTTCATCGCATAAACACATACGTATACACACATACATTCACACACACACGCACACATACACACACGCATTCAAGGAGACCGGCGGCCATTTTGCATATTGCGGATTGGCCTTAAATATAAAATGGCAGCCCGCTTGCCTGATGAATGCCGGATTCTTGGTTTTGGCTTAGAAGGATTTGGCAGACGAATAAGCGTATCTGGTCTGGTCAATAAAGTGCGACGTCATGTTTTATATTAGCTCTTGTTATTGAGGCACGCCGGGTGCCATAAATTAAGTCAAATTCCATTTGACTGGCTTCTGTAAACTTTTCTGCCCTCGCTGTTGTCATTTATGACTACACGCTTTTACCATTAAGAGTTTTGTTTTTATTTTTTTTTCAGCAACTTGAAAACATTTGACAAACTAACGTTGCAATTCACAAAAACTACAGCCAAGCTATCATGGCGTATGAGTTATGTAGCTGGCTGCATGTATTTTCGTTGTCTGGCATAGATTTATAGCCTCAGAAAATGTCTGACAACTTAGTCAATCCTAAAAACTATATTAAAAATATAAGAAATAATTTGTTGAAAGATATAATAATATTTGCACCAGCATCGGCAGCTTGTCGCTTTAAATTCCATTTAATATCATCATCTGTGCATACTACAAGAACATCATGCAAATTGAAGGCTTTAGTCACATTCATGGTGGTTAGTGGCCTCGCCTCTGCATCCGTCCTTTAGTCATAATGAGACATTAGGATATTGCATTTGACAGCAACCGCAAAATGCTTTGACAGCGCTACAAAATTGAAGCTTACATTTTATGAAAATTATGCGCATAATAAATAACCAGCGGTTGTGGTTTTTCGGCCTCTTTCTCTCTCTTTCTCTCTCTTTCTCTCTCTCTCTCTCTCTCGCTCTACACTTATCTATATATTTGTTTTGACATTTTCAAATCAAAATTGAATTAATTATTGCGGTGGTGTACCACAAAAAATATATATTCCACAATTACGTAGATAAAATATTTATGAAAAGGCCTATTTAAAACATTAATTCGAGTATTTTGCCTAAAACAATAATACTTTGAAAGTATTGCAGCACCTTGCATTTGCTTTTCTTGTATTAATTTGGGAATTAAGCCACAAAAGCTGAATAAATAGCAGCAAATTTTGCGAAATAAAAAATGTAACAGAACGATAGGATAAAAAGATAGCTTTTTCCCTTAATACTGTATCCTCATTGCCCTAAGAAAAGCAGCTTACATTAAAACGTCGCCGCTTATAGTTTTATCGCTGTACAACAACGGTCATACAAATAGCACAAGAGAAGAAAAAATTGCCTTAATGGTTTCCACAATTTGGCATGCAACTGTTTATTGTCTTCCTACACTTAATTTAAAGCCATTATGCGTTCGGTTATCTTTGGTACGTGGGTTACAATTTATGATTTTAAGTATTCCCAGAAATAGCATATGTTGTTAATGCGGGTTATTATGTAAAAGCACAGATGGGGCAATTATATGTTGCTGTTCTTGATGTTGATGAGGCAAGAAACAGGTGCACAGCATAACAGCCCACAGTTGTTTATTTTAAGTCAAAGCCGAAGACGAAGTCGAAGCCAAAGCCAAAGCCCTTGGGCTATGCCTTTGAGCTGAATAATTGAATGTATATATGTCGCACTTACAACTAATGAACATCGACACGTGCCATTTAGCGGGCCATGCCGCAGAATTGGCCGTTGCCCACGCAACGCCCGCAAATTTAGGCAATAGCTGGAGTAGAGAAGTACACGTGTGTGTGTGTGTAGCCAGGGGGAGCATGTGGAGAAAGGGGTGCAGAGTTTGCTTGTATTGGCGCGTTGGTTGGCTGGTTGGCTGGTTGGCTGGCTGCCGCTGCTTACTAATGCCCGTAGTAAATATCAGTTGAAATAAACAGCTTACCTTTGGCTTAGGCAATGGTTCTGATTTGGGAAACTGCTCTATTTTATTGCCATTGCGCGTTTAGCATGTGGCACTTTTGCGCTTGCCAGTCGCCAGTCGCCAGTCTCCAGTCTCCAGTCGCCAGTTGCTGGTGCCAGACTCCCGTTTGCTTGTTGTTGTGTGCTCGCAATTTATGCGCTCACGTATAAATAGAATTGATTTTGCTTAAGCATCGCATATTTTACCTGCACCCAGTGATTTAATGCCTGGCGACATAATCTGCCATTTGGCGCTCGGCTTCGCTGGCGTCACGTACAACTTCGCACACATCATCAGCATCAGCACCAGCATCACTTTGCTTCTTATCCCTGTGCCCATGCCTGTTCCCGTACTCGTGCCGTGCCGTACCGGTGAGCTCTGTATAAATCCAAATCCATTTTCACCGAATTCCATTACATGCGTGCGCCTGTAACAGGAGAACAGAGCACAAGACGCCCAAAAGTATGCTATTTCGGTTTTCTCGGTACTAAACAAAAGCAATTATGTAGAAACAATATCTCAGTCTCGACACGCTCCTCTTAAGTGAATTGTGCGCGTTGAATCAATTGTTTATTTTTTTTTCTCTCTTATCAGGCCCTCCATCAGAATAAACCAGATAATTTTTTTATATATATATATATAAATTCATCTACATATGACGAGTCTGTTTTGCACAACAATTTTTCAGCAATTTTCCGCATACTTTACTTTCAACAGTTGTATAATGATTGATGCATAAGGCTGGCTTTGAACTTTTGCGAGCATATTAAATATGCATTTCACGTTGCTCACAAGCTTCATCCAAATGCCAAACTAAGGGAATACAAATGACGCACGAATAATCAGGCAAACAAATATGTATCCATAAATACCCAGACTCATACGCATTTCTCGTAATCACCTAGCAATCAAATGAAAGCTAAGTTAAACCCATATTTTACATATAGAATATATATATGCCAATATTACACATTTTCTAACATCAAAAGCTTGATTAAGTGGGACCTCTCCATCCATATCTCAGACTCTCTGTCTGTGCCTCTCTCCCTTTCCCCCGCACTCACTCCGTACAAAATTAAAAGCAATATTTCGAATTTATGGCTTGCAGCTAATTCCGATTAATCAAAATTTTGCTTTAAGTAAGAAATGTTTTCCATACTCAGCACATTTAATATAAATATAAATCAGCGTTGTGGCCAGAACTATTAAATATGAAAGGAAAATAAATTCAAGTTCGGATTTTGCTTGGCTTGAGCAATTAATAAATAAAAATTGGCTAATACAGTATTCATCTGATCTTTTGCTTGATATCTTTCACAAAATGAATGTGGTCCTCATCTGATCGCTGATACGCTTTTGAGACTTCATCGAGATTAAGTTAAGTAAGTAATACTTACTGTATTTTATTTATACAGACTCTAGGGTATCTTTGAGTCAGGCAACCTCGACACGACGAGCACACTCACTTATATTTATGTAGATCAGCACTTTAAAACACCTTTAAACTATAAAGTTGTACTTGCTCGCACGTGCGGCGAACTTTCAGTTTTGTTTTGTTTTGTTTATATATTATTATACAGAATAAAAATTGTTTAAAACTGTGAAAAAAATACACACACAAGTATGAAAATCAACTCGAACTGCTCGCGCTCGAAATATAAATTTTGAGTATTGCCCAAGCGGCACATCATTTGTGCAATTTGCGTGCGTTTTATGCGATTTTTGTTACTAGCGTTAGTGGCCATAAAGCACACACACACACATCCACACACACACACACACATATAAATAGACACACACACACACACACAGAGACACACTCTCGTGCGGAGCTTGTATGAGCATGTTTGTCGCAGTGTTTGCAACATTTATATGCAAATTGAAAGCATTTCTTAAAGCACATGCAGTATACATAAATATATATGTATGTTTTTATGTGGAAAGTCAGGGGCAGATTGTTGTTGTGGCTTCTGCAGGTATCATAGGAAAATATGTTAGGTTTTTGGCTTCCGCACATCCGACCACAAAATAACCATTGACATAGATGGCAGTGTGCATATAACCATTAGTTTTTGTTGAGAGTTTGCTGTTGGAAAATTAATTAATACCATTGTTTGTAATGGTATGTGACGAAATATTAATATTCGATTTTTACAGCATTTTTTGTGATGTTCTTCATGAATGCCTGCCACTATTTGCATATATCCATCTTCTCGCTCCCCCACTCAGTCTAGCTCACGTTTCGATTCTATTTTGGCTGTATCTTTTCCTGCTGATTGTCAGCCAGCCATCAAGCAAGGAAAGCGAAAAAAATTATCCAATTTAAAAGTCAAATGTCATTTTTTGTTTGCCGCCATCGCCATCACATTATGTGAGTTACCTAACAAAGGTGCTATTGATGCTGATGCTGATGCTGATGCTGCTACTGTTCCGGATGCGTTAATGGAGATGCGGAGCAGAGACGACGAGGCCCATCTATGCAAGAGTCAAGACGAGTCGAGTCTTGTTGAGTGTGACGAAAGAAAGCCGGAACGATTTACCCGCGTGGCATGAGACATTTCATTTTGCGTGGCAACGACAGCAAATAAAACACCAACAAAAAGAATTACGTGAATTTCGTTTAACAGAGCAACTTTGTCACCAGAGTTTGTTAATGTGTTTGCATAAATTTCAAGCAAGAGGACCAAAGTGAAAACTTGGCCTGTATATAGTACACAAAAGTGTATAAGTAGTAAGCACTCGCATCTGGCCAGAGAAACAGAGCCGCCATCTGCCACACGCACATACACACATCCACACTCACACGCACACACACGCACACACACACGCACATACACACGCACACACACACGCACACACACGTCCACACTCATACTCGCAAACAGTTGTTGGCAGTTGCTTGTCAAAGTTTTCGGAAGCCAAATCGTAATCAACGTTGCATGACAAACTCGAATGATTCAATTAGTTTAAGTTTGGCTTGGCCCTGTTGGCATTTTCGTTGAGCAGTGGGTATTCTCATATGTTAACTCTTCTTGCCAAGCTTCTAATATCCATATATCGATTAAGTACACATATCTTAGACATTATCCATTGCAAGTATGGCTGCAATTCCCTGCCCATTTGCAACTCTCATTTGACTTGGTTTTGAAATGGGATACCTGCTGTGTGGATAAGGGTTAAGAGCACATCTTTTGGCTCCTTGGAGCGGTCTGGGTTTGTCTAAAAGTCTGTTCTTGTTTTAGTCGCAATACCCACGTGTTGCCCTTGTCGCAATTTTGTCGTTACCCCTAATGCATTACCGCTGTCAGGGAACCATTCCGGAAACGTAGCTTCCCAAAACATGACACGAGCGACTGAATTGCATAAATATAAGGATGAGGGCATGAAGCGGGGATATATTTAAACAGGTTAGCAGACTCTTTTACCGTGCTAGCAGATATTTATTGTACAACTCAACCATACATATTTAAAGAAAAATTTAAATAACTACATCCTTAGAGAAAGTACCTTGCTGAATCTAATAGACGTGTCCTTATGTCGATTTTTTGTCTCTCATTGAAAGAATCGTTTGCAAATTCAATTTTATTTATTATTAATATTGAGTTTTGGAATCCAATCTCTGTCTGGGTGTGTGATTGTTTTTTTTTTTAAATCATAGACCTTATTTCCACCAGTTTGAAGTGTCATGAATATATATCAGAATATTTTCACTTGTTTCCATGATTAGATTGCGCTACACAAACCCAAACAGAAAAATATCAAATTACCGCTTTTGGTGTGGTTTGTCGTGGTCGACTTCAGCTTGAATTCGGGAACATATCAAATATTTATTAGATTTTTGCATTACAATTCATATGAGCTCAAAGTGAGTGTTTATACGATGAAAAGCCTCGAAATACAATACATATTGCATGAAAGTTGATTGAGTTTATGCAAAAAGAAAAAAAAACCAACAAAAATAAAAACCATTCAATTGCAATTCGATATAATTCAAAATAAATTTAAATAAGTAAATAAATGCAAAATAAATAAGGGCTAACATAATCATTGCCAAGTAAATAAAATATAAAAAAAACACTTTTACATACAAAAATTAATATTCAAGATTGAACGCCAAATATCGCTCAAAGTTAGCAGCCCAAAAATTGGATATCAATTTCTCTTAATGCTAGGAACTGGTTTCTCTATTTATTTCACACACACACACACACACACACATATATATATATATATATACTCAGACACACAAGGAAGTATGTGTGCACATTTTTATGTGTATATGTTCCTGGTGCTGTTGTTTGTGTCGCCTTGGCGCAATTTTTATGGATCATAAAACCCGAAATTAGAAACTGCCATCACACACAGTCACACACAGTCACACACACACACACATTCTCTCACACTGGCTCATAGAGCTTTTATGCTGTGTTCATCCCAGTAAAGCGTGAAAATCTGGCAGTCCACTGTAAGGAATAGCAGAAGCAGCCACGAAGTGGATTTTCTTATTAGTATTACATTTAAATGGCATATAATTTGTTTGCGTCATAATATTTATGTGGGTTGTGTTTCGCTACCCGGAGCAGTTTGTTTATTTATGTTCACTTGGCTGCCGCTTCAAGGAGCTCGAAGTGGGCAGCTCCGGAGACGTCAACACATCGGCCGTAAACAATTCGTATTTGTAACCATGGCTTTGCAGATTCGCCTGTGCTATGCCAAATCCCTCAGCTGAAAATCATAATTTTAACTTCTTAGAAAATTGTGTATAATTTGTAAGTTCCACAGTAATGCAGCGCACGCGGCGTATGCGCAATCTTTCACTGCAAATTCTAACAAGCGAGAGAACAAACAATCTGCTGTTTATCTTAAGCGTTGCTGCTACTTTTGTTATTGCTTCTTTTGCTGTTGCTGTTGATGTTGCTGTTGCTGTTGCTGCTGCCTTTGCTGATGATGGCGTGCGGAAATTTTTAATTGCCGCTTTAATGGGAGTGGCTAAAATGGTTTTCGCCTTTGTTGTTTGCTGCCAACCTGCCTGGCTGCCTGACTGCCTGCCTGTATCCTCGTTGTTCTTTTGGCTGAGTTAATGCCGTCGTCGCTGCTCAGCGCATAAAAATGCGATTTCTTTACAATTGCCATTTATTTGCACGGACAAAAAGAGACCGAATAAAATACACATAAAGTTGTATATATATTTATATAATATACAAGTCGTCCTTGAGCTAGTCTCCTTTCAGTATATACAAGTAAATAAAAACAAAAGTAAGAGTAAAAGTAAAAGTAACACAGCAAAAATTCGCATAAATCAAAGCAAATATTTTGCTTACGTCTTGTAAACCCAAAATAGAGCGCCTCAGGGCACAATTTCAACCCATCCACGATGCTTGCACGAAAAGCGAGCATTCAATTTGATTCGAAGGCTAATCATTTGATTTTCTTCATTTTCTCTCTCTCTCTCTCTCTCTCTCTCTCTCTCTCTCTCTCTCTCTCTTTAGCTCTTCGTTTTAGCATCATCAAATTCTTAAGCAGTCGTCAACTTGCATCTAATATTGGTGGTTAAGGAAATGAGCTTCACAAGCAGAACGCCGACGCCCCAAGCCCAATGCTGCCCACAGCCTGGCTATGGGGGCAGCCAAGTTTACTCTTTGGCCTTTGAAGTTTAAGGCACAAGAAGAAGAAGAACAACAACAGCAACAACAACAACAACAATTATGTCAAACATGCGCTGTCAAAGGTAACCAATTTATATAGACAAAGGTTAATTGAAACGACCGCAAAGAAAAGCGGAGAAACGAAATTTGGCTGAAAATATTGCTACTTTAACAGTTTAATGCCATTCTAAAAAGAAAAGACGAATAAATTTAAAGTCCAACAGCAGTAAAACGGGCCTCAAAGCAGCCGCTAAAAAATGCGACGGGCCTGCATCCATAGACTTCTGTTGCTGCTGCTGCTGCTGCTGGTGTGCGAATCATGTGCTCAGCTGGAGGCCTCGTTGGCATCCGTGTCTCCTTCAACACCACAGCCGGCACGGGCGCGCATCAAAGCGAAAACGGAAAACATTTCAGCGCTCGCATCAAACGCCGGCGATAGCTTCAACATACGCCACAGTCGCTCGCGGGCGCATATGTTGTACAACAACAATAACAACAATAACAACAACAATGGCAGCACACGATTAACGTTGGTCAGCGATGGTTCCCTGCTACGCCCACTTCAATTACAAACGCCCACACAGCAGCCGACAACAGGGGCAACAGCAGCTGTCACGCATAAGATACGTAAATTGCATAAGAAGAAAATCAACGAGAGCATTCGGAAAAGCGTCGACAAGAGTCTGGGCGTGGTGAGGGAGGTGAAGAACCATAGGAGCCTAGCTGAGGCCGAGCATCTGCAGGGCCGGCCCACAGATGTCGATGAGGCGGCCCTCAGCGAGGTTATGCAACTGGCAGACGAGATTGATTTGGAGAACTCATTAGAGTCGACTTATCAGAATGTTGTCGTTGAGCACACATCTGGTGCAGTTGTCAGGAATTCGGGTAGCCAGATGACAGCCGGCCGGCAATTTGTGCGTGCTGATGCTAATTATGAGAATAGCGAAGAGGATCAAGCAGAGGCAGAGGCAGAGGCAGAGGCAGTGGTGGATGTTGATGCGGATGACGATGAGCTGTTGTCAACCACACAAATGGCAACATTTGCGCCTCGTCAGCCAACCGCAAACGGGCAAATGAGAAGCAGCAGCTGGCAACAGACGCGAGTCGCTGGCAGAACTCGACTGCTGCCAGTTAACCACAGTGGTAGCGCCTCATTGACAGGTGCGCACAATGTAAATTTAGCAGCAGATTCTGCTGATGCCGATTACCAGCTCATGACTGCGGATAAAACCGTACCAAAAACTGAGAACGAAGCAAGCGCTCATGCTGATTCTGATACTGATACTGATGTGGATGTGGATGTGGATAGGGATGACAATGAGGATGCAACGGAAGCGGATGCTACACACAGCAGTAGCAGTAACAGCAACAGCAGCGGCAACAGTACAGAATACGCTGAAGCTGATGCTCACTCGCAGGCCATCACAAGCCAGCAGGAGGAGAACGAACGCCTGGAGGTCAATCAAATTAACTTTAACTTTGAGTCCGAATCAGATTCGGAGTCAATGTCGGAAAGTGACCCTGTGCTGGATACATCCGAGGTAACAATGGATGATGGCTATCCGCCAGAGGTTCTAATCGATGACAGCAGCAAACAGTTGGTCATTGGCGATGTGGAGGGGGCCGGCGAAGGTGATGGCGTCGATTCCAATCAGATAACCGCCGATGTGATAAATGCGCGCGACAATAAAATTGACTTGGTGTCCAAGTTTCTACAATATATTGAACAGCAGCATTTGATGGGATCGAATTGTGTGGCCGGCACATCGCTAAATCTCGGCGAGGGTGTGGTCGACCGTTATGCACAGGATCGATTTCGTGTTGAGGCCGAGGTGGCCGTCAATCGCGCCAACATGCTGACCAGGTGAGTGAAAATCACACACAGACATACACATGTTGCCAATCACACAACCATATTATGCACACGGCAAACTTTTCCAATCGAAAGTTGGCCAGTGGCAAGAGACGGCATGTAATATGTGTAGCCAAATGGAATTGGCAACGCAAATGGCCAGAACACCTCCACAATATGACTGTCCTTGCCAGCAGTTCCATAAATACAGAGTAGAACTAATGACAACATTTTTATGACACGATTCGCTTACACGCACATTAATTACAAATATTGATACGATTTCCATGAGATGTGAAAACTTTTGGCTGATTTACTAGAATTAGAGCCAAATTCAATAGCAGTCAGGCAATCCAAAACCATCTTTGACACAGCTCCAAATCTAGAAATTTATCTACTCTAATTTAATATGTTTTTATTTATTATTATAAAATAGCAATTGTATATATACACTTCAGTTCAGAAATGTAACCACAAATTTGTATTAAATTATTAAAGATCGCATATTATTCACATGGCAATACAATTATAGCATCGCAATTACTTATCACCCATGTATATTTGACAAGCCATAATATGTATCATATGCAGACATTAACAACTGCTTAATTCGTCGTCAGTTGCTTAGATAAAACCTCAATTACTTAGCTGACGAGGAGCAGAACAACAAAAAAAAAAAAACAAAGGAAAAAAAAGGCTAGGCAAAAAAGTTGGGCCACAAACCGTCGATGGATGTCATGGGCCAGGGCCTTTAATTTACTTTGACAACCGCAACAATGGAAATTCGATGTTGTTCTTGGAAATCGCAGCTGTCGCTGTGTGTACGCCTAGTTGTTGTTTCTTTTTGTCCGATTTCACCATCGATTTCGGTATGCTGGCAACACTGGCAACAAAATCTCGAGGACATACCATTTCACTCAATATCTGAATAAAGGTAGAAGTCTTCAACTTAGACTCCCCCCACAAACTCACTCACCTAGAGCAGCAGTTAAGTCAAAGCGACATTTGTCCTGCTCTCTTTTGGCCTGTCGGGCACAATAAATTCGAAAGTTTCGGCAGCCCGTATGTGGGTTCAAGTCCGGCCGTCTGTTTACTCGGTGTCCAGCACAGGAGGGATGAATGTTGCTGTGAACACCTGCATGTGACTGGCTTTCCTTGCGGGACATTAGACATTGAATATATATCTTTGTGTATGGCTTGGTGAAAAAGCGTTTCAATATACATATATACATATTTTTTTCACTCCTGATTTGGCTAGCTTCGCATACAGCATTTGGACATTTTGTTTTTTCCATGAAAGAAAAACAGCAACCAGAAATAACAAAAAATATTGGAAAAACGCAAGTCATGCATTCACTTTTTTTTCTTTTTTTTTTTGCCATGGCTTCCCCATTAGTTTCCTAGCCCTGATAAGAACTTTTTCTGTAGCGTTAAGAGGCTGGTGGAAGAAATATGCGTCCAAAAGCATTGATTAGAGAACACTTAAATCACAGTCATTTGTTCGCCCATCGTAAAGGAAATTCAATAAAAGAATATAAGGAAGGAAGCTGAAGTAGAACATTAAATACACTAGCGGAAATCTTTTAGCTCAATTAAATTGTTAAATCAAAGTAAATATCATTTTAGGCATCTAAATTTGTGAACGATGTAACTAGTTATATAAGCAACTAGCCAGATTTTAATTATTTAAACGATGAAAGCTTTCAAATAAAACAACAACTAAGTGAAATGGGGAGGAGAAGCATTTTAAATGATTTGCAGCTCATTTGTACATAAATATACTGCTTGAGATTCTCCAATGGGTTTCAACAATTTGTGGCAAATTAAAAGAACAGCAGCTGGCCACTCTAATGTTCATTTGTCGCCTGTCAATAAAACACAAATAAACAATTAACTTTACAAACAACATGACAAATTAAGTGTATTGCGAACAAGAGGGCCAAAAACCTTAACAAGACGAGCACCAACAGCAACAGCCACAACAACAAACAACAATAACAACAAACAACAATAACAACAACAATCTATTGGTCCTAAAAGCAATAAAATGCCAAAGAGCTGCTGCTAACATCAAATGACAATAAATTAAATTGTATTCTGACTGTGAACAGGATCAACATTATTGCATTTAGTTTCATATGTTGGATGTTTGTTTTCATTATTATATCGGGCTGTGCGATGCTTCATTGTTGTCCGCCGAGAGTTGTTATTGTGGCTGTTGCTACCATTATCGAATATTTATAAGCCACTGCCAGAGTCAGTAAGCAAGACCGAGATTTATTTTGCCTTGGCAATGAGACGCAGATAAACTCTTTAATTTTAGTTGAGCCCAGCGAGTTCAAATCCCTTGCCCATAATAATTTCACAGAAATTCATTTAGTTATTTTAATCAGTTCATGTTAGGTCGCCAACGCGAACGAAATTTGTTTAATGTGCAAACATAATCAACGACATCCTGTCGCCCACGCGCTTTCGAAAGGGATCTTTTGCCAACTAGGGAAATCGCACCTCGTAAATGTGCCTGGGATGGAAGATGACGCCTGTACAACATCCGGTGTAGACAACAGACAACAGACTGTAGACGGATGTATATATATATATATATATATACTCGTATATAGGGGCTTTTTAGCTGAGCACGCGTACCGACAAACTAATTGAAGTTATTGTTTTGTGATACATTGGTATCGTTGTTGTTTGTGTTTAAGCATTTCCGTTTATTTGTTACGCAAACAAAAATAAAGAAGAACAGTTAACAAAAGCACAATAACAAAAACACAAAAGCAAATCCAAGCCAAAGAAACTGTGGAGAAGAAGGTGACAGGAAAAACAATATCAATTCAAGTTCAAATTACGAGCTACAATTGTTTTCTTGCCTTGGCCACTTTTCCATTTAGTTTCCTTGCGCGCCGCAAAAGTGTTGCCAGTCAGCCAACTTGGCTGAAAAGAGAGCAGTGAAGCACATTCACACACACACACACACACACACATACACATACACACCTTGAAGCCAAAAACAAAGCGTTGCAAAAGAGTAAAAAGAGTTGGCAAACTTTTAAGTACTTAAATGTGTTGTCGTCGGCTAGAGTGGGGCCAAGACTATGCCTCAGCCACGACCTACACATACTTTTGCTTGAGTATGACTTAACTGAAATTGAGTTTCCCGTTTCTTATTATTTTGTTGCTATATATATTGTGTGTGTGTGTTGTTATCTGGGCAGACCAATGCTGCTGCTGCTCAGCTAAAGTTGCCTCGTTTGATAGTTGTGTATCTATCGCCACATTTGTTTGGTTTTTTCACTAAAACTTTTCCGATAAACGAGATGCACACAAATAAATCGCCTGATGTTGCCCCTTTCCTTTTCAATTTCAACTTCAGCAACTTTTTGCTCAACTCATGCTGCATCCGCGATCCGCATTTCAATTTGTGTTTGCAGTCGCGTATTTGTTTTCCACACAAATCGAAATCTGCATAAGCGATGCGCATGCAACAACAAGCGTAGCGGGCAATTGCCCGCCCGCGGCAATAAAACGCGCCGCGAGATGGCGTTGTCGATGTCAACGTCGAGAACAACAAGGTCAAAAACGGATGCCGGCATCAGCGAGCTGTCTCCCTGTCCTCTCCCCTCCATCTGCACACCCCATTGCATGCATGTTGCTGCCATTGTCAACATCCTTCAAAGTTTGCCAGCGCAAACAAATAAATATCAAAGTGCGTACAGAGGAAGAAACAGCGGCAGGCACACAAAGGCAGAAGTAGCGGCAGAGACGGAGACAAAGGCTCAAATACAGAACCAGCTACAGCTACAGATGCAGATACATTTCCACAGAAACTGAACAAAAAAATACATGGCCAACAACCGACTTTTTGCTTTGGCTTTTTGTGCCGCTTGATTTGCTTCGCGCAGCGGGTGGTGCTAATAACGCTCCAACAGTGCCCTTTAGCCCCCAAACACATCCCTTTCCCCGACACATCTCAGAGCATCCTCGCCCGCTGTTTCAAAACTCAATGCATTTGCTCCCTTTTATTATATTTCGCTGTGGCACACTTGGAGAAATAATAGAACTAATACAATTTTTTTCACTTGAAAAACTTGCCCTAAATCAACAATTGGTGAATTTCCGTAATACTTTTGTTCTGTAGAATATGTCTTCTATGTAAAAACTCAAAATTCTACTTTGAAAATGTGAGCTCCTTTTGTTCGGATAATATGCAAATTTTCCCTAGGGATATTTGAGATTCTTGGCCATATTTAAGTCTCGCCCGCTCGTTCGCTTGCAATGTTGCGACACACAACAGTGTGCAACAGTACAACAATGCAATATTGCAACTGATAGCATATCCGCAACGTGCGGCGAGGCACATCTGTGATTTTGATGCCAACAAAGCCCACCACTGAAAAGAGCCTTAGAATCCGCGGCTTTAACCAGTCAGCTGTGCCAGTCAGCTTTTTCCGGTTGGCTTGGCTTACGCAGACCAAGTCTGGTTTTGATTTCCCTAATGCAAATGCAAATGATAATGTGTAAATGTGTTTACTTTCTATTGTTGCATACATCGCCAGTCCACATCAACGTGAATATCAACATTAACGTTCGTTGTAGGCAGCATGCTACACGGACTAACTCTCATATTTGCTCCGCCCGTTGCTCTACTGTATATTCACAGTCGTTGCAACATATGTTGTCATAACTTAACAGCTTAGCATACTTGTCGACCAACAAAAACAGCCCCAAACCCCTTCAGTCATCTCAACCGCTGGCCCACTTGTCGTATGTGTATCATTTAAGCCACCGTGGTGGCAAGTCCATTTTTGCACAATAAAAACGCTGCTCCTTTATTTTTGCAGTTAATCCGCAGGCAAACCGGCGCACAAGACCGGGCCGAAAAAAATATCTTAGACATGCGCCGCATTGTGGCCCCAAAGTTTCGGCGTGAAGCAGCATCCACACCCGTCAACCCCCCCTCCCACACTGACACAGTGGGCTCATTATGGCCATGCTGGGGGTTGGGCTGGAGTGGGAATTGGGGATTGGGCTGCGTGTTGCTTCACGGCTGTATGGCAAACAAAATCAAAAAGAAACTTTTTGCCAAAATGCTTGCCAAGTTTTTTTTTGTTGCTTTCGTTGTTGCCGCAGCAATAATAATAATCATCAGGCGCGAGCCAAGAAGTTACCAACTTGAAAGCAATTAACGGACTAAATCAAAAAAACATTTTTCAAAAAGTCAAACACAAAAGCAATATAAAAGTATTGCAAATGGGCGTTGCCTTCCCTACACAGCGTCAATGGGTGTGTGTTGGTGTGTGTTGGTGTGTGCTTGTGGCTTGCATAAACTTGTCAACAGCAACTGCCTACTCCACTGATTCATTTAGTCATTTACTTAGCTCCAGCAGCCACAAACCCACACAGCAACAGTAGCAGCAGCAACATCGACCAATTCACCCAGGAGCAAGAATTTCTAATTAAATAAGCTCCACCTCCTTCGGTTAATTGAACATGTATTGCTGCTGTGAGAGATTGGCGTATCCTTTTTCAGGGTTTTATGGCTGGTAAAAAAAGGTATCCTAAAGTTAGGAAATTATATTTATTATCTATCTAAATATATTCTTTTGCAACTTTACTTTGCAAATTTCATTAAAGCTACTCAACCAAATATGAACCAATTTTATTTTAATTTGATATTTTACACCTTGCTTAAGGTTATCATGCTTTCAATTAGAGTATTAATTTAATGCCCTGCAGCCATTTAAAAGGAGTCTTGAACTTGTGTGAGGCTGAAGGAGACAATTTCGACGTTCATAATTAACATGATTTTTGAATATTAATGTAATGAATTAAGCTACTACATATCGTGCATCAGTTAAAAGCTCTTTGAATTAATTTTGTTTGGGTTTTTTTTGTTTTTTTTTTTATTGAAAGCTTGACTTTGAAAAGTAGTTTGCATCTAATCACATTTCCATCGCACACACTTTGATGGCGCATGTCTGGCATTTTGTATTTAATTTAAGTTAGTCACGGGTTAATTAAAATTGATAAGTCATTGGACATTATGGACCTAAATAAACATTTGCCAGCAAGCTGGCTAACAAAAGCTGAAAATAAAGACAAAGGCGTTTCCAGTTGAAAAGGTCAGCGATTGCCGATAGGCAGCTGCCATCCGTTTGCCCCCGCCCATCCCCCATCTCTATTGTTCTGACCCTTGCAGGCGACCCAACAGATGTTGCACGCCAACAAGCGCAACGGTGTGCTTTGAATAATTAAACTGGAACATTTCGCTTTCAATTAAGATGTCGACGTGAAGTGTTTCGACTAGTTCACACACACACACACACCTACGCGATGGAGTTGGTCCCAGCGAGGCACTTGAGCAATGCCGAAGGACACATCGGTGGCGACAGAGTGTCGTTGTATAAGTTGTAGGTTGTGGGTTTGCTAGTCTGTGTCTGTATTTGCATGCTGAAAATGGCCAGCAGCCTGTTTTTCGTGTTTTTCAATACCCTTTCAAACGGCAACTGAGTTTTCCTTTAAGGTGTGTATCAAACTATCTATTCAAAGATACATTTTTCCCCTAAAACATTTGAAAATATCCCGACCTGATTCGACATTTAAATAGCGTTAACGATTGGTGATAGTTTGACAAAAAACGTTTTAAGTTACTTATTCAATATAGTTATTTGATTGGAGACCTTCTGCAGTAAGGGTATTTATTCGTCGATGGCATTTCTGGCTTATTTGCTTTTGTTTTTGTTGATTCACGCGTCGATTGTCGGGTTGGCTTTCGACCCTTTTAGAAGGTGCCGCAATAAGGATTTAATTTTCCAATGTTGCTTTTAGCTTTTCTTTACGCTCATAATTAATTGGTTCTAAGGAATAAGTTGATGTAATAGAATTAGTTTAATGTTATTTGTGACATGCAGTCTCGATTAAATATATTCACTGTTCTCTTTTCTGCTGATCCTAAAACGAAATCAATATTAACGGCGGCTCATGCGGCATTGTCATCAGATTTAAAATAAATTGGCATTTGAAAATTATATTCGTAATGCAAAGTTCCAATTCAAGTTTCATGTGTATCTGTATCTGTATCTGTATGTGTGTTTGTGTGTCTGGGCTCGTGTGTGTGTGTGTCATCTGCTTGTCATCCTTCGCAAGTCAAATAAAAAGCGGCTTAAATGCCTGCTGCTGCTCACTTGCTCACTTGTTCGCTCGCCGTTGTTTTCTGCTTGTTGTGAGTTGTTGTTGTTGTTGTTGTTGCAGCTACTCTCTACTTATCCCAGCTTTCACAAGTTTGTAATATGTATTTCAATTCTTGAAGGCGAGGAGTACGTAGACGGACACCATATGCAAAACAAATAAGCAACATGGCCCACGGCTCATGGCGGATTAGGCGCCATTTTGACTGTCATGGAGATTCGTAAGACGAATACACAAGTGGGTGGAATGGGAGAGCATTACAGACAAAGCAGATAGCTGATAAACAGACTTATTAACGGAATCGCTACTGATTTTGCCACTGCTGCCGTTCTTGCTGCTGCTGGTCAATGATTTTTAATTAAATGTGGGAGGATTTCCAAGTAGCATCAGCAGTTGCGCCAGTTTTGTGTAATTATACACAAGCAAAGCTGCACATTTTAAATTCAAGCTGCTCCAAATTATTTCTAGAATACAATGCGAAATCTTGTTCAGTTTGTGCTTATATTTTTGCTCAGTAAATATAAAGAAGGAGAGAGAGAGAGAGAGAGAGAGAAAGAGTGAGGAAGGGCGAGACAGGGTACGTTGTCTGTACTTACAGATATAGTTCTTACTCAAGAGCGCATCAACAGGAACAGGCAACAGCTTTAGCACTTTGTCGGTCTAACTACCTGTTTGGTTGGTTGACACACCTGCAGAAGCTTAGTGCTTGTTTTCACCCTTGCAGCACTTAAGTGTAGAGAAGTGTCTTTAACACAATTTCCAGTTGGCTGGCCGGCAAGGTGGGAGCGGATGTGGTGCGCTGCTGCACTTGCGAATTGCACACATTTTGAGAAATTCTCTAAGGAATATGCAAACGAAGAGTTCAAGTGGTCTACCGAGAGATAAACAGAGTGACACAGCGGGGAAAAGAAAGGCAGAGAGTGAGGTAGAGAGATAGAGATAGAGATGATGCTGTTCAGTTATTTGTGGACTGCTAATTAAACATTTGGACCCACTGTGCCATCAAGTGCTGAGCATTCTCATGTGTCGGTTCCAGCGGTTTCGAAGACCACATCCACTCTACCTACTTATTACACTAACTGCTTTTGAAAGTCTGTCCGTAAATTATGTGTGTAAAAGTGGACAGCTCAGTCATATCAAGTGGCAATGTAAAAATTGTTGCAATGTCAGCAGCAAGAATTTGGCATCATCATCATTAGCAGGTCCAAGTTTTTTGTTTGTGGGTTGGATGAATGACAAAATGTCGCTGACATTTACAAATGAACCTTGACCTCAGATCAGCTAATTAATGAGCTACGCCCCCCGTTAGCGATTGTGTCAGATTCACACAAGAATTACACGATACGAAATTAAGGAAAACCAAATCGACTTCGAAGAATATGTCTGTGTATCACCGGTCACTGAATAGTTTCGCAGTTGTGTAATTTGTGTAAATATAGAATGAACGTCTGGCTGCATTTTCTTCTGAATATTTGCTCTGGAATGAAAACGTATTTCACGTTATTCTAATTAACATATTTAATTTCTATTACAAGTTACCGAAATTACTTTGCTTGGCAAACTTAAGCTGTTCTTCTGTTGAATATTCAACAAGAAAATAGAATTAAGTTTTCATTTTATGACAGCAGCATATCCTTTCTGAATACAGAAGCAAGAATATATTAGTCGTATATATAAAGCTTATTTTTGATTTACTGTATATGTCAGAAAAATCACTATAAATTATAAGCAGGGACTAATTTTTTTGACATATTTACGTAAGGCAGCTTAACTTATATTTGTAACCTTTTTATGTTTTGTATATATAAGTTGAAAAGACGAAAATGTGGAGAAAAAACAATACAATACAACAAACAATATTCTCAGAAGTGGTTTCAGGTGTCGCTCAAAGCAAATGTTATGTTAAAGCGACATTTTAATTAAATAAGGACCACAAGGCACGGACTATACTGAGAATTCAGACAGTGGTGTGTCGGTCGCTTGACGGCGGGCGGCTTAACCGGATGACACTCAAAACAAAATCTTGAACGTAATTCTCATTTACTTTTACAAACACACACACACACACACCTACACAGACGCATACACCTAGCTTGCAACAGTCAGAGAGAGAGAGAGAGAGAGAGAGTGAGGGAGAGAGGGAGATGAGACCACACAATAGGCACAGTTGGCGGCAAGGAACGCTTGGAGCACTTGAGCACAGCTTGAAGCAGCATAATGCGCTGCGCCTATGGCTCTTGTGTTCGTGCCGGGAACCCGGCTCTGGCCTGTGCCATACACTCAGCAAAATAATTGGCATTAAAACGAAAATCGGCTCCACAAACCGGAGAGTATTGTTTTATTATTATTTTATTAGTATATAAAAAGAAATTATTTTCTTTTTTTCTTTTCAGAAATAAGTTTTTTATTTTATTTTGTGAGTAGCTAACATTATTTGTATGTGTAGCGTTCTTTTTGCTGAGTGTAGCGTTATAATAATAAAATTGACAGCCTGACAAAATGAGAGAAACAACGGCCCGGTTGCCCGGTAAACAATAATGTATTTTGTAGCCAACATGAACCACCCACCCACCCACTCACTGTAGCGCTGAACCACTGAACTACTGCACCACTTTTGGCATGCTTGCGATACATATATATATATATATATAAGTATATATACATACCAGTATATATTACTTTCCATGAACTTTTAATGCAATTTCCGTTTGAATTGCAACATGCTCGTAAATTCAACTGTTTTTTGCCCATCTCTGTTTCTCCCCGTAGAATCTTCAAGATGACGTCGCATTCAGCGCAGGAGGATGTCAACTTGCTACACGCTTCGGTGTTGGCCATGGTGGAGTTCGACGATGATATATTCGCGGCCGGCAATTGTTTCGACTGGAATGAGCATCCAGCTCAGCCCGGCTTGTTCTGCCCGTTTGCTTATCGGTTGCCACCACCAAATTTGGGCGCAATATTTGCCAAAGATCTGGCCATGGAATATCATTACTTGGGCAATACATCCGAATGGTTCTTTCTGGCTCGCAAGAATGCCGAGAAGGTGATAGCACGCAACGAGCAGTACCTGAAGTGTAAGTAGCTACCTATCCTGATTTATGCACCCTTAAGGGGGTTGGGGGGATGGTGAGGGGACAGTTGGTTCCAGCTTATTTATGCGCCGATAGCGTCGTCAAAGTGCTTTGTATATGTGTATACAATGGCATTGAATATTTATATTTGCTGCGTGCTTTAATCTGTGACTTCATTAGTCACTGTCCCCGACGACATCTCGGGGCATTTAGATGACTCGGTCCCTTGGCCATAAAAGCGAGCTTCTGCTACGGCTGTTGCCTAATTGCGATGCCGTCACAAGCCATTTAGAGTCGCATATATTTTACTGCCGCTTTATCATTGCCAGCTTGGGCAAATTTCTATCACAGCCCAACAATTAAGCAAATAAATAAGAACGAAAATGCCCGCACAGAACTCGAAAGACTCCGCACACAAATATACATAAATATTATATATTTATGTATGCATACATATTAGCAGGCCACTTAAAATGTAAATGAATTTACCTATAGTCGGCAACACCTTTTCTAATTAGCTGTGATTCTGTGAATGCGCACTGGACTGGACTGCACAATTAATTCAACTATGAAAATCAAATAAAGAAATCCTTAATTTATGCATGTGTCGCGGATGACAGCTTTTAAATTCAATTTAATGTAACATTATGGTAATCTGAAAACACTCATGCTTCGGGCCTTATTTGGTTTAACAACAACCAATCAGTGCATTAAATGCAACTGACTCACAGCCATTTTCCCAAATTGCATTAAATTATGCGGTTGTTGTCTCTTCGACAACAGAAACTCAATCCTTTCCCATTCGTTATACAGTTCAGAAATCCCACACATACATATGTATGTGGATGGGAGGCCAAGCCGCTTCGATATGAATAATTTGCAAATTAAAGGTTACGTATACGCCACGTGTCGTGTTTGCCTTGTTCATGTTGGGTATGTAAATTATTTGCCGAGCTGCCCGCAGGCAAACAATTACATACAATATACATATTCTACGTATCGTACATACAGACATATGTAAGCGAATTTTTGGGCACGCGACTCCGGGCTATTAAGAGTATTTTTTATTTATTTTTATTTTTGATTTTTTTTGTGGTTGGCAGTCAGTATTTACGAGCTGACAAATTGCATGTGATCTGCGCCCAATGGTGCAATAACATACCACAGAAATGACAAACGAAATCGAAAACAAACAATTTTCCTCCAAGCCAAGGTTTCGGACCCCACTTTCGTATCCATGCATACTAATGCCGTTGTTAGGAGCCAGGCCATCAGCAGATTGCAGTCTTCTCCAACACCCAAACAAAAGCGCCACAGATAGAAATTCATTTGTTCGTTCTTTCGCTCGCTGGTTTGTTTGCCCCCTGCTGAAATTGAAAAATGGAAGAAAAAAAACCAAAAAAATATTCCAGCTAGTTACCATTTGTAGCCCAAATAATGAACGAAATCCATTCTGCATTTTTTCTATTACGTATACGAATGTGTGTGTGTGTGTGTGTGTGTGTGTGTGTGTGGGTATTGGACATGATTGCACTTCGTGCACCATTTGCTGTATATATTCCAAACTAAATACACAATTTAATTTGGTTTGCACCATAAACTTGTTTATTTAAAGATGAATCAATGAATAATGCATGTGCTAATTCAATCGCGATTTACGGATGAGTAGCATTTTAATTTATTGGAAAATCATTGTGTCGATATTTGCTATTGTTTATATTTCCGAGCAAATAGTGTGCATATATTATATAATTTTATGAATGTTGATTATATGAGCCACGAGCACATTTATGTGCCACTGTGTGTGTGTGTGTGCTGACCACCATTTGACATCGAGTCGGGTAACTTTGGCAACCAGCAACCTCGCCAACTTCATCGTGGCTACCATAAAACTTTTCTGAAAGATGCCACACCGTATGCACTATGATTTACGGTCAGGCACATATAAATTTCGCACTCTGTCGCTCTCGTTCTCTAACTTACGTGTGGCAGGGGGGCATTTTGTAGCAGCTCGACACCAGAGTGAACTAAATTGCGCCTTAAGGTCGGCATCGTTGTTTGGGATATCTGCATAGCGTTGCTGACTTTCAATTTATATGCATTTGCATATTTGAACTTGTGTCAGCCTTCAGCAGCGCTATTCTCGTTTTTCGCCTTAGCCCTCAGTCTGTAGTCCTTAGTCCTTAGTCCCAAGCGTGTTTGTGGCCGTATTCCAGTTTGTCGACAGAAACTTTGTCTTCGTGCAGAATTTTCTTCGCCTTTGGCGGGCAAATGCAAGAGTAAAAGCTTATTAAATTTTCAGGGATTTCTTCGAGGCAATTGAAAAAATACATCAATATTTTGTTGCCACAAGAAAATTGATGGCCAATTCAACCGCAATTAATTTGATTATATTTTTGCGGTGTACACGATTGATGCGCAATTGCTTATATATAAATATATATATAATATATATATATATGTATATATGTTTGTGTTTTTGTAATAACAATCCAACGACAAATTGTGTTCAAAAATAAACGCATTAAAAGAAGTGATTTCATTTAGGATATTAAATTATCGATAAATTGTGTAATTATTTCCAGTGTTTACTTAATGTCCTTATCATAAAAAATGAAAGACACATTAAAAATCAATAATTGCTAAAAAATATACCATTTTCAATTCAATACACTTTATATTCAAGATTAACAGTGGCATAATCAAAATTGATAACTAGCAAAAAGCTATATATACATTTTTATAGCAATTATATGCACTCAATTTAAATTGAAATTAATTTTGTATTATGTGCTACACAATCAAAGACTATATGAAATTAATTAAAACTTTGAAAGTAATTATGCCGATTTGTTTATTTATTGACAAGAACGATGTTTTGAGTCGATACTACCTGACTGAGAGATACATTGAGATATTCTTTGTCATACATTAGATACCCTCACCAGGAAATGTAACACAAAATGTTGTTGCGCCTTTTGCCAATTTGTTGGGTACAGGAAATACAAGCTATGTAAACCTTGATAAGCTGCACTTAAGTCAGCAATAAGAGCAATTTTAGCCACTATACGAGTGTAGTTATGCACATGGCATTTACTTAAGTGGATAAGTACGTGGATGTGTGTGTGTGTGTGTGTGGATGTGGGTGTGTGTGTGTGGATGTGGGTGGGTGAGTTAACCACAAAATATAACATATTTGTAGTTTGCTCAACTACCGACTTGGGCATTGTTATTGCTGCTGCTGTCGTCATTCTGGCTGGCTCACTTGATGCGATACACTTTATACTTACATATATATATATAAATATATATTATATATGTGTGTGAGACGAGTACATAGACATATTTGTATGATATTTGTTCTGTCTGCCCGTCACGTGTTTAACATAAAATTTAAATAAAAATCACATACAATATGTAAACAGTAATATGTATATGCGTATTTCCTGCGAGTGTTCGCTAGTCTCGGTCGGGCGTCTTTCCGTTCAGCTCTTTTTGAGCGCTCTGATTATATGTTGATATTGGTATATCATCGTGTTGTTTTTGTTTTTGTAATTTCCGTCTGTTAACGCAATTTGCAAAATGTACCAACTCTGCACTGTGTCCCCCGTTGCTGAGTCGTTTTCCGTTTTTTCATCCGCTTGCGGCTTTTCATTTCCATTCCACTAAATCGGGTAAATCTTATGAGATAAACTATAACATATACAAATTCTATGCAAATGCCAGCCACAAACAATGTCGCCCCTCACAGCGGTTCCTAAGTGCGTAACTGTGTGTGTGTGTGTGTGTGTGTGTCTATTAACTGAGGAACATCTTTTTACTGCGAGTCAGTATTAAGAGGCAATTGCAGACGAGCACTTGGCACGCGCCAGACTCGTTTCAAGATGCAATAAATAAAGATGAAAATTCACGTTAATATAAAACAGGATAAGCCTTAGAGTGCTGCAAAATAACCGTGGGACGAAGTTGATCTGCTTATTTTGCATTCTACTGAAACTGTTCAGCGAGATTCATTTGTTTCGCAATGGTTATAATACTGAATGCAAACTTTGCAACCTGCAAATACAAATTTAAAATTTTAATTTTAATAAATGTATATCGCTCCACTTACGCTTATATTGCTGTTCATTGAGACGACAAATATGCCTCCAGCGATAAACACGATCGGCTGTTGCACATGCTGCATGAAGTTAATCAGAGTGGTTTTGTAGCGCGGCTCGCTATCGACCCAGTTGGAGTGGAAAATCATGTTGGCCAAGTCCTCGCTGTCGTCACTGAGCATATTGCAGATGTAGCAAAAGGGAAATGTCTGCAACAGAATTGTGATCACAAAGAAAGCGCTACCGACGGCTTGCCAAAAGTTCGCATAGAAGAATATATTAAATAGGGTCAAGCCCAGTACGGAACCAATCAGCAGAAACTGCACAAATATTGTGCGATATATCATTGGACGTATCATGTTGCAACATCTGTCAAATATAAATTTAACATAACGTTAAGCCTTAAAGTATTATTGAGTCTCACCTTAATATTATCTTGTAGTCCATGATGCAATTGGTTAGCTCATCGTAGTTTTCCTGCTCCGTTTTGTCGGGATCCATGCGTAAATTGCGTACATGATCTTTTAGCACTTCGAAATGTGCGCGAATAATGAGCGTGAAAACGAGGGGATATGTATCCGAAAGCTGACATTGCAGCACAGCAAAGGACATAACTATATATTCAAAGATCGACTGAATCCACAAGTTGGCAGTGCTATCCCGCCAGTCCACAAATGGATTATAGATCGACCAAGGCGGACTACCATTCAGTACCATCGAGAAAAATGTCGATCCCGCAAAGCCACAGTATATAAAGGTGAAGATTAAAAACGCATAATTGCAACGCGCAACAGCATTGTGAATCTTTTGACGATCATCGTCTTTCAATAACCGCTCATCCAATCTGTCCAGTAAGTTCTGCGTCTTCCTCAAGCGCCACATGAAACTGTAGGTGATTATGCACTTTACCGACGAACCGTAAGCATTGATGGCCACCTGTAGTGATGTGAAAAATTCGCTCGGCGAAAAATTGCTAAATTCCCTCACATAGCTAATTAAGAAGGCCGCTGGTAAATAGAACACGCCAAAAGAAAAGGTCGTAAATGACCAGATGAGATACACATATCGCCAGATTCCCTCCTTCGGGGCCAACCAGCCAATCACCCACATGCCTCTAAACAGATAGATGCTCGAATCCCGGGATTTCACACGTTCCGTTAGCGGTGCTGGTTTTATTAGCCGGAATGTCGATTGCATTGTAGTTAGTTAACGCGTTTGTTTCCTGCTAAGGCCGAGCAGTTGGCTTTTATAGCCGTTAGAGCTGGGCATCTGTTCACTTCTCGCGATTAACAATTAATAGACTAACACTTTTAAAATATTTAAAATATTGTTATTTCTTAGCGGCAAGTTTTGCTAACAAAAGGAATAATCTAATCAGTTGGTTTTTAATAAAATCAACATCAGTCACAGTTTCACACAACCAAATGAATTATTATTATTGGAGCTCAACTGAACTGAACTTTTCAACAAAAGTGAATGATTGAAAAGAAAACTTTCTTTTGGCGTGGCTGACACGTTTCTAGAATACAAACTAGAGAAGGGTCAACTCACACTGTAGGGAATTTACTAGAGTGAATATTATGTAATCTAAACATCTAGTCTATAATATTTTTTACAATCATCAAAGAATTTCGCCTGAAGCACTTTACAATCGTAAAAAACTGTAAAGTAGTTAAAATGTTGAAAAAGAGATTATGCCTAAATAGTTTGATTGCTTGCAGGCATTAATCCTGGTGAGGTATTATTTAAGAAAGTTATAAATTTAGATATGTTTATATAAATTTATAGATAAAATTTTCTTTCCCTGCAGTGTCTTAAAATAAAATGTATCATAAACATTTTTATTGTTTTTTCATGAGCACTTTGCGACATGGTCAGTGTCACTCTAAAAGTATTCAATAATCTGACCACAACATGAATGAATTTGTAGCAAAACAATGATTGTATTTAGTTTAAGCTGTGTTGTATAAGAGGTCCTCACAAATTGTATTCATTTCTACATACACTCGAGTCAGTCACCCAAGCAAGATTGAGCACCACTTACAAAGTCATTAGCTTGTTCACTGCGGCAAAGTGTAATCTTTGTAGCACTCTTAACCTCTGTTTACTTTGATTTCGATTCAAACAGCTCAGTTGAAACAATGGTACACTATTTCATGATTGTCTTCATGCTTTGCAGCCTTTCATCTGTACTCGAACCGCACCGAGGAGCGCATCGAGGACGACACGCTGGCCGTGAAGTACGAGGATGGTAGATGGTCAAAGCCATATTACGACTGTGGCGGTGGTAATATTTGGATGCTAACGTACACAGTTCCATTCTTTGGCTATGAGAATGGCAGCTATCACTTCAAGTAAGTAGCAAGCAGAAAGTCACAAACAATTGCAAAGCGCACAATTCGCTAGGGAAATCACAAGGGATATGCCATAAACTTAGGTATGGGCCGGGTGTCCCTCTGTGTGAGGGGTGTAGTCCATTTTATAAATAGTTTTCATACAAAAAGAAACTGCAATGGCCTGAATAATGCCAGTGCGCAGCTTTTCTATTTGTTGCTGACTGTTATTTTTTCTGTCTTTTTTATTGTGGGTGGTGTCAGATTCACAATTGCAGCTACGAATGACAAAATATGAAATGTAAGCAACAATTGCTGGTTGTGGCAACTTTTTGGCCTTATTTTTAGCCACAAGAAACAGAAGAGCAGCAGTCGTCCCAGTAGCAATCGAAGCAATAACAAGGAATGCCACTAAACTTATTTACTTCTTATGCAGCACGTGCACCACCAACACCATCTCGACCACCAGCAGCATCCGGCGTGGGATCGAGCTCTTAGCGAATTTCAATCACGCACCGACAAATGGAATGCGTTAGCATTGACATAACATTCTTATGAAACTTTATGATGTGCCTTCCCTTCCGTCCGCTTGCTTTTTAACAAGATTTTTTAATTTTTCCTTCGTTTCCGCTTTACTTTTTTGGTTTATTTTATTTTTTTTTGGTCATAGTTCCCTTTAGAAAACTTTCTGAATTGAATGTTTGAGGCAAAAGTTAGTAACTGCAAAAGAAAAAGTCCGAATAGAGTCGAGTGTATATGATGAGCATAACGTTGGAGAAGGTGGTTAAGAGTACGAGGAGTGTGCCGCAAATTGCAATATTTAATGAAATTTTCATTGATGTTGGTCGAAAGCGTTTTGCCAAATCAAGAATTTTGAACACATTTCACTTTCATAGTGGCCACTTTTTGTATGAAGACTTCACTTTGAGCATATTTAATTTATTTACTTGGCTGCTAGATGAGGCAGATGAGGATGGGTCAATAGACATACATATAGTATGAAAATTTGCTGGCAACGTTTCATTAAATTTGTTAAATCATCTGTAAGTGTCAGTCGCTTTATTACAAATATTTGCGAGCACAGAAACGTTGAAAGATCTCTGAAAACAAGAAGGAAGGGCAATTTTAGGCACACCGAAGATTGCATATACTTGCAAGAAACCGGCCGATTGACGGCAATATGATATAGTAGTCTGTTATCGGTAAATAGAAAGTTAGTTTCATAAAAGTAATATCCGCCGAAAAAAGAGACTCTGCTAATGATACTGATTAAGAGTATATATCCCTAATGGAGTCGGACACTCCTCCTACAAAACGAGAAACTTAAAATATTCTCAGTATGGGTAAAACAAGGTCATTTGACAGAAAACACCACAACAACAACTTGTCTACAATTTATAGCATGGTTGTCAGAAATTCTATGGTCCCAGTGAGCAGTTAGAACATCAAACATCAAACTAAGTGCCCGAATGCTGCTTCCCCATCAAAATAATGACAGTTAAAAGCCATTTTTGCTCTTTATGAGTAAATTGCGAACAAGTAGATATACGTGGTCGGTAGGCATTCCCGGACGGAGGGTTGAGTTAGGTCGAGGTAGGAAGGACTCTGCACAATTAGCCGGTCTTCCTCGTCGTCGTCATCGTCGTTGTCCGCACTTCCACTTCGTTTCATACTTAATTTGTAATTATTTCTTGGCAACAGGCAACAACAAGAACTGTATCAACAAATTCCAGCTGACAATCTGTTTTCTAGTCAGCGTCTTATGATGCTATTATTGCAAGAATTTATTTGTTATCCCACGAGCGCAATTATAAATGATTAAAACAACTCATTAAGAAACATTTTTTTATCATTTACAATTTAATTTAATTTATTTTCATAAGAATAGTATGGTAATCAAGTGTAGTTAAATGTTATAACAGGGCTTCAACTTAATATCTTTTATATTTAACTGAAATTTTATGGCTTATGATATATCTTTTTTACCCCAACTAAACATTTGAATACAGAATGTAAGATATTATTTTCATATTTTTTGTCACAAGTCGATGAATTCTGTGGCCTTTTTCTACCTTTCAAACACATCTTGAAACAATATAAAAATAACCTGTCGTTTAATCGATTTAATATATTTTAAGAGCTGGGTTTAGGGTATTACCAAGTCGAGGTCTCGCGACTCGTGCATGCTTACTTATTTAAATCTCTGCCAATCAAGTCTCCTTTCATTTACTCAATAAGAAAATATTTCTAGTTTCTGTCATGTACTTCTCGTAGGCTTAAATTGAGGACTTGTCGGCCTGTGGTGGTCGATAGCAGTAACGGGGATAAATCTTTCGCAGCTCGTCCGGTTCCGGCTGCGACGTGGCTGTAAATCGCATGCGCTGCGGCCCAGCACATTCCAACAAAAAAATTAGGAAATTAATCGGTTATAATCTTTTACCAGCGGCTTTTTGTACTTACATAATTTCTGATAGTATTCCGCCTGATATTTTTGCATTGTTCGCTTTTCGCTACGAGTTGACGAAGAGTGAGAGGCAAGAACAGCAGCAGAAGCTGAGTTGCCGGCACGTTGAACAATATTTTAGCAGAACGGGCAAATGAAATTTAACGCAACTGCTTTTGGCTCTGGCAACTTGGCTAATGGCTTGCGTAATTATAACAGCTACGCTCACTTCACGGCCAAGGCGTTCCAAATTTCATTACCAGCAGCTGGCTGCTATCAAACTCTGTCCCAGTCTCACATCCAGTCCCAGTTCGCAGCTCAGTCGACTTTTCCACAGGTGGCAGGCAATATGTAATGAAAGTAATCAATTATAAGCAGCAGCGAAGATGGCTCACACACGCATGCCTAGATACGACATGTCACTGCTCAATGACTTTCTACGCTCCATAAATTTCACACATTATACACACACACACACACTGACACACACACATACACACATGAAGCAATTCTCTAAAAGGCAGCTGTCTGTAGCTGACTGGCTGTGCGGAAGCACGTTAACTGCCTGCAATTAGTTGCAACATAAATTTGGCCCGCCCAATGGACGGATGCAACAAAATTAATGTCTAAATTTTAAAACTTTGCTGAGTTCGATTAGGTGCAGTTTTCCCTGCCTCTTCTCTCCCAGCATTCTCCTCTCGACCACATAAATTGCAGCAGCCAACAGCAATGCTCATTATTTGCAGCAGCTTAAAACCTCTTGGCACTTACCCTGTCTTTCGTAAAAATACATTAAAAAAAAACAAGAAACTGGTTAACTTAACTTGACGATGATTAGACACTCTACCATTTGTTACTAAGCATTCGATGTGGATACGCTTTTTCCAGTTTTACTAAATTTGTGAAAGAGTCATTTCATGCATTAGCAGTACATGCCTGATGTGGTAAATATAGTGAAGTTAATCAATTAAATTAAAAGCGAATTTTCACAGAGATAATCAGTTTTTCACTGAATTTCGCAATGGCTGTGACGAGTAACTAGTTTGTAAAATGAAGTCAACACAAGTTAAATAAGATTAAAGGTATCTTAATTTGCATTATGCAATCTTAAATGTCAATTTCGACAAGTTACACATTTGCTAAATAAATGCAAATACCCTTTGCAAAAGATCGGTACAACTGGCTAGCTGGGTCGTGTTAATAATGTGCTGCTATCAGTATTCCATTAGTTGTGAGACTTGACGCATAATTAATTTGTTTACTTCGTGGCAGTAAACTGGCGTAAACTGACTGGAACCGGACCAGGCAGCGAGGACAAGGGAAGCCCGACGACCGGCACGGAAAGTTGCTAATTGATTTAATTTATGTATTACGCTGCGTTATACCATGATAAATGCAGGCGACCAACAATGGCCAGCAACATTAACTTAATAATATTAAAAATTATTTGGCACTTCGAAGGTTCCACACACACACACACACACACAGCCACATACACAATGCTAAAATGCTAAAATGCGCATTGCGAGGAGAAAAACAAGCATTGTCGACCCTAACCGTCACTAATCACGACCCTCAACCTCAAATCTGAAACGCAATGCAAACAAACGGAAACGGAAATATAAGTATAAAGCACAAATCACATTAAACGCCTGCTGTGCGCATAGTGGGAGAAAAGGACTCGCCTTTGGACTGTGGGCGTTACGGGGCGTGGCTGAATTGTGCCCATGGAATGCTCCTGCTGGGCAATAATTTTATTTGATTTCATTTAAGTTTCGCTTAGTGTGCGCTGCATGCAGAAACATTTTCAACGTTACACAAGGCAGGAATGGCCCATGCTCTGCCAGCGCACATTCAAAATAATCTCGGTGTTTTATTTATTTGACTTATGTTGCAATATCTACAAAGTATTGCACATACACACACACACACACATTCACAGATACAGATACATATGCATACTTATGTGTAAAGACTGGGAAAGCGTAATGAGACAAACGGAAACGGAAATCTCAAATATCGCAATAAGCATTGCTTTGTGCGTAGATAGACGGGAAGTGCAGTTGTTGCTTGTTAGCTAGTCAAGCTTGCATCGCCTGAATATACATGATTACGAATTCTGGATTCTCAGTCAGTGGCAAGTCTTGTATGTGTGTGAACAAGTACTTACTCGTCTCTTGTAAGGCACGTGCATCCATAAGTTGACTATGGGCAGTCATGAGTCCTGCGGACAGCCGGCAATCTTAACTGTTGACTTGCTCCAATCTCAAAGCCTGCTGTTTACATTTCTCACATACACACTATGACACACAAGCTGTGAGAAATATGAGCCAGCTAGCTGGTAACGTGTTCAATCATCATCATCATCATCATCACGCTGGGGCAGTCATGTCATTTCACATGCCACGAGCCAAGAGTTGGCTACAATGCCAACGCCTTGACAACAACCAATTACTCGTACCATTCACTCTTTATTCAACAAGTGTACATGTTGCAGTTGGTGCCAAATATCAAATAATAAAAACTATTCTACTCAGTTTACAAATAACAACTGTAACAGAAATTCGAATTGATTATCCTAAAATTCTATCCTTCTTTTTATACTCAAAAAGCGAAAAACAAATATAGATTTGATTTTTTTCTTTTGTGAAGTTTTATGGGTTTTCATCTCACATATTGCAAAGTTATGTGAAACAGACAGTATATTTAAATTTATTTGAATGTAAACAAAGCAATTGATATAAATTGAAAACAAATCAGAGTTAACTTTCATTCGTTATATTCATATATTCGTTATGTCATCATAAATAAGAATTTTTATAGTGATTATGAAGAGTAATTCAACCAAAATTTTTATGTAGTTCACAGTTGGTCAACAAAGCAAGCAAAAATTTGTTCTTTATTTCAGCATAACCTCATTTTAAAATCCAATTTTGTGGCATGTCATCGTATTTTTGATGGTTTACCAGCTATGTCAACGCAGGTGAAAACTGCAAAGATGAAAGCTGATTTTGTGCATTAGATAAGGACTCAATATGTATGTGTGGAATAACTACTGGCGCTGAAAGTTGCTTCTATGCGTATACGTAATGCGACAACAAGTCCAACCATGCGAGTTGTTTACAAAACTGACTGTACAAATAAAATGCGTGCGTGCAATGAACAGCGAGAACGTGTAGAATTATATATATATATATATATATATATATAGCTGTTGTTCTTGTTGACTGGATGCGCGCTGTAACCAAAATATGCAATAGCACTGGCAAAACGAACTTAATGCACTCGATAGCTGCCATCGAGGACTTTGCTCGTGAGCGGATTAGCTGCCGCAATTTTTAAATGATGCGCACGTGCCATGCATGTGAGTGTAAATATACATTTTTGTGTGTCGGTTTAAGTCTCACGAAAATGCATTTTATCTCCACATATGTGCAGATACTATCTGTGTGAGCAATGCACGTGCTTGCCAGATCTTACGTACTTGTTACATAAGTATAGATATCCATTTGCTTTAACGGCTTAAACGCTTTCAATATTAAAGTGTTATAGAGTATAGTTTAGAATACTTAAAAGCCCCATTATATTGCTAAAGATATTGACTTGATACTACCCAATCTAATATAACTATTTGATTATTGCAGTTAAATGTTGAGCATCCACATATCTCTAGGTGTTTCAGGTTAATACGTTTGACATTTGATTTACTATCACGGGCAATTGAATGTACAAATTAAGTACATTTCAGGTTTTAATCAGAGGCAGCTGCTGCTCAAATCGTTTAATTAGAGCATTCTCAAATAAATTGCGTATGCTGTGTGGGAATTGGAGAAAAACCCAATTATGCTAATCAGTTGGATGCTAAACACAAGTGACCTAGACCCTGTATTAAAACAGGACAAACAACAGAAATCGTAAAAAGCTTAATAAAAGCCCGCAGAAGCCGCAATAAAATTGAAAATCAACAGGCGCAGGCCATTGATGAGAGAGAAAAGATAGAGACAGAGAGAGAGAGAGAGAGAGAGAGAGAAAGAGAAAGAGAACGATGTAGATTGGAATGGAAAGTGTCTCACGACAGCAATTAATTATCAGCTCATTTGTAGGCATTGGACGACACTTAATCAAAGGCGCATCAAGGCAAATTGCCGCATCAGCAGTATGGCTAGCAAGCAAACATACATACACAGATATATTTACATACATACATATATCCTGCTCACGCACAGGCACAAAGGATGGGAGCCAAAGGCGCCAAACTAATAAATCAATATGAGCCGTACGAAACTCATTCAGACAGATACCCGGTCAGCTCGATAAGCTTATTCTCCGATATCCGTTTACAAATTATCTTCAAAACTGTCAACAACAACAAAAGCAGCACTGGCAACGCTGACAAAACGAAACCACACCGAATAAAAGGCAAGCAAATAATCAGAAGAAGAAGAAAAAAACAGGCAATGAGGTAGGATCCCGGATGAACGGGACACAAAGGCGTTAGGATCAACTACAGGGGAATTAACATAATCATTATTATAATGTTATATGGCCATTGTGTAGTCCTGTTACGTCCTCGTAGTCGTTCTCTGCCAATATATATCCCTTTTTTTGCAATCAATAAGTTGTCAGAAACAATCAAATAAATACAAACTGATATGTCAATATTAACTGACAGGCGCATGAAACTCCAGACCCCATAAGGATGGGGCCTACACACACACACACACACACAGTATGCCCAACTTAATGTGGCTGTGTGGCTCTTTGTGTGTTAAAAAAGGCCAACAGCTGACGATAGGCGAAAGGTCTGGTAGAGCACATAACATTGGGTTTATTCTTGTAAATATTTGAATATATTTTCATGAAAGTTATAAAAAATAGTATCATGATACAAAATAATTTGAAATTAGCGAAGTATGCTTCTTCAAAGAGCAAGGTAAATATTTAATTTAATTTTACGCTTCGTTAAATTTGCAAATAATTGATAAATAAATTTGTAGCTTTACATAAATTAAATGAAAAATATAGATACATGTTGCCACTAAGGTACATAACTTTTTAAGCTAGGATTGATTAGAGATACACTTTTGAAATAAAATCTCATTGTAGATTATCTTTCAACATTTTAATGCATATTAATATAAGCTTGATAACAAACCGCTATCGAATATGTATTTCCTTTGAGAATCGATTAAGTTTTGAGGGTTAAGTTTGTCAAAGTTATAGGAGAATACAATTTGGACAAGTTGGTTTCTTGGAATACATCCTCAAATTTAAATTTTATTAATTTTCTATATGCCAAGCTAATCAGAAAGTTTTTGATTTTGACAATCAGTTCAGGTTTGACAAAATTTTGGTAGACTTGAAAAATGTAATAGTATTATGAAAATGATATGTGATTTAATGTACCACTGTGCAGATTATGCGTAAATTCTAGATGTGTTCCGGCTGCCTGAACCTCCCGAGTCTCTGCTTAGGAATGCGTGTAATTGGGTGTTGCCAGCTGCCCTTGCCGGGACGGACATATAGAATTCCTTGATCTGGTTGGAGTGTGAGTGCGGGCTGAGTTGTTTGGCGGCTTAGTGCACCCTTTTCATGGCTTTATGTTATGTCTTTGTAAAACGACAAGGCAAGCCAACCAAAGCGGAACAACAAGGAAATAATATTCTACTATTTTTTTTTTTTTTTTGCGTCCATTTTCATTTGGGAACCGGAACCAAAACACGCTTGTTAGTTTCCGTCTGGCTTTTATCCTTTCTATTTCCATCTTCGGATGTGACTCACAGACGGCCATATGCGTAATCAAAGACGGAATTTATTGTTTGCCATCGCTCGATGGACAAATAAAAAAAAGCACACACACACTCTGACATACAGAAAAATGCGAACCAGTTTCTTGGCACAACAAATGGTCTCTGGTCTGAACTGGTCTTGGACTCACATACTTATGTACTTACGAATAAATAAATATCAGCCCGCTGGCGCTAGGCACGTTTTATTGAATTGATTTTATAAATGGCGCCATTTGGCTTAAGTTCCGCCCAGTTGATTGTTAAGCGCTGACAAATTAATAACATAAATTGTTTAACGCCTTTGCTCATCAATGGCTTCGTCCTTTTTTGTTTTTTTCGTTCCTTTGCAGGGGCACATCGGGCATTGATATTGACTTGCGCCGCGTGGATATCGACCAGTGTCCGCAACGGCACACACCAGGCACAAAGCGACCACTAAACATTTTTGCCGGCACCGATAAGTGCAAGCAGCGGACTACCATGGTGGGTACTTAAAAAATACAACAGAAAGATAATAAGCATTCCCCACAATTTACTCCTCAAAATACAAATATTTCATTAAGTATTTTAAAGTCTTTTTTTCGTAATTAAAATGATCTATCCTTTTTCTTTCTGGTAAATAAGAAGAGTTGCGATTTTTATATGTATTTATTATCATTTATTTTAATTAAGACTTTTAGAAAGGATGTGCTGAATTTTTCGCCAGTTTCTTTCTTGCTGATAAATAATATAAGCTTTATATAGCCGAATTCTAGTTCATATGTATATTTGTTGCTGAGTGTTGACGCAGAAGTCAGCAGTCAATTGCTTATGGTTTCACTTCTATACACTTCTCACCTTTCTCTTTATGTTATCTACCACTGGATGTGCGTAACCACAGTGCGAGGCAATAATGGGTCTGGGCTTTCGGCGCGGCTCCTACAAATGCCTGTGCCGCAAGGGCTTCTATTTTCCAGATGTGGTCGCGCAGCACAAGTTCTTTAATGGCAGCCTGCTGGAGGAGGAGTACGAGAAGCTGATGCTGGTACGTTTAAATTGTATTGCGGCATAAATTATCATTATCATGATGGCGGGGAAACTGAAACACAAATCCGCTGAGTCAGGTGGTCTCAATAATTGCCAACGCTTAACCGAAACACTCATTTAATATGTAGCCACCACCAGTCATGTCTGTTGCCCTGTGTCTCTTTGTAGGGCAAGAACTCGACGTACAACAGCAACACCGAATACGAGTGCCTGCCTTGCGCCGAGGGCTGTGACTCCTGCGAGGATGCCTCGCCCTGCATTGCGGCCCTCAACTGGCCCATGCGCACCAGCATTGTGGCACTGGCCTGCATTGTTATCGGTTTGCTTCCCCCCGCTGCCTGGTTCACGTTTCGCTATCAACAAGTGAAGGTAAGTAAAAGTGACCAACAATTGTGCTTGGCCCGAAAATATAATTATTATACTGACTGTTGCGCGTGCTCGTGCTCGTGCTCGTGTCCGTGCAGCAAGTGCTTGCCCACTTGCCATCTCGCTGTCCAGTTGTTCAAAGTGGCAGAGACAACTTTTTTGTTGTTGTTGTTTTGTAAGTCAGCAGGCCAGGACTGGGTGGAGCTTAAGTAAAGTTGTCAAATGCCTCAGATCCTCTTCGGAGCATGGCCAACCTAAGCTGCTGTCATTGGAATGCTAAGCTGCTTAGCATTGTTAGTTTCAAGTTAATTTTGTACGTGCTGCGTGCGTTCGTTCGTTCGTTCCCGGAAATTGTCGCACATAAACGGAAGTGCAAACATTCACACACAGTGATATCCACTTCCCCTTCCACTTTCACTTCCTTCCTTCCTTCCGACTGCACACTGTTCTGCGGCCAGTCCGGTGTCACTTGTGCGCTCATTACGTACGTTCATGGACCAACAGTCTCTGGCGAATAGTTTTTAAACCGTTTTCAAAACTTTCCTCTGCGAATCGCTTCCTATGTACATAATACATATTACAGACATGTATGTGAGCATAGTGAATTATTAAATTGCCCTTGTTGGCGCTCTTGTCTGTGTGTGTCTAAAGGGAAGGGAGGCCAAAGAATCAGCGCAGTCAGCAAACGAAAATGTTTTCATTTCTAATGCGATTCTGTCGCATTTACGTCTGCCTCTACTTCATTCTCATGTCCTCCGCACTAACTAATTAAATGCCGCTAAATCCTTCTCAGTCTGACAAGCAGCAGCCAAGGATGACTCCAGTTTGTCTGGAGCTCTCTGTTTAGGTGACCTTTTTGCACTTTGTGCGTTTTGCTTTGTGCTCTGCTCAATTGTTCAGATCAGAGACGATTTCAATTTGAATTTTAACTAAGCCACGCCACGTTTTGCACTTTAACAGCGAACTCTCAGCATAGCACAGCATACTAAATATAGTCTGCACTTATCCTTTAATACCCAATTTAACAGTGTAATAAACATTTCAACAATTGTAGGTTGTGCGCGCAGCTAGCCCAGCCCTTTTGCGGGTCATTGCACTCGGCGCGTTCTGCATCTATTGCACGGTAAGTTTAAATTAATCTAAACTATAAGATACGCTGCTGTGAGTACTGAAACCAAACAAACTCAAAGTTAATCTAAAAGTTTATTTGGTATTCATTTAATTAGAGCAAATACTCTGAGACATTTATTTTCCACTGCAATTTAAATGTAAACTGTGCCAAAACTATTTAAAAAAAAAGAAACTGTACAAGTTGTTCAACTCATACAATTTGCTGAAAGTTTTTTTTACTAAATTCCTATTTCAATTGGCTTAATCTATTGTTTGGCTTTAAATATATGTGTGTACAATGTGAAACGGCATTCTACATTGCTGAAAATATGAATAATACAAGAATAGTTGTCCAATTTTAAATTGAAGTCCAAAATTTGAATCAGTGCATTGCATTTCACGAGATTGCCAATTCTGTTATCAATTTAAATACAGAATTTAATATTTATGTATGCAATATGAAACGGAATTCTAAATTGCTGAAAAATGAATTACAAAAATAGTTGACAAGCCTTCAGATAAAATTCAATCTGAATCAGTGTATTGCATTTAAAATGGTTTCCAATTTTAATATAAATTTAGATTGTTTTTCTTTAATTTGGATTAAAGTCGATTACAGTATAAAAACGTTATTTTTAACACTAAACACAATATGCATAGCATATACTCTTTATCAGACAAATGTAGCCATGTATTCCTTACAGTTGAAATCCATTACAAAACTGACTTTTGCCTATTTTAAATTGATGGATTTAGGATTGATCAAAATTGACGAACAAAATTGGCATATTGCCCAAATATAGAACTTTAAACGAGAGTTCGTCGTTTCACAAACACTCTACATACGTCAAATTATATGCATATATATTTAAAAGAATAAATATATATATATTTATGCAGAAGACAGCAGACAATGCGAGTCAGAAGATATATTGTGCTGTTTTATCTAAGGTATGGCTTGTGCCATTTACCAGGAGCACAACGGCCAAAGACCGAGCTAAAAAAGATACATTATTTGGTTCAAAGGCAGTTCGTTTGCTTTATGATTTTTTAAAATGTGCTTAGAGTGGGAGACCGAAGCGATCCGAATCTCCTGTTGTTGGCATTGGCTTTGATTTATTTATATTTCAGAGAAAAGGAAAGCACATTAAACATTTACGCACAGCTAGCAACAGTGCACATTTATGAAAAATTCCAAAATATTCATGAAAAAGGTAGACTTTTGCTGTGCGCAAAATGTACAGTTGAATTGGCATCTTTCCCGTTCCTGTTAACTATTATTCCCAATTCTGGCTCTCTCCTGCGACAAGTCGTAGCTGAAAGCAAAACATTTCCGCCTCAACATAAATGTCTTTTGCAATTCGAATTGCCCGAGCAGTCTCCACAATATTCTACTGAACTACAAAATTGTTCCTTTCCATTTTTTTATTTATTTTATTCTTCAATTAGAATATTGTGATGTATCCGAATCCGAATCTCTACACGTGCACCGCACGCATCTGGCTGCGTGAGATTGGCTTCTCCCTGACCTACGGTGCACTGATGCTGAAAACCTGGCGGTAAGTTGGGAACATCTAAAATGCATTCCTTTCCTACTCACACAATCTCGGACAGGATTTCAGTGATATTTCGGGTTCGTTCCGCCAAAGCTGTCAAAATCACAGATGCAGCGTTGCTCAAGCGGCTGGGCATCATATGCGGCGCGATTGGAACCTGTTTGCTGGTACGCACATTGGTGTCGCCCCCGGACGTTGTCGTTGGCCGCACTGCTGATGACCTCAAGGCGTTTCTGTGCAAAACTGATTGGTGGGACTATACATTCACCTCAAGTAAGTGCACAGAGCCAGCAATTTCATTTCATCATGTCGAGCATAGACAGCACACTTGATTGATACTGAAGCCACTTAAAACCAAACCCGACACTCACACACACACATACATACACACAAGAAATAAGTCGCACGAATACAGAGCGATGCAGTCAAATACAGTATTACGCATACGCACTGTGTGCCGCAGCAAGGTCGAAATGGAATGCCAGCAGTTAAGTGAAAATAAGCAGCGTATGTGTGCTCTAGGCTTAAACTGAAATACAGTCACAAGGCCCCATTCATAGAGTGATATCCTTGCAGTCCAGTGCAGCTAATTCGAGTTTTTGTAAGCGACTTTTCACTTTCCTCTCGCCCTCAAAAAGGCAGAGCAGCAACTATATAGTGATTGTTCGCTAATTGCAAGTTAGTCGATTTAAAAATGTCACTTTGAAGAGCATCTCATTAGACCTTTTAGAGATTTTAGAGATATATTTACAGAAATTAAAATGTGACAACTACTTTAATCATCTAAATATGCTTTTAGCTTAAGCCAAATTTTAAATCCCAGCATTGAAACTAATTGCCAAGCGAGAGCTCTAAATTTGTATGCTATAAATATTTGATTAAACATCAAAAAATATTGCGCTCAAAGCAAAAAAAAAGTAACACAATTTTTTGGGTTAGCGCAATAAAGTTTGAAATAGTTCTGACTGTGCACTCTTTTAATTCGATGATGCAGTGATGCACAAATATTTGTTTAAGCTATGTCAGCGGAAATTTAGATCAGTCATGCGTTTTTTAGGGTACTTTTTATGTTTTTTTCCCTCTCTTGATTAGCGTTGCATGCTACAGCTGCAGCAACTTTTCACAGAAGTCAGTAAGTATAGCAGAAGACAGCAAAATGAACTGATAAGATTTCACTGCACTCTAAATAAGTTGATTTTTATCAAGTGCACATTCCAAGCGCAACTAGAAGCGCACATTAAAACTGTGAAAAGAATGATGCAAATTGGCGTTTGCTTTGTTTTGCATTTCTTTGAACTTAGAAAAGGGCTAACAACGTTTTCTAGCAATTTAACGCTGTGTGTGTTTTTCTTTCTTTCGCAATATTGAGTACTGACTATACAATAACATTAAGCAATTATAATTAGCAACAACTGTTGCAAGCACCGAGCCCTGAAGTTTTTAATTAAAATTAAAACCAAAGTAAAAAGCCACACAAACTCACAAAGGACTCAATCCACAACGAAAAAACTTGTGCCCTCTACTATTTTGTTTTTTTTTTTTCTCCCTCTCGCTTTTTTATGTATGCTCACCACGTCAAACAGTGGAAGTATTATTCTTGGCCTGGGGCGTCCGACTGTGCATAATGGTGAGAAAGGCGCCGTCGGAATTCAATGAGAGCCGCTTCATATCAATGGCCATCTACAATGAGTTCCTGCTCACTTGTTTCCTCAACGTGTCCATGTAAGTAGATTTCTCGGAAACTCAGCACTTAATTTTCTGCATTTGCTTTTTGTTTTCCTTCTTTCTTGCGATGCGATTCGATTCGATTCGATTCGCATTTGGTATTATCTTTGATTTAGCATTTACAATTTTATCGGTTTTCTTTGTCAGGCTTTTTCTGCAGTCTCCCGCAAATCCGGATCTGCTCTATATCATATTCTTTTGCCACACGCAGCTGACGGTGACGCTGCTGCTGGCCCTCATCTTTGGCAGCAAGGTGTGTGTGTGTGTATTAAATGCTTCGATGGATTTGCAGTTGTTGCCACGAATTCTTTTATATTGCTTTTTACTTTTCAGGTTTACATCGTGCTGCGAAGCGGTAAGTCGCATCAGGAGAATATCGGAATGGGCGCCAAGGCATCGGGGGCGAAATTCAATTTTCGACCGCAGGTGCGAACCTTTGCCCATCCAAGTTCGGTGACAACGTCAACGGCGCCTGCAGCTGGCACCACTTCGGCAGGTAAGTAATTGCATCATTATGCTTGCCCATCGACGCTTATGCCTAACGATATGTCCAGTCCGGTTCCGTCCGCTCGACCAAAGTAAAGCAAAGCCAACAGCAAAGAGCCAAAAGTTGCTACTTGAATTTGGCTTTTGACAAATGATGCACAAGTCCTACATGGTAGAACTGGACCAGGCAATTTATGCAAGCATGCTGATTAAGTCAACTGTTTTGACTTTTATTTATGGCACTTTATTTGGCAAATTAAAAAATAAACTTATGGCAAGTGGCGTCAGCCTATCAGTGGCAACGTCGTCTAGCCGCTGCATACACATAACACATACATATGTACTTGAATATTCGCAGATATCTTGTGTCAAGCCCAGCGTTGATTTATGTAAGCGTCTCCTACGCAAAAATGTCCTCTTTGCTTGATGCGGTTAACCTATGAATGTTCAGCAGTGGTTGTGTGTACTTCTGTGTGTGTGAGTGTGTGTGTGTTGTCACGAAGAAGCAGCAGCGGCGGCCAAGCTAAAAGTTCAACTGACATATTTGTTTGTTTATTTTTTTTTTATCTTGTTGGCAAAGTCGTGTTAGACAAGAGTCATCGAAATTTGTTAAGGGTTTATTCCCCGAAGTCTCTCAATGCCTGATGATGTTCTTTTGATAAAATGTCACCAATCCCGAAAATATATTTCAAAGAAGTACTTTCTTACTTTTCTGCGAAGTACATTTGTGAAAGGTAAAAAGGCCAGCAATGGCATATCCTCCGTTTTCTAGCTTAAATATTTTTTCTGAGTGTGTAAGATACTCGAAATTAGATAGAGCATAAAAGTTGTGGGCCATAAAAAGTTTGTTCAGTAGAAAAAGCTAAGCATTTATGTGGCAGGTGGGCGTGGCTCAAGAATAGAAGCAAGAATTTAGTAGTTCCAGACGCCTTTAGGGAGAAAGTCTACTTACGTTTTGGCCAATGGTTTTCTGGGCCTCAGTTTTAATTTGCGGCGCCTATTTCGAAGTTTATCACCGAGAGTGACGCTTTATGTTTTAATGCTTTATGAGCGACCTTTTCCTCATCGGTGCGGTTTTTATTTTTTTTTATTTAATTTTTTATTGCTCGTATTTCTATTTCTCTTCTTATATATTTTTTTTATTTATTTATTTTTTTTTTGTGACGGCAGCCGCAATTGTGGTTGCGTAAATTGTGCGTTAAATTTAAAAACATTTGCTAGACGCTCTCTCATTGTGATGCGTTGCGTGCTGCGTTTTTTAAGAGGCCTGACTTCAATTTGCATATTTAAATTAAACAATAACAACGCCACTAATACATATATACAAAAGTAGACACACACACACACGTACACGCAACTAGAGACAAAGTTGTTAGCTTATATTCATGTGCATTTGTATTTGTGTGGTGAATTTTAAATATATATATATATATTTTTTTTTGTGCAAATATGTGGATTATATTGTGGCATTATTCGGCAAAGAGCGCATATAATAAATTCAATTCTGGCCACTTCTGCTGCTCACGCTTAATTTCACAGCCATAAATCTAAATCCAGCTACAGCAAAAAAAAAAATAAAGAAAAAGAAAAAATTTACTGCTCTTATGTTATGCTGTTTTTCTTGTTGTTGCTCTTGTTCTTGCTGTTGTTGTTGTTTGTTGTATTTGAAAGTCGCGTCAAGTGGCGCTGAGTGGACTCACTTAAATCACACTGACAGGCTTTCAGTTGAATTGAACGGCCATTTATCATCGTGCAATCTGCTCCACCCATCCAGCCATCCAAGCACCCACCACCCACACAAACTGGTAGGCTGTCCCTAACCACAAACAGCGTCCATTTTCATTTTCATGTTGCCTGTTTTGTTGGCTGCCACAGCTACAGAAATACGCATTTAAATTCGTTGTCCTCACAGCGAACATTACTTATGCCAGCCAACTTTTGACATGAGCGCAACTTTTTTAGTGCAAAAGTTAAGGGGGGTATGCGGTAGTAGGGTGTTCGTTCTGGCAGCTTTTCCACTTGAAAGTTGCGTCAGCGTGTAAATAATGCTTTTTATACCCTGATCCCATTCAAAATTATTAAAAGGGGCATTATGAAGTTGTGCAAAAGGATGTAACAAGCACAAGGCAGCATCTCTGACCCCATTATGTAAATATATGTTGTTGATGAGCGGCAACAGTCGAGTCGATTAACCCATGTCCATCTGGGAGACTAGAGACTAAAGACTTGAAATTTGTAATATATCATTTCTTGTGTATCAAGTGCAGATCAAGTTTATAACATTTGATAATGACTTTCGGTATCTGCAAGTCGAGATCTTTCCTCTAGAGTACGCATACGTGTTTGTGCAATAATTGTAATTGATGAGTATGAGGCAGGATGAACGACTTCATCAAACACTTATTTCTGTATTGCAGAGACGAAGCTCTCCGACCAGGAGGCGCTCGAGGAGATACGCCAGTTGAGCATGCAGCTGGAGCGCATACAGGAGATGGCGCCACCCAAAGGTGTCGCTGTAATGACCATCTCCAGTCTGCTCGACGGTCTTAAGACGCCCGGTGGCATAATGATGGTTGCTGCTGCTGCCACGCATACAGCGAGCCGGCAGAGTGCGTTGCCTCTGCTGGCGCTCAACGCCGAGATGCAAAAGTACAACCAGCAGATGCAGCAAAACAATAATGCAAATGGCAGAGCTGCTGCTGCTTCTGCGGCTGCTGCTGCTGCCGCTGCTGCTGCCGCCTCACGTGGCAGCATACCCACCATGGTGCTGGAGACGCCGCCCTCATCGGCGTCACCAACAACGCCGACAATTGTCTACGAGGAGCGTGCGATAAACACCGAGCTAAGTGGCGATGATTTTCGGGAGCAGCTGTTGCGTCGCACCGCCGATGGACACATCATCTGCAGTCGGTGTCTGGACGCATCCAAGGAGCATTACTATTGCTGTCCGCCGTTGCGTAATGCCTGTGAGGAGCTGGGCTCTCCACAGCAGGAGGGCAGCCTGAGTTTTGCCAACATCAAGCTGGACTGCATGTGCTCACAGTCCGAGGATCTCGATCTAGATCAGATGCAACTGGCGCAGCAGCAGCACCAGCAGCAGCAGCTACGTCGACCGGTTGTGCGTACGGCAGCAACGAATACGCCGCCAACGAGCTGTAAACGTGGTCCGCGCAATTTGCTCGAGGCGGAGGTGAGCATTTCGTATCAAATTTGTGATAACTGTAGAAATAAGTATAGGCTTAGCGATAAGCCGTTAAGAAGACGCAGTGGCAGTTGCACACAGGCAGAGCCACACCCAGCGCCGCCCACACAAACGAGAAGCAGTGAGCTCCTCGATCGCACTGAGGACAACACTGTGACTGTTGTTGTTGGTACGAAAACTGCCCGCTCCACAGATGACATTGCGCTCTATAAGACAACGCATCCGGGCGATAGCGATTCGGAGCCGATAGCCGCTCAGCTATCGCTGGGCAATGTCTCGAACACATCCAACAATTCCACTAGCCAAACGGACAAGACGAGTGGCAGCGGGGCGGGCGGGCAGCGGGCCAAGCGTCCCGATAAGCTGGTGCTTGATTTGAACGATCGGTCCAAATACACCAAGGAGGTTTCTGTATAAAAGCTTAAGAAAGACAAAGAGAGATAGAGAGAGATAGAGAGAGGGAGAGAGAGAGAGGTAGAGAGTGCTTTTCTTTTTGGTTTTTAAAATTGCAAATTGATAATGATTATGTTATGCAAATTAAATAAAAAAAAGACTTTATGAAATTTAATTGTATGATGATAGAAACTATAGCAAGTAATACTATTACAAAGATATTATGAATATGTATATTAAAACAATACTAATAAGTTGGCAAAAACGCTTGATTTCAATGAAGCCAAATGGGACACTTCAGCCGGTCAGCGATTTGTATTGCCTTCAGGCCCAAAACACAGGCGCAAAGCATTTGCAACGATAATGAGCCCCATGTTGTGAATACTTTGCACTTGGTAAACACACATATTCAAATTGAAATACAAACACAAACACATGAATCTCACACACACACCCACACAGACACAGACACAGATACAGACACACAAACAAGCAGCGTCGCCGTTTTGTTGAAAATCATGTGCTTTTGCAGCAAGCCAAAATTTAATTTACATTTAAATTGCATTCGCAAATAATTTTAGCTAAGCCGCTAACGAACCTAATTGCGAACGTCATCAATAGCTTAAAGAGTAGCTGACATGATCAACCATTAACTAGTTAACTAAGTCATGTTTCAAGTGCCGCTATTGAAAATGGCATTATAATTGAGCACGCGCACACAGATATACATACCTAGATTATTTAGATATGTTTCGTACTTCTAGCTGTTAACTGTAAAATAAACATATCTCTGCCAAAAAAAAAGAAAATAATTAAATAATATATAACTAAAAAAAAACAAAAGAGCGCTCATAATTCAGAGCCTAGATTAATTGTAGCTACTAACGATTATTACTAACAATTGCCCCAAGAACGAAAACACAACTAATACAAATACAAATAAAAATAAAAATAAATTGATTACATTGAAAGTGCAGCTAAATATTGATTTAGCATTGCTCACACATTTATTGAAGTATATTGGAAGTTATGAATTAAAAAAAAAAACATTTTTTAAATACATAAAATGTACGATAAAAATGCGAAAATTGTTATTTAACTATATCTGATGAATAAAAGTTTATTATAAATGTCTGTAAACTGAAACAAAAGCTTGGGAACTGCAACGATAGCCGACAACAATTGAGTTAAAACTTTCACCTGCATGGGTAGCTTCAAAAATTGTTTTCAATCTGCCCTCAGTAAGTAAGTATGTGCATATCTGTATGGCTATCAAGAACATTAGCAAGTGAAAAAAATGAGAAAAAGCACAACACACGCACTTGAGGACTCTTTCGCTTTATGGCCACGTTATTGCCTTTATCTTTATGGACATGCCTCTGTGACTATATGTATAAGTGTGTTGTGGGTGCTTCTTGTCTGTTTTTTTTTCTGTTTTTTTGTTTATTTTTGTGTGACCCTTTTTACCATTTATGGGCTCGTTTTATGAATGCCTTTCCAACAAACATCAACACAGGAATTCATGCGCACATACATAATATACACACACAGCAAAATATCAACCGTTTTTGAACAAGACGTTAATTTAAATCTTTATACAGCATTTGCCTGTCGATGTTTTCATTTCATTAAAATTCCCCAGCTGGCTGATAGCGACGGTTAAAGACCCTTAAGAGCATACACACACGCACACTCACGCACACTCGCACACACCCACATGCACCAACACATGATAGTGTTATCATATTCGTAAAGGACTTCGGCAGTGGATATGCGTGTATTGAATGCTCAAGCATGTTACGCAACCCGGTGAATTTCAAGTGAAATTAATTTAAAGAACTCCCTTAACGTGTTGCTTTAAGCCCATGTCTCACTTCACACTTTCCAAGTATTTTATTGACTCCTACTTCAGCTAAAAGAGCTAAATTAAAGTTTGTGGGAAAAGGCAAACAATTCGTATATTTACATATTTCTGATTAGCAAGAAGTTTATCGAAACGAATTTTAGTACACAAAATGCTTAATTCAGCAGTTGATGCTTTAAGCTACTTAGACTGTCTTAACGTTAACTTAAGAACCATTTAGTCGAAGATTTACCAATTAAGTCCAACTTAAACTTTAAATTTCTGCTCACTTTATATATTTTTATTTATACTGAAATTGCAGTCAGTCACATTTGAGGTGAAAATAAAAACAAAGTTTTACAGAGACAGCAAAAAAATAACGAGGAAATTAAATCTGCTATTTTACAAAATATACATTGAAGTAAATCGTTGCAATAATAAATAACGTGACATCTTTGACAGTCGTGTAAAACATTGTGGCTCGAATGCTAAATAGATTTCAAGCCGCGTGACCGCAACGACAACCCCAAATATTTGATTGGCTTTCTTGCAAAATGTGTCCACCTTCTCATACTGCAAGATACTTCCCTGTCTTTCAGCCAACATTCCGAAAATGTTTTTATTTACTCTATTTGCCATCAAAAGTCAGAAGAAATGAGCAGCGCGTTTATACAGAAAACAGACAATGTACATAAAGAAAACAATTAACAATTTTCTGGCTGGGTAAAGTCAAATATTCTGTAATAATATTAAACGTATATTAACATAAATTACCTTTTTCACGTCTGCATATACTTCTATATTATAACATATGATTTTTTAAAAAATCTCAAAATGTATCCTTAACCTATAGTAGTCATACAACCTTTTCAACAAATTGTATGACAGGGTATAAAAACGATAAGCTTAAATCTACTAAAACTTCTATATAAGGGCACTTGCATAAAAATCCTATTAATAGACAGCTTATGCAATTGAACTTGTGGATTTTTATATATTCTCTTTTATATATTCTCATCTCTCTCCATTTTTGTTCTGTGTAGAGACAACAGACATTTAATGGAGAGCCTGTTGCAATGCCACAAGTCAGGAGCTTAATTTTGGTTGGCAATAAATTTGAGATCTGAATTCGTTAGGCCATTTGGTGTAAAGCATTCTAAATAACAGAATAAAGGCACTTAGACGCAATACGAATTGGTCTTTGTTAGCAGTGCTTCACAATTTATAACCATGTCGATGCTGATGATGACCTTTGATAGCAACGGGGATGGGGTGATGACTGGTAAATGTGAAAGTCAAAGGTCTGGGCTGTAGAATTTCAAACATTTTTCATCACTTAATTACGGCAATAAATGCCAGTGGAAATTTCTTTGCGCCACATCAAAATGGCATTAAATAAAAACATGTTAACGACTTGCAGGCCAAAAATTGCAAAAACCAACCAAAAAAAAAATTGGTAGCAAAAAGCAGCTAGGCGAACAAAATTTATGTACAAAACAATAAAGCGTCAAAAAAAAGAAAGAAAAAAACACTTACGCACACTCACCCAAGTGTAATGTGATAGAGGAACATGTCGAGGGCAAAAACAATAACAACAACATCAGCAAAAGACAGCCACTTGGGGCTCACGTGCGTTGGGCCAATTAAAATTAAAGTAGGCACTGAGAGAAGCTAAACTGTGTATGTGTATGTGTATGGGTGTGTGTGTGTGGGTGTGTGTGTGTGTGCAGATGCCTAAAATAAGTGCAATAAAATGAAATTGCTGAACAACACCTTATTAACGGCAGCTGCCTCTCCGCCCACATCAAGCGAGAAAGAGAAAAAGGCAAAAACAGACTGAGGAAATTACCAGCCCCAGTCAGTTGTTGCGACTCCATTGTGATTCCATTGCTTCTTGTTGCCTTTTCAATTTTGTATACCCAGCACTCATATAAACTGTGTGTCAAAAGGGTAATTTGAAATTGTAACAAGCTGATCTAATCAATTATGTGATTTTTATTTATTTTTAAATTAAGCACACATTTTAAAAATATTGTAATTTTTTAGACAATTTGAACTCATCTGTTAAATTAGGTCGTTAATATCTTAAAATATTTGTAAGGATATGTCGTAGTCGGGCATAGTGTACTTTACTCGATAAATGTTGTTCTTATCCAAAGAATAAAGAAAAAACAACAAAAAAATGGCAACTTTGATGCCACGATATCCTCTGACAATGGCAACGTGGCTTTTTATTTCCATCCGTTAAATACTCTTTTGTTTTTTTAAGTTTTATACCTACAATATATACTTAAAAGAAACACTTATCGTTTCAGATTAGATCAATTCGGCATTATAAATAGTAATACATATATTAACAATTGTTTTATAATATTGAAATATTTTCTATCTTGCTAAATTTAAACAAGCTTATCCCATAAATGAATTTAACTCCAAGCAGTGTATATTAAGTAAGAAACAATCACCAGCTGGGCGATAGGCGTTTTATCTTCCTCCTCCAACCCTCAAGCACTCAATAAAGACTCAAATTAAGGCCACTTGTGCTCATGTGACTTAAAGCGATACTTTAAGTTCTCACCCTTAAAATATATCGGTTAATTGGTTTTGTGGAAAGCTTCGTAAATATTTTGATCTGATAAAATGTCATCTGCAGCACTGTTTGCATTGCCGTAACTCAAGTGCTTTTTCATATGCTTCACATTGACACACACACTTGCAAAACATATTATACCATCACAATAGGGGAAACGTTGCAACCGACTTCAGAGAATATGTTATATATGTTTTTGAATGGCAGCTACGCTACAGTCTTGCAGTCAGAAGTGTCATAATATGGGAACTCTACCTGGGCATAACAATGCTTAACTGAAAACGGTTTTTTGATATAAAAACATGTAAGAAAAAACAAGCAAAAAATAAAAGGAATAAAAACGCACAACTGCATCTGAGTGTGCATATAAATTGCATTACACAGTTACTGGCTTAGGTGTATATGTAAAAAATAAATCTGCCTCAAGTGCAAGGATTGTAGTCCCACACCTGTCTAGCGCACACACTCACACTCACACCCACACACACACACACACACACATACATTTGTTTCCTTAAACATAACTATTTGAATGCAGACATTGCTGGCAGACAAGCTTGAAGTACTCAGCTGGTACCCAAAACCTGGCCCCCAATCCACAACCAGCAGACCCAGACCCAAACCCTCAACCGCAACCCTAACTCAAAGACTGATTTTACCTATGACTTGACTACGATACTGAATGCTGACTGGCTGGTTGGCTGGCTGACGTTACAGTTACAAGCCATTTTGCAAATGTGTCGGTTGCTATTTGGATGAGATGCGGATGTGCGATAAGCTTCAAATGCAAAAATTGAGTATAAGCTCAGCATGTGTGCGATGGAGATAAAGATAGACAATGTAAATAGTTTCCCTCTCATTTTCACACTTTCACGAAACGTAACAAATAAATATATTAAAATTGAATGTATTCTACCAAAGCATATCCTGCCTTGAGCTATCATAGATTCCGATTGGATAAGGATACCTGGCATTCATGCACAAAATTTAAACTTGAAGTAACATAGCTGATGCAGGACAGAATTTACAAAAAATTTACTTTAATATAAATTATACTAAATTGCAAAATATAGTAATTTTGGGTTGAGATCAGATGTGATCATGTGAAGCATCACTTGTAAGACAATAAGAATCGGAATAGGGTATTAATACTACTACAAGTCGGCACCTGTGTTTTATAGTCGGGCATGTGTCTTGCCAACCACTCTTCGGTTATTCCCACTTAATATAACATCTGTATTCTGTGCGCTCACTTGCCACTTATCCGCTTTTAAATGGAAGGGGCGGAGGAGGGTCTGCTTCAATTGAGCGTACAAAAGTAACAGATTGCGATTTACTTTCACAGCGGAAATAAAGGGAAAGCGATCACTTGAATCTAAACCAAATGTCTAAAAAAAATAAAAATAAAAAAAAAATGGCAGCACTTTGCTCGTAAGCCTGAAATGCATTGTGCCCTAAGCTTAATTCACTTGCCAACTGTGAGCTCGTAAGTGGTGGCACTGCAGGAAGTCAAAGCTCAGGCAAACTGGTGGAGCAGCAGCCACCTGTCGTCTGTCATTTGTGGTGTTGAGCGGGTGAAATGTGAGTGATGTTGGGGTCCCACAACCTGGTGGGGTAAATGAGAACGGAATTTCCAATTAATAAGAAAAAGGATGAATTACATTAAAAGCAAATGGTAAAAGGATCAGGTTAGAATGCCTTGGGCGACGGGTCGCCTGTAAAAAAAATGCTTAAATATATGCATATATATGTTAGCAAACCGAAGATGATTACCAATAAAATTAGATAAATCGACTTAAAGCAAACTGAAGCGAGTTCAGCAAATGCCTTAAGCCATTTTATGTCTACAATGTCTTATCGCACACCAAAGAATTAGTTTAATATATGCCTTATTATATTTTATATCTACAGTATGTAATCAATACTGCAATCCAAATACCATAGATACAATTTATAGTCTTTACTGACACTTAATTAAAATAGATAGGCTTAAAATTAAATTAATGGCATTAAAGTTCAATAATTGCGCAATTTAATAATAAATAAAACACTAAATCTAATTAGAGCAGTATGAAAAATAATCAGAATCAATTTACAGCCAATGGAAGCTAATAAAATTTTAATTAATTATCACTGCAATAGCAATTTATATTTGATTACAAAAATATTTAACATTATGAAGTTTCGTATTACTGCTGCCAAACGGCATAAAAACCAATTATGCCGAGGCAATTCAAGTGCAGACTCTAAGTAGCTGCGGGACTTAAATGATAATTGAGATTTTATGCACCCCACACTACAGCCACAAAGAGAGAAATCATTGGCTAAAATGTGCATCAGTGTGAGCCACAAAGTACACATTTCACATGGGCTGCAGGTACATAGATAAAGCGACTGAGCCAGCCCCTATAAGGAACATATATCAAAGTGAGTACAGCGCAAAACGAACATTGTATCTACGGGAAGCACAATATGTATGTATCTATGTACATATGTATCTGTTTTTAGCTGTATATGAGCAACGGCTGATTATTCGCTTTATGTGGCGTCGCACATATAACAATAAAACCTGAAATGTTAGCAATGAAAAGCACAAATAATAAAGCACAAACACAGCACACACGCATACACAAAAACAACACACGCACACACAAATAAATATAAATATATATATACATATCCATATAACTATGCCTGCAAATGTACTTTGTATGTTTTGTTGTTAGAGCTACTTTTACGTAATTGCTGCACTCAGTTTAAGGACAATTGACGTGCAGTCGAGCTGGAGGACGAAGTGGTTTTTTGGTGCCACTCTAGGGTGGGCATGAGCTTGGGAAACCCGACCACAAATGCATTTGTCGAAAATTGGTAGCCAGAAGCAATTTCGTGTGCGGTTTGCACTTAAATTAGATGTACAAACAGTTGAACAAAGCACTTGAAATTAAGTGATGCAAATCACAAGCGTCTTATAAGTCAAATACATTTGAAGCATTAATTACCGCATCGAGATGTGTGTGGCACAATTTGCTAAAATTAATGGCTTAATTACAATACGTTGTGGCATTGAATTTATGCGCACTGCTCAAATGGACGATTGCTCTTCGGGCAGGAGAATATCGTACTCATTTTATTGCGCATCATAAATATTTCGTAAAAATTGCCTTTAATTAATTCCAGGACATCCTATTGTCTTGGGCTTGGTCGCACGTAAAAGTAATTTGTGGCTATTGCGACAGCATTGCAATCTTTTGCCATTTCTCTGAACTGAAAATGTCAATGGATTTTGAATAACCAATTTATGAAATTAATTGCTTTGAAAATAGCAAAGATACTGGTTATCTTATCATTTCATTTCCTTTCCATTTAATAAAGTTACCAGCCTGTGCACATCTAGCCTTGTACAAAAAGGATTTTGATATAAAACTTGTCACCAATCAGGACAAGAGCTAAAGCCAGCACAGAACAGAAAACAGACAGCATAAATTGCCAGAAAATGTAAAAAAATAAAATAAGTATTGGTGTTGACAGAAACAAAACTGACATTAAATTCCTAGAGCAAATTCAATTTATTTACAGCACAGCGAACACTCTTATACCCTATGAACAGATTTATGACAATTAAAATCATGAAATTTAAATGCTTAACAAAAAATTATGTTATTAAAAATATTTAAATCGAAGTTTTAAATCTTCTGTGGAATTCATTTACTTGTAAATAAATTAAAAAGAAATACTTTAAGCTTCTTAATAATTTATATTATATTATAGAAACACGAAGAACTCATGATTTACCTGCAAACACAATAGAAACAACATTTATCGATGCACGTTGCAGCAAAGCATGATTAAGCAAATTTCCAGTTTTGTGAAAGCTACTTTGACTCTTGAGTTGGCAACTCATCACTATGCACTTCACAGGCAGTTTCCGATAATATTCAAGTGACTTTACGAAGCAACTATCAGATTGTACTTGCAACCCCAGACAAATAGCAATTTAAGTTGAAATGTAAATGCAGTCGGGACAAGGAATCGATTTGCATTCGTTTAATTGACTTTGCAGCATAGTTTCAATAACGCAGCAGGCGATGAGAAAAGTCGAAGACCTGAACCCAAACTAAAACGGAAAACCCAAAACCAAATTCAAACTCAGAGCTCAATTCAAAAAAACAAACAAATCACCAGACATAGGCAGACAAACAACGAAAACTTTGATTGACATTTCAATTAAATTATAGCCAAAGTCGTTGGCAAAGTCATTTGCGACTCCTGCTAACGAAAGATGTTTCGTTTGCAAAAAGTTTTGCACACCGAATATAATGAGATCTATGAGCCGCTGATGGTGGAGTCACCCTTCACCCTGGTCGATGCACATGGCGTGGGCCTGCGCCAATATCAAATTGGACTCTCGAGCAGCATGCTGCTGTTTGGCTGTGACAACTTCTACAAGCACGGCTCCGAGCAATGCGGAGATCCCAATTGGCAATACAATATTCTGGATGCGGAAATCGAGTGCTTTGATCTGATCAGCCTGGTGCCGCTGGAATATGTACGTTTTAATTTCTATCGCAAGTACGATCGGTGCATAATGATGATTAGTGTGCCACCCAATGGGAATCAGCTACCGCCGGATCGTCCGATGATCTTTGAGTTTGGCGGCCACATTCACAAGCAATACTATTTTCAGACGTGGCGCGAATGTGTCGCCTGCTTAAGGACATTCCTGCCAAGGTTGAGACACATCAACGGCGCCTCACCCTTTTCGAGCACCGACATACAGGTAGACGAGGTGCAACACATTGCCCAGGTGCATGTGCCACATCGACCGCAATCCGTCTACAGCATGTGCTACAGCTCAGCGGGTGGAGCCTAAATGGGCAAAAAACTAAACTTTTCACATTTTACATCGCATGCATATTTTATAGATGGCTAAGCTGCTTTGCGAAGCTTTTACTCCTGCTGTTGCTTCTGCTGCTGTTGCTGCTGCCAATTTTATTAATGCACAGCAAGTTGTGCTGCAGCAGGCAAGTCGTGTCTTTATATGTGTATTAAAAAGCCACATCTTAAAGCCACTTTTCGGTCAGCTTTAAATTTAATTGTTCTTTTCGTTTTTTGTATTTTTTGTTTTTACTATTGTTGTGGGTGCAGCTGTCAGCCAAAAGTCGCTGGTTTTACTTTATGGTTTGGCCCACTGCTGATTTCATTTATTTTTCTATGTTCGCTGATCTTTTTTTTTTGGAGTCGTTGAAAAAGTTTTCAATTTGTCGACAAACTTAAGCCGCAGCCGCAACAATTGTCTGTCTGTCTGTGCGTGCAGCTGACACCGAAAATCAATTGCAGTAAAAATGCCCGGCAAATAAACACAAACCAATGCCAAACAGGCACGCAAGACTTGATATCGAATGAAACGAAAGCATCATCATCGTCATTGGCTTCCGTTGGTTTCTTTACAGCGTTTAATGGTCAAAGTTTTCAAGTGCTATGTAATTTATTTGACTTGCTTTCGTTTCAATACGTTTCATTTAGCCTTTGGCTTGCGACTGCACATTGATAAATTACAATTTATTTAATAAATAGTACAAAATGCTCCCATTAATCATACGCCATGTGCTGCCAAGCCAAGCAAACACACACACACACACACAAACACGAAAGTTTACAATTTTTCCAATAAAATCCTACGCAAATAACTTCCTGTGAATAAAGCCCACAATTTTGCATGTTTCGCCTTACAAATGTGCGGCTAATTAATGCGCTGCTTTGAAACGATTTTCCACAATCGGTTCATGGCAACAGTAAAGCCAAAAGTTAATTAAAAACTCATTGGCCACGTCCACACGGAGCACAGCTCCTGTTTAACTCAATAAAAAGCATTTGAGAGAAATCCATGATCTACTTATTTAAAAGGACTACACACATGTCTCACCCATTCCCAAACCCTGCTGTATTCCAGCATATTAATTTACTTGTAATACACCTGCCCACTTTTCGAGCAGGTAATGAATTGAAAAAAGTCCTTGTGGAAACCATGACTACCTGCTGATCAAAGCAAATTCTAAACATTCTAGTTTTTGAAAAAAAAAAATGGATTTTGTAATTTATATTTTTGCGCACTTAGATAATGCCCTATTTCTTAAAAGCAGTTCGACGGATTTGTGATTCTAATGCACGAGTTGCTATTTCTTGAAAATGTTGCCAGCAAAAGTATGAAAAATACCAAAATGTAGAATGAAAAGCAAATACAAATGTTAATTATTTCTGAGTTTCTAATTATTTGCTTTTGGACGAATGTGAGTAATATTACAGTCGGTACAGCAAAATGGATACGTAACTGATTAGTGATGTAGTCGCCGTAAAGCTTTACATTAGAAAGAGATTACGCTGGAGGCGACCATGCTGCTCAACGGGGTAGCGATTACAAGGTTAACTCATCGCAATCGCGCCGCATGAAACACACAGTCGAAGGACTCCCTTTGCCGTTGAAGCGACTAAGCTTATGTGGCATTCGTTAGTTGCTGCAACGTGTGAGTGAAGCAGCTGACAGCCAGAGCAGCTGGTGGCATAGCGTAAAAATGTATGTAAGAGTGTGTTTACAAGTGGCAGAGCTTTGTTGTGGTTCTTCTTAGTTGAGTAGCAAAACAGGCGCTGATTTTGACTCTACAATACATACAAAGTCACAAATGTATACAATCACATATAACTGGCAATTAATATATTGATTTAAATCAAGTAGAAGATTCAATGCACAAGTAATTTAATGGGCAAATGGCTTTTGGGTCGCTTAAGCCTTTCACACAAATGTAAATTAAGCAGCACAAAAGTATGCTCTCTTAAATGACAACTCAATTATTATAGAGTACTTGTCGGATACCAGTATACATATTTTAAGATCAATAATATGACTCTTTTGATGTGGGTAATTTTACCTTTTTTTAAATAAATCATTTTCAACTTTTGCAACGAATGCTACAACGAGTCGATTGGCATGCAGTCACGGGTGTATTATTTCGTGTGGGTGGACTTAAGGACACGCCGAGTGCACAACAGCCACAAGGACATGGACATGGACGTCGAATTAAAGGCCGCTGCACGATGAAGCTGACAGTGATGAATGTGTTTTATATTTATTAAATGCCAACGTGCGAGCCAGCAAATTCATGAACTCGGTACACTTATTTGGCTCTATATGTGTACGTATATTTACGAAATCCTTATATGCATAAGGACATTCACAAATTTATATGCATGCAATAATTAAATTATACAGTATAATGCATTTTTGTTTAACATATGTTAAAATCAATACAATTGGCATAATTCCAAATTCATAAGATTTTTCATTTTAAATACTTCTTGAAGAATAAAAATAAGAAAATAAAACAAATTAAACATTGGACACCCTATAAGCGAACCCACAAAAACCAGCATAGGATCAAATGTTTGTATGTATATACTTAGGTGTAAGAATTTTATTGATAATTTATCCAGATCATTGACACATGACTACGCACTTAACCCGCAATCCATATTCAATTCGCTCTATTTGTTCAATTCATTTTAATCCTATCGTTTCCAGTCAAATGGTTTATAAAAATTTCCTTTTGAAGCGCCAACTAACCTCCACATTTTACTCTTTATACAAGTAGATTCGATTAAGCCATTCGGTTAAAGCCAACCACTTGTATTTTAAATAGACAAATATACTTTGGTATGACTGGTTCGAGTTGCTTTTATTTATATAAATACAAATATGTGTACGGCAGTTTACCTGGCGCAAATTGAAAACAATTTTCCACTGTTTAAACATGCGCGTCTTGTGCTAATTTTATTTGATTTTTACTCGATGCCAGCCAACTTTTAAATGAAATGGAACGTGCCGAGCATTGTTGATGCCAAATAGGCGTCTTTGATGCCTCCTGATGTTAGTGACCGCAACCGGGTGGTGCGGTCAAGAAACCGCCTTATAAGTTTGGCAAGGAAACGACTCCAACATATGTGTGTATAGGTATGTATGCTTTTATGCGGTCGCATACTGGGTAAGCAGTTAAATGCCCGGGGCTAAGGACTACCTTTCAGACATGTTCTTGGCGTGCTTGGCAGCAACTTTTCTTCAAATAACAAATAGATGCTTTTAAAGTGCCAACGGAACTTATAAGGCAAGAGAGAGAACATTTTGTCGCCTTTTATTATAAGCCCTCCCAGCCTGCCTGCCTGCATTGCTGTAGGTCAAAGTTTTGCGTGCCTGACGTTCTACACATGTCTCTGGCTGCTTGTGAAAAATCTCTGCAGGAACGCGGCGCTGAAAAGTATGCTACATAAAAAGAATCCAGCAGCTTGCCTACATTTTGCTTTTGTATCAAGTGCAAAAGTGACTGCCAGCCACGAGCAGCAAGTAAGTAAAAGCTGTTAATGTTTATGCTAGTGATGGTTACACCCACTTACCATCCTCATACACACACTCGCGCACACGCACAGACAGACAACCGCATAAAGGCTCACACATGCACACGGCAAATATATTGCATACTTGGAAGCAAGCAAGGCCAAGAGTCATGGGTCGTGAGACACACACATGCACCAGTCCCTCGTCTAAAAGAGAAGCGAACCTAGGACCTGATGAGGGCAAAGGTCGCGAATTAACAGCATAATTAAGGTTTAACTGAATATATGCTTTGCATATAAGTTTAAAGGTGTAATTATAAACATAATTATCTGTCTAAAAATTTAATTAAATTTATGTTTGGGAGATTTTAACTGCTTGATTTGATTAGTTAGTGCAGTTATCTGCCTTCAATATATGAAGGAATCTTGTGATGAACATGATAATAAGTAATTGATGTGGAAGAAATGCAACAAGGACTAATTCGCATGCCGATATTGAGCTGCTCAGCTGCTTCTCCATTATCCTCCATCTCCACAATCCATTGCCACACAAATTGACTTTTTCTTTTCATAAGATTTTTGTTGTGGAGTCATTGTGAAGTTGCAGCTGGTTTGCAATAGGTAAATTATTCAACAACATTGTCAGTCTGTCTAAACCTACATTTAGCGAATTAATTATTAATTAATAATATAGCCTTACTGGCTATAAAAGCCGACTGCTTAGTCTTCGCAGGAAACAAAAGTGTTAGCTTATCGCAATGGCATCGACATTCCGGCGTATAAAACCAGCACCGCTAACGGAACGAGTGCGTACCCGGGAGGCCTTCACCTATATGTATCGAGTCTTGCGGGTGATTGGCTGGCTGCCCCCAAAGGAGCTATTCTGGCGAAATGTGTATAGCATCTGGACATTTGTCTTCTTCGTCATTGTCGTATTCTATCTACCAGTGGCATTCCTCATCAGCTATGTGACGGAGTTTCGAAGTTTTTCGCCGAGCGAATTTTTACTTTCAATTCAAGGTGCCTTCAATGTGCTAGGTGCGTCGATAAATGCCCTGATCACATATAATTGTCTATGGCGTTTAAAAAAAATACAGACCATATTCGACAGATTGGATGAGCGATTATTGAACGACGGGGATCGTCAAAAGATACACGATATTGTTGCGCGTTGCAATTATATCTTTCTAATCTACACCTTTTGCTATTGCATCGGTGTGGCCGTCCAGACCGGGGTGGTGGTGAGTGGTAGTCCGCCTTGGGCCGTCTATATTCCATTTTTAAACTGGCGGGCTGGCAAAGTCAAACTCTACATTCAGACGATCTTAGAGTTTATTACTGTGACCTTCGTCGTGCTGCATGCGCTAATTCCGGAAGCAGGTCCCCTGCTTTTCGCGCTCATTTTTCGAAAACATTTCGAAGTGCTAAAGGATCATATACGCAATTTACGCATGGATCCCGACAAAACGGAGCAGGAAAACTACGAAGAACTAACCAATTGCATTATGGATCACAAGCTTATACTAAGGTAAGGGTCAATATTACTTAAAGCTTAAGGTTATGTGGAATTTACTTTTTGTAGATGCTGCGACTTGCTACGTCCTATGGTATTTAACACAGTCTTCGTGCAGTTTGTGTTGATTGGATCCATCCTTGGCTTGACTCTATTCAACATTTTATTCTTTGCGAACTTGTGGGAAACCTTTTGCGGCATGAACTATGTTTTCATACTTTTCTTGCAGACCTTTCCCTTTTGCTACATCTGCAATTTGCTATTTCTCGACGGCGAGGACTTAGCCAACGTGATTTTTCACTCCAACTGGGTCGACAGCGAGCCCCGCTTCAAAAACACTCTGATTAACTTCATGCACCATGTGCAACAGCCGATCATTTTTAAAGCTGGCGGCATATTTGTCATCTCCGTGAACAGTTTTATAACCGTGAGTAGATATAAATACTTTAGTTAAATATTTATATTTTTTTCAATATATATTTGCAGGTGGCCAAGTTTGCTTTAACTATTATAACCATAGCAAGAGAAATGAATTTCGTTGAAAATTTTCAGTAGAAACAAGCGGATCTACTTTTCCCACAGTGATGTGGCAACACTCTAAGGCTTATCGTGTTACACAGGCGAAGCTGCTCCGCAACTCTACATAGTTGCTTAGATGGTCGGTGAAAGAAAAATCGACTCTCTTTACGAAAAGCTGAACGCCCTAACTCACCTAACCGTTTAAATTAATACCATGTGCACAGCCAAAGCCAAAGTTACAAGAACTGCACTAAATGTTCGGTGTAAATTGAAGTGCAATTGGCTTAATTTTTGCAATTATTAAGTTATGTGCGTTTTTTACTTATTTGTGATAAATTTGCAAATTAAAATTATAATGTTACATCATAAACGAAATCAGTTTTTTTTTTTTGTGTTTAAAATCGGTAAGGATTGCAGCGTTCTCTGTTGTTTTAAAATTAATATGTAATCGGCTTTTTTATATATATATCCACTGAATTACATTTCAATTCAACGCCAACATAATAATCCATACAAATGTCTGACTAATGTGATTGATACATTTTTACAGCAGCGAGTCTAATAACAAAATCCCTGTGCAGTATTTAAATAATTATTTTGAAGTGCCATTAAATCATAATTATTTTCAGTTATTATTTTCCTGTTGCGTTTTTCTTAAACCAGCAACAATTAATCATAATTGTTATGATTAAAGTCGAAAGTTTATATACATTTCATATACTCTTTTAATGCATTCTGATGACTACAGGGTATGCACAATTATATATGAATGAATGAAGTACAGAATAATTTTTTTCATAATTGTAGAATTTTTATTTCTGTTTTTCACATAAAAGTTGTTCAAATAACAACTTGTCAACAATTTATGAAATTTCAATTCGTTTCTCTCAACTAAATATGCACACAGAGTGGACACACAAAGATAGTTGATAGTTGATAGAACAATAATGCAAACTATTTCAATTTGCTTGTCCTGCACTTCAACTAAATATGCCTGTGTGAGTTTATTTCTATATAGAGGCATAATTCAATTTCACACAGACTTCTCTATATGACAAAAATAAGCTGGTTTGCTTTTCGCAAATATACATAATGCAATTCAACAATATCATAAGTATCTATGCTCATTAGAAAATGCAATCAAAGTAAATCACTATGCAATACTCTTCACAACCGGGAAGTATTTGCTGTGTGAGTGGTATTGTAGTTGATTTCAATTAGGTGGTGCGTTGGGTTTGTGGGGTTTAATCCCTCTCCTTTTGGCACTTGCAACGCAAACAGACGAACGGTAATGGAATACATTTAGAGCCTATTAATATGCTAAATTCGGTCTTCAGCTCGATATACGAGGACGAAACGGAAAGCCAACAATGCGTGTGAGTGCAGTCAACAAAGAGCGTTACCAGGGCCAACCAGAATAGTGCTGCAAGCAACCCAAAAACCGAGAAAGTCAGTTATTTTCACAGAGCGCATTTCGAAGATACGGCAGGCAAACATTCATCGAAGTCGATGGTCCATGTTGGTATTTTCAATTGCAAATTGCATTGGCCAGCTGAACAAGACAGAGATACACAGATAGAGAGAGAGAGAGAGAGAGAGAGAGAGAGAGAGAGAGAGAGAGAGAGAGAAGGAGAGTGGGCAATAGTAGTCAGTGTTTACAGTTCATGTTGCCCATTAAACGCCTGCCAATCGCCTTTAATGTGAATCTCGTGCCGAGTTTACCGGGACCTGCAGCATGCGTTAAGCTGCATTCTCCAGCAATTTACTGCAAGTCGTAATTTTTGATGGCTTACAAAAAAAAAGTAAAACAAATTTGAAAGAGCTAATAAACTGCTGCCTTAGTAAGTTCTTAGGTTGAACTGTTCGTTGCATAAAAATCCATTAAACTTTTTGGTCTGCGCTGCTGGGACTGGGTCAACACTTTAAAGGCAAATTCGATGACAAGACTATTAAATCGGAATTAGGACTTATTTTTCTTTTCTTCTATTTATTTTTTTTTTTTTGGTTTTTTTTTTTTTCTGCTGTTGACGTGTACACATGTATGTCCGCAAATGGCAGTTGAGATTTACAAGGCGACATTCGTCATAATTTGTGTGGCAGCCAAGCATTTGACACGATTTGGCGTCACGTACTTCAGTGCTTGATAAATCTTGGCCAGCTGCCACAGCAGCACTCAACGCGCCATCGTCATAACGGCTCTTGTTGCCACCTTTTGTCCCGTCCGTGATCTGGCACGCAGCACGTGCATGCTGTTAACCTCAAAAATGCGCTTCAAAAACATTTTTTAACGCGCTCTCGCGTGACCCCTTATTTTCATATACCCCAAACCAACTCTCTACCTCCTGTGGGCTTTCCCCTTTTTCAATCCTTTCGCCTTTCACCATTAGATGATGGTTCAGGCAGACATAACCGCAATAGGGACCCAGACCACAACATCAAACCGAGGTGATTGCCAAGACCGATGCTTTCGGTGACCAAAAGCGTGGACAATCCAAATCCCAGTCCCAATCCCAGTCTCAGTCCCAGTCTCAGTCCAAATCCTTTTCAGCCCAGCATACGTGCCGTGTACGTGCGCTGGGTGACAAAGTACCTATACAGGGTGCTTCACAGCTTAACCACTTAGCAAACATTTATTTATATTTATTTCTAAATTCAACAAAATTTTTAGATTTTTAATAAATTGTTTGTTATGTAAATAAAAGTATTTAAATTAAATTTGTATAATTAACAAATTAACCTCGATAAGACTTTGAGATTTTAAATTATATTTACTAGACAGATAAAACATATTTTCAACCACTCCAATTAAATATATTTTTTATTGTGCTTCTTGCGAATGTTCTAAAAAAAAGTATATTTTTTTGATAGCAAGAGAATCCGACATTTAATTGCAGAAGAACAAAGATAATCCATTTCTGTTGAGTGTTATGGTTTTTATACCTTCCATTGAACAATTTAACATTTTAATCTTCTTAAAAGGGTTTGCTTCAATACTATATCGCAGAGCGGATGCAATTTGTATTTATCTTATCTCTTAGTTTGTAGTTGTAGTTACCACAAACTTTTAGAAAAGATGTCATTTAATCTTTTCGCAAGTATAAGTTACTTTTCCTCGAACTATTTAAGCGGACGGATAATGAAAAGTTTTAAACTTACATTGACTTCAACAAACAACAATAATTTCTTTAGCATTTGTTACTAGGAAATTCCAATCGGTTTAGTGCACAATTAAGATGTTAGTTGCATAAAAGTAACCCTGTTAGTTGTGTATGTGTGCCTGAAAGGAAAGGCGCGTGCTATTTAAGCCCCTAACAGACTTGTCTTCAAATTAATGACCAACAATGGGAAATGTTCTTCTCTTGTCTCTGCTCGGTTTAGATAAAGAGCGAAGGCCTCCAGGCGCCAAAGTCACGTACAACGGCGGGGCGTCGTGGTCGTGGCCAGTGGCCACTACGCCATATTGAGTTGCCTATAAGCATAAGGCAGAAAATGTTACACGCTTTAAGCGATGCGCAGCTGAACGCTTTAAGGGCAACAGACTTTTGCGCTCCCTCATGGAAATTGGAGACACACACAAAGCGTCAGTTTATCTCAAGCGCATTTATTTACTTGCTGACCTGCTGTTGTAGGTTAAATTATTTGCGCTGGTTAAGAAGCAGGGCCCGCATTTCCAACTGCAAAAGCAACAGGAATAGTTGTAGCAGTTTTGCAAAAAAAAAAGGCGGTCAGAGATAAGCGCAAAACAGCAAACAAAGCTGACCAAAAAAGTGCTGGCATCAGAGCTGTCTCTCCATGCTAGCCAGATCAACTGGCCCCTAAAGTAAGCAGCACATACACATCTGCACACACACACACACACACACACACGCACACCCATACATACATACATACATACAAATATGATGTGCAGCTGCTGCCTCAGCAATGGCAAGCGCAATTGTCAGATTTGCCCCGGTGCCACGCACTCGAATTTCGTTATAATTGCATAGCAACGCATCGGACGCAACGACCTTGCAACAACATTTCCCAGTTTGTTTTACATTTTTATTTTTGCCGCTTTTTGTTTGTTTTCTTTAATTATTTTTTGTTTAATGCTTGCTTCTCTCTGTTTTCATTTATTTATTTTTTAATTGTTTTATTTTGTCTCTGTGCGGAACTGGCTGGCTCATTAAAGTGCCAATCTTTTTGGCTCCATGGAATGTTCATGGGACAACTCTGCATTAATTTATGCGTTGCTGAAAACCGCAAAATGCACTTAAGAGATACAAGCATACAATAATGAAATCTGTTGAAGCAATATTTTATTTATCAATTACAGGCGCCGTTGAAATGGAAACAATGGATGAGATTACCATTGGAGATTCAATGGCACTCAATCGGACGCCAAATGCGAAAAACCAAAGACTGTTAAAGCAATTGAGGCAGATAGTGGCCAGGCAGTTGAATTTGGATGCCCAGCGGGTGCACAAATCATAACTTGCCCATAATAAGATTTGTCAACTGATACTATGACGGCAGCCAATGGCTTCGACATTACATTTTATTTATAGCAGTTGCTCTTGGATTCACTTAGGGGCAGCAACTGGCAAGCTGGCAAACTGGTAAACTGGCCAACTGGCAACTACTACCAAACTGATAGCAGCCATCCATAAATCTCCTGCATTACGAGTATTGAGCAATAGCTGTTGCTTTATCAACAAAAACCCATAACACATTTCGGCAAAACTCAAGCTAAATCAACAACAACAACATCCAACTTGACCTAACAAGAATGCCGTTGGGTAAATAGCGAACAGATACAAACTTAGGAAGTACTTCAGTTGAATATACTACTAAAAGTCATGGCCCAAAATACTACCCGTACCCCCACTACAAGACCGTTGCAAATACTGCTCAAAGTTACTAAAGCTAAATCTGTCTAAAGAGATGGGCGAATTTTCAATAACTCTGCGATTTTCTAGCATTTCGTTGTACTTAAATTTGTTGAAAGATTGAGAAGCGGACCTTTTTGCTTAGAAAGCCTGTAAGCTTTCAAGTATCAAAAATGGCAATGCGACAAATGGAGAGAAAGTATGGTAAAAGTTAGCAGTAAAAAGTTCCAGACAAAAAAAATATCCAAAGTTTTTGATTGCGATTCGGTTTGCAGGAAACCAGTTATTTATTTTCTTGAAATTGGTCACCAATGTCGCATATGTTGCATGGAAAACTCATTTTCGTTATGCTGCACTCGATTCGATGTATGTCTACTATAAATGGTTAAATTAGACCGATTGAGAAATACGAAATTTGTTTGCCATTGCATTTGTGAAATATATATTCTTACAGTCGTAATAAATTATGTTGAAGAAATTCGATTAGATGTGACCACTAGAAGATATTTGTCTGCGTTGCATGCGCTTCAATTGTTGTCGAACAAAAAAAAAAAGAAAACAAAAAAATTGCAAAAATTTCAGGCTGGCAAACGGAATTTATTGCAAAGTACGTAAGGAAATTGAGCAATTGTAAAGCATTTGGGAACGTACATTCCTTCGATTTGGCCCCGAATTCGGGCCTCAAATCGCATTTGGCACAATTGCGGCAATCCTATGAAATGCCTCAGCCACAGCCCACATGCAACATCCACAGTTACAATTACAATTGTAGTTGCCGTTGCAGTTGCAGTTGCCGTTGCCGTTGCCATTGCCGTTGCACTCACAATTGAAGCAGTAGCCCCAGTTCGTTACCGTAATTCAATTTAAGAACAAATCAAGCCAACAAATTGTTCCAATTCCCCGACAGATGCATGGTCAATGAAAAATTGTGGCAATTGTTTAAGTTAAGGTCCATATAGATATTCTCAATGCCTTCGCAAGTATAATTCATATACTAAAACAAACTAAAAGTGAAGTAGGAATAGAAGTAACTCCATAAAGGAATTTATTCACTGGCTTCAATAATGTACGACATCAATTAATTATCAAATCAAAATGTCGTAAGTTTTACCGAATAATTATAAAAATAGTAATAATTTAAAAGCTGCCGCATTCGATTTTTTCAGCAAATTCCAGAAGAATATAAATCTGGGTATTAATTGCAGTGCAATTAATAAAAATGTCTGTACATGCGGAAGTGCAAACAATTAAATTAAATCCATTCGTAATGAACGCAATATTTAATATTGAAATAAACAGCAATTTAATAATTGTTTTTTTAATTTTCAGCCTTTTTTTAATCATGGCAGTTAATTGGCATAATTTATTTTTAATTAACGCGACATTAAATTATTACAACATGCACTGATTTAAGCAAATACACATTTAACATATTTATATATAATTTGTGTTCGCAAAACTGCAACCTTTGATCAAATTAATTTGTCGAGAAATGTGAATGTGTGAACCATTTCCATAGGAACTAAAATAACATATTAACTGGCAGCGAACAAACGCAGTGTTAATTAATTAATTTCGCAATCTATATTTTTAATCTGTTGCACGGAACGTAACTAAGAGCCTTGCCACGATCCCGCACCTTCACCGCACCCCAAACTACGTGGCAGGCGACTAACATGCTGACAGCATAATGAATTCAATGACACGTATTGTCCAGCAAAAGAAAGCAACGTGCGAAAACAAACGAAAGTGAAAGTGAAAGCGAAAACGAAACGATGCCAAATTAAACGCAACGAACGCAAAACGTAACCAGTAACAATGTTCTTGGCCGAAATTGATCGACATTAATATACCATACAATCAAAATCAAAATCTAAATATATGTATAATTGCAACTCTTATTTGTTGAATTCGTTCAGAATTTTGTAATTTGGTTTTACCTTATTTTCAAAATAATTAAATAATATTTTTGTGTTTTGAATTTAAGACTTCACAATTCATAATCAGCCTAGTTTTTTTCCTAGATGGCAGTGAACGACTTAACAAACTGATATCCTTTTCATTTTTTTTGTTGGCAAATTGTTATTATCAATTTTAATGCTGTCTGAATGAGGCTTATGTGAATTATAAATTAAATTATTATAAATCTTAAGCACGTCTAAACGCACTTAAACAGATCGCTGGGCATAACCAGATTAAGTGAACTGAATTTTTTGATCACACACATTATTTACGATTAACATCTGTACATCCTGTTACATCCATTTGTAATTTATTGAATTTATGGGTACAGGGTAAAAGACTTGGCAAAATTGTTTGCGCACGTAAGTATGCTACGAATTATATTGCTTTGCTGCGCTAACAGTAAGACTCCCAATCCCACAGTCACTGCCACAGCCACTGCCACTGTGACTCCCTCATCCACAGCCACTGCCACTTCCGCCTCCAATAAGCAAGAACTGGAATAAAAGCCTGACCACAAGAGCGCTAAGAACATGGAAGCTAAAACAACTTGTCAGTGTCGGCAGCGTTATCCTGTCAGCATGTTCTTGTGCCAATGTCGAGTAATTCATTAGCATTTAACTTGATTGACACACAAGAGTGCGGCCTATCTACGCTCTCTCTCTCTCTCTCCCTCTCTCTGTCTCAGGCTTTGTGCGGGTATTGGTGTGTGTGTTTGAGTGTATATTTTTGGCCACGCACGTACGCAGCTTGTTGGCTGGGCAAGCGATTTGTTTATACATTTATAATGCATAATGGCATTGAATTTGGCTCACACGAGCACACCAAGCGCTCGAGACAAATCAGGGGCACGAGCACAAACAGATCGTTATTTTGTTAATTTAATAAGCGCACTGGCGACACACACACACACACATATACAACAACAGGTGCCACGCCCACCTGTCCCGTCCACACACAAACAGCAAGTCACGTCGCGCACATAAATCAATTGCCATGAGAAGGTGCCACGTGCGACATGAAAACTGCACGATTGCATGTGTTCTACATGGGAGCCCCCACAGGACCAACGCCAGCACCAGGCCCAAAACAGCCTCTGCACTTGTTACATTTGCTTTTTGTTCCTGCTGCCGGCTATTTTGGCAAAGCGACGGCTGAAATTGGGCTAACTACCAACTGTCCGTCGGCTGTCGTTTTGGCCATAAATTGAGCGCATGCAATGAAAGTGTAACGGGCGTTAATTTGCTTGTCAAGTGCGCCAAATGGTGAAACTGGCTGCCAGCTCGCTAAATGATAATCTCATACGACTCCATTGCGTCACACGAGCCAAATCTGGCAGCAGTGCCAACAAATGCCACTTTAAAAATGCTGCACATCTGGTATAACATATGACATAGATTCTAATTGGATGACATCATCTTTTTGTTTCAGGATAAATCATTTTGTTGAATTGCATACATAAATAAACGTTTCCGACAGATTCTAACATAACTATTGAGTTGCTCCGGATCTATTGGCAAAACAAAAATGTATATTTTTTAGAAAGGGTATTTCTATTTGGAATATTGATCAATCTATTGCAAAGCTATGTTTTGTAACTAAAGTTTACATATAAGCAAAGTTATTCGAAATCAAAAGTCTTCTCTGCAAATTATATGTAGTAAAAACTGCCCAAAAATGTTTATCTTTTGAATATCAGTAGAGTTTTGTTAAAGTTAAGACAGTGGAAAATTTAAATCGAGTTTATACCATAATATCATATTCAGGGCTAATTGAAAGAATATTGATTAATCGATAGTTATGTCAAGTCAACAGATCCAGCAATAGTTTTTCTATATTGGTTCTACATGTACATGGAAGTTATCATACAGAGAAATTGTTTAGTGACTGTCCGTGCTGTCACCAGCTGAGAATGGTCATAACGCCACGAAGCAGCTGTGGCAGATCCCAGCCATTGCGACGCAGGACACGCATCGGACGCACCACATCGCGTTTCATCTGTAAAGAATGAATTTGGAAATGAGCCAGTTATCAGCGCGGTTCGCTTAACTTACCATATTGGTGCGCATATGCGACTGGAATTCGGGCGAGTTGACTATGTCAACAAAGAGGGCAAAATTGCTTTTCCTCGAGCGAGACTTGGCGGTGTATTCGTGCACCGCCTGATGGGGCATGGCAGCCAGAAGATCACCCATAAAAGTGTGACCCTTCAGTTGCTTGCAGTCGCAGTTCTTGTCGGGCAACGGTGGCGGTACAGTCACACAGGAAATAATATCGACAATGTTCTCAATATCACTGGTGTCCACACCACCGGAGCGCAGCTCCTCCAGCATCAAATGGTAGCCATCACTCTGCTGCAACTGCTGGGCAACGATTTGGAAATGTGTCGTGTTATAATAGCACATTGCCTTGCGAAACTTGCTATCGCATTGATAATGCGACTGGATGAGATCCATCAGTGTATTCTTATCAATGGTCTCACGCAGCGCCTGGAAATTGTCACAGAGCGTATCGTTGCCATCGCGGTCGCCCTCATCGTCCGGACACTCTTCGACCGGTTCCGATTCGTCGGCCTGGGCCACTCCGTCCTGAAATGCAATCACTGCAAAAAGGCCGCAGAAGAGCGCAAATATCTTTAATTGTAGCATTATCGACCTTCCGAAGATTTCACTTGAGTCCAACTCGAGTGTTGTTGTGCGCTTTTATAGGCCAACTAACTGTTGGACATTGTTGTTACAAGCATTTCCTTTCAGCGGCTACTTGGACTGCTTATCGGGCAACACGCGCCAATTAGTCTAATTAGCAAGTCGCAGCAGCAACAACTCTCTCTGACAACGAATTCACTTATCAGTGAATTACAAACCATCGACCACTTCACTAAGACCACCCCTAAAGGGGCAACATTCGAACACAACGTGTTACATGTCAAACACGGTGTATGAAATATCGAGAAAATGAATTTAAAGCTTTGCGAGACAGGTTTCAGGCATCCATGGCAACGTCATTTTGCGACTGGTTCATTAGCAAACGCTAGAAATAAATTCATTCATGAAAAGCCATAAGTACCACTTACTTAAATTTCACTTTGACCTATGCTGTCTAATTGACATGTCAGACCAGTGCACGAGGCAAGTTAAGTCCCTGATACGATAAACATTTGGCCACAAAATTTCTAAACTGCACTCATATGCTCTCTTTGAGCTTAACTCTCCTTTTCAAATAACTTTCGGTCTGCACAGGCAGCCAACAACAAGTGCTCACATGAACTTACTATATATCCACAGATTGGGTGAACAGAGAATAGGATTTGGGCAATTGTCTGCAGACAGCACTTGAACCAACTTGGACAACTTGAAATTTACCTAATTGGCATAGCAATTCCAAGCGGCAAGAGAATAAAGGAAAGAAAAAAAGGAAAGGAAAAAGCTATGAAACATTTCAATCGTCATTAGATTTGTGTTTTATCCATATTTGGTTTTTAGTCGTCAGCCTTACTCACAACAACGACACACACTCAAATCTATACACTGTACAAGCTACACACACACACACACACACACACACACTCACACTCACACACATATAGTGATTACTATTGTAAGCTCAGACTTTAGTTGAGAACGGACAACGAACAATATGTTTGCCAGTGAATTGAAGTGGACCGGAAATACTAGTTGACCATTCCATTGTGTATGTATTTCATTTTGTTTTCTTTTTTTTGTATATCTGACACTCCTTTTGCATTTGTTTATTTGTACTCAATGCATGTTTTGAGTTTTATTTTACAAAATCTGTATATTTTATAAATTTGTGTGTATTTATTGTTATTGGTTTGCTGCACAACTAAGAACTATCTAAACGAAAAGATGGATTTACGATAATTTAAATTGATATATTATTGAATAGCTTTTGTATTCATTATGCTTTTATAAACACGCACAAATATGCATTTGAAATCAAGGCAATCAAGGATTCCTTTTTGTTACATACAAATGTATATTTGTCTGTACACATTCCATAGAAAATTGCTAAGCTCTATTGGACTCGGCAGTCAGTCAAAGGTTAAGTCAAAGTTATACAACTGTCAGTAGAAGTGGAAACCAAAGTTGAACGGGCAACTGTTCAGTTCTTATAACGATATAGCATCATGATAAATAAAGTGCGCTGTTCACCAGCCCATGATTGCGATATGTCCCCGATGTGATTAAATTGCCTCGTGCTGCTATTGCTGTGTGCATATTTAAAGACTTTCAGTTGAGCAGACCACAATAAATTAAAATAAAAGTCAAAATTAAAGTAGCAGGCAAAACTCACACACAGAATTTGTTATTGTGTTGTAAAAGTGTTGCCTACTTTTAGGCTGGGCTGGCAATTTGTGTCATGTGGTCGCTGTCATTTGCAATAGATTTTCATGCAATTAGTTTTATCTGCTAATAGAATGTCACTGGCCAAGCGAACCACAAGCAATTGACTCTCTATACATGGATGTGTGTGTGTGTGTTTGGGTGTGTGGTTACGTGTGTGGGTGTGTTAACAAATTGCATTTTTTGCTTTGCTTACGAGAGCAGTTTGAGATTTTGCGCATCGACCACAAAACACAACCGAAAATGTTTCACTTCGATGTACATGTGTTTGTCTGTGCGTGTGTGTGTGTGCGAGTGTGTGTGTATGTGCGTGTGTCGATGACAGTTCCACAGACTCATGTACAATGCCATTTTCATTTCCCTGGATAATTTACTCAATTAGGCTGGCAACTTGAAGGCTCTGTGGCATTTGTGAGAATCGCTTTATTATTGCACTCAAAGAAGGAGATGTTAGGTTGGCATGGGAATGGGCATCTAGATGGATAGATAGTGCTTGATTGTTACGACTGACGCGAGTTGGCCATATAACGTCTTAAGATAAGCTCAAGCACAAGCACAAGCACATCCACATATACATACATGAGTCGTCGCATTGATAATACCTGTCCCAATGATGTCTACTTGGCAGAAACTTGAATACCAAACTAACGCCGATAAACAGGCTTAATTAGCGACAGAGCTGAAAGTCAACAGACTGCCGCATTAATCCAAATTTCAAACAAACAAACACACACATATATGTACATACATTTATACATATATATATGTATATGTATAGTCACTACGCATACAAATAAAATTAATTCCAGTTAAGCCCTTGGCAGGCAAGTTTTCTATGGGGTCTCGTTAGGCTTAGGTTCTGCTTGGTGCTCTGTTTCTGTTTCTGTTTCTGCTGCTGTAGCATCATTGACTTGCTTGCTTAATTATGTGCAAGCAACAATGATTTTAATATTATCCAGCCAGACAATAAGCAGAGCCCAGACAATCATGCCTCCCCCCAAAGCAAAGCAGTAGCTAGACAAGAGCCGATTGCACGTTGTCCATAACACAGGAAATTTATACGCTGGATTAAACCGGAATGATCGAATTTAAATTCAACTCGTGTTCAGGTGCAAAGTGCCCGACAGATAAATGACGTTCCACATCTGCGACGTCAGCAGACAAATGATGTGATGCTGTGTAAATCAGTGAACCCTGGAGAGACCTACACTTTGGATTGACATAAGAAATGTTCAGCTTAAAGTGCCCAATTCTAATACAGTTCATTCACTTGTTATCTACAATTTGAGTTGAGCAACAGCGACAAAAACAAACCTGTTGCCAGCTGACAAAGTCAATGACAGACCATTTTTTTGTAGGCCACACGGTTTTTTGTTCGAGGGTGCTCGAAACGCGGTACATAGAAAAAGTCGGCTAGGTCGTCTTAGTTAGAAGTCCCAGCTAAACAATTAAAAAGGTAAATGGAATGCGGAGGTAAGCAATACATACACACACACACACACACAAAAAGAGATAGCATACCCACTGACAGCAAAAGTGAATATAACGAGCGAAGCAGAACAACAGCAACTAAAACAACATCCAAATGGCACACACTCATCGCAGTTACATTTCTCAATTTTTATGACAGCTCGTCGCTTGTTGTGAGTGCGAGTGCGAGTGTGAATGAGTGCACGAGTGAGTGAGTGCGTGAGCCAGTGCGATTGAGTCTGCGAGTGGGCGGTTCTTTATCTGTAAAATGTTTAGAGCAAAACATAAAGATGCAAATAAGCATAGGGAATATGCGACTAAGAGCTACCCAAAAGAAAACAGAATTATTAAATGATAATTGAAAAAGAACACGTGGAAAATTAAATAAGATAATTACTAAAATATTTACATTATTTTAATTATCGTTATATTACACACTCGCTAGATGATAGCAAAGCAACTGATTTATATTTGAGAATTTTCATTTTCCAATAATTTTCTGGCTGCTTGGAACTATTAAAAATAAACATTGAAGATACCAAAATCTTTAAGCTATGCTAACCATGTTTGCTATATTTATTTCAAATTTAATTTGACTTAAATTGTTTCAAAATTATCGTTCAAGATGCCAATGGATATCCACTTGAACAGATTCCCAGTTGGGCAATAATCATTAAGAGATTTCGAGCGTATCCAGGCATATGCGTATAATAGCTTTGACTATGCTAATTTTAAAATTCAATGGCTTTTAATAACAGTAACGATAACGGTTTCATGTTTAGGCCCCAAATGGCGACACATTTACCTATTAAATCGCAGATAGGGTATCAATGTGTGGCAAGAATGAAGTTGCTGGCACAGTTACGCCGTCTCGAGTCTAGACTAGAATTGAGCCCTTATGTATGACACACACACACACACACACATGTACAGTATATATCTGTATATTTATTAAGAAAGGCAACGAAGCAGACATCAACCAACACACACACGCAAATAAATACACACCCACGAAGAGTGTGACGGTGCACAATGAAAATGCCTATGGGGTCCAATGTGTTTGCGCAGCTGTTGGCTTGAGGTTTATCACTTTAATGGCTGCCATATTTGCTGAGCTTCCATTTCCATTTACTACTACAATGTGTATGTGTGTGTGTGTGTGTGTGAGTGTGAGTGGTGATGGGAAAGGTGTGTACCTGATTCACCTTTCAGCTCGCTCGCAACCAAATTGGCAACATGAGTTGGCGCAAGCAAAAAAGTAATTTGCGAGCAAATTATGATAAATTGAAATTGTGTTTTCGCCTGGCACTGCACATCAATTCCAGTGTACAGCAAACAATAACAGTGTACAACAGTTAAGGGCGCAAAATTCCGCGTTTCCTGTAAAATGAGTACAATAAGCAGCTGAGCTGCAAATCTCTATTAAAAGTTGCCCAAAATTTTGACACTGTGCAATTTATAGCAACTTTTGTAATTAATTAAGAGTTTTGTATTCAAAACTTAAATTGATACAATTTAACAGCTGAACAATTTTTGTGGCAACAACAACAACAACATGAGCAAGTTCAAAGCAATTGGCAATTTGAAGCAAGCCATTGAATGAAATGCAAATCGAATTCACTTCCTTGGGCGATGCCAAGGGGAAAACCTCTTAACACAACGTGTTTACCATAAATAAGTTAAGGGAATCCGGACTGCAAAAAATTGTAATCCAAACTACACACAGCAGAGACAGACAGTCAGAGAGAGAGATAGAGAGAGAGAGAGAGAGAGGAAGTCTGAGAGAGAGAGAGAAAGAGAGAGAGACAGAGTTACATCATGCCAACTGTGCTTTATTCGGTAGCAAAGACATTGGAATGCAGCTCAATTAAAATGGCATTAAATTCCATTTGGATTGCTTTTTCAAGCTGCCAACACTCGTCGCCTGCCACACCCTAAGCCCACCTGCTCCTGTACCCTACTGCTGCACCCACCCCCACCGCCCCCATCAGGCCATCGTTGACATTGCCTTTGCTTGCTGATGCTGAGCAGCTGTCTATGCATTTGGGACTTAAGCCTGAGACAGCTGCTCAAGCACTTGCAACCCAGGGCCTCCACTTCCACCATCCTCAACCACCTCAAGTCTCTCAGTCGTTGTCTTGGTCTCTCTACTACATCTACTACACTCTCCATTCCGGCTGCATTCCCTGCTGTGGTCTTTTCCATGTCAGCGACTGCTACGTTTAACTTGTCAGTGCCAAGAGCTGGTATATTTCAACAATTTTCCGCACACAGTTTTTTTTGCCTGGTTGCCTCTTGTTTGTATATAATGGGTTCTGTGGAGTAGCTTAAAGCAATACGCAATTGCATTAGAAATAAATTTGAATTTGATTTATTTGGAATTTGTGGCTATTTGTTTCGCATTTGCATGGGCAAACAGCAAATAAGTGGTGAATCTATCTATCCATGTCACAAGTGATAAAAGTGTTTCCCAAAAGTTTTTTTTTTTGTGTTTAGTTTTTCTAAGCTGTTCTGACCACAGCTGTTGCAAATACAAAAATACCAAACGGAAAATGCATGGTCCACCAAACTATACTCACATATCAAGGGTTAGGGGGATGTCCGGCATAAAGTATGCATCAGCAACGAGCGCACTGAGCTGCAGTTCGGAAACCTTGCCACCTGTTAAATATTCAAAATCATGTGCATGGCAGCGGCAATGCCCGCAGCTAGGGGATGTGTGGGGGATGTGAGGAGTCGGGTGCGGGGTGTGGCGAATGGGGTGTTCGATGAGGCAGCTTGACATAAACACCTCGCATCAATACAATAGAAGCGAAGCAACAATCAACAACAACAATAACAACTCAAACACCCAGCAAATTTCGTTCGTTTGCATATTTGATTTGTGTTTGTTTGTTTGTATTTTCAATTTATGTGGCATTGAGAAATTTAAGCGTATATGCATGGAACATCCAGACACACACTTAAAGAGACTCGTACATATGCCGAGCTGAACATATAACACACACAATCCATGTACTATAAATGTGTGTATATGCTATAGAAATTCTTTTTATTTTAATCTCTTCGCTATTATCTGAAATACTTAAATAAAATACGCGAAAACAGGCGCAAAAGATTGGCAACCAAATTCATTGAGAGCTTAAAATATATCAACTAAAGTAGCCAGTGGGGAATTCCCGCAAAAAAGGTTCTTCAATGATTGTAGAAAAAATTATGTTTTATCAAAAAAAAGGAGTACTCAAAACTATTAGAGAAATGTGCTTATCTATTTATATTCTAAGTTTGAGTAGCTTAAATATAAACACATTTGAAGCTGACATAAAGAACATATATCTTAACCTCACATATATATGTATATGATATTTTACCTTTGTCTAATGATTAACGATTGACTCGTGGACAAAGTAAATTTACTTTCTAAGGCAAATACAATCAAAGTTGCTGCCAGGCCACAAATTGCTAATGGGCGATAATTTAGTGTGGCACTTTGGCCTGTTATCAAGTGTAAGCTGTGTGTAGGTAAATACCTGCAAGCGCATATGTAAATAAAGTAAGCAATTTGGGTGCGGTTAAGCCAACTGTAAATTTCAAAAAGTCGCCGTAGTTGATGATACTAAACATGAATGCCAGTGGCCTGCCTGCCGAGTCCTCTGACTGCGTGACCTTTGATTACATTGATGCATTTCTAGATCATTAAGTCTGCCGTCTAAGCACCATTAGCAGCCATGTCAATATGTGTGTGTGTGTATGTGTGGTATGTGTCTGTGTGTGTGTGTTTGTGGCGTTGTGCGGTGATGCGGTGCAGTGTGGTTAGCTGTGGCCTAGTGTGTGCCATCTTGCCACAATTTAAAGACATTTGACTCCGAACACCGCATGTCGCCACAATCTATGTATAGGTATAGGTATAGGTTATAGGTGTGTGTCTGTGTGTGTTCGTATTAAGATAGGTGTGAGTACATTTGAACATCGCTTCCGGATGAGTGCACCAACACATAGCCACAACAAGAGCGCTTCCTTTATGAGAGTGCTCGACTAGGAAATGCTCTGTTGGAAGTTAGCACAGTGCACGTTCTAGTCGAGGACTCTCACAAAGTATCTATAAAATGTTAAACATTTTGAAACCTTATTTTGTCTGCGTTTCATTAATAACTTCTGTGCTTATTGTTCTCTCTTCATGAGACTTGCAGTTCATTCACCCTTTAAAAGTGAAATCATTTCACTTCATCGGTGTATGTCGCAAGTAGTTTAGCTTACAAACTCTGGCATATTCTTGAGTGCTTAATTTTACTAATAATAATATATATTTAAAAAAAGAAAACATATTTATTTCAACGTTTTCGTATCAAATACATACATATTCATTTTTTCCTGTCACACCTACTTAACACCAACCAATTCACTATCTTTTAAATAGGTGTAACTTACTTCGAAATGAATGAATTTTATTTAATAGCGCATTTCTACAATTACTAATCTTAAAAACTAATCATTGTTATTAAGATAAGTAACAAAAAAGCTAATGTAAGAGTTTTATATACATTTAAAAAAATAAAAAACACAACATGGATATATATTCTCTTCAGTTTAGACAAATGTACACTAAATTTAAGAATAGAAAACCACTGGCTTTTAGAAAGATGCATTCTTCCGCAGGCTTAGTAAGCTGAGTGAAAAGAATGGCGTATTGTCTAGAATCAAATCCATGTTTGTTCTGATTGTAGATCCCTGTAGAACTCTGCTGGAGAATAATTCCTATGGAAATGCTTTGGTTTTATTTATGGCATCAATTTGACATTTTGATGATGACAGGGTATACGACGAAGTCGAGTCAACTCATTTGTCGCCTAATGGTAAATCAATGCGCTCGCCCAGTGGTCCAAAGTATATCCTGCAGCCAGCCTAGCGGGAGGCATCTGTGGTTCATCCAGCTTCAATTTCACAAACAGGCATCATCATCAGCATCAGCATCGTCATCAGCAGCAAACAGTAACAGTAACAGTAACGGGCAGCAGTAGATGAAAGAGATTTAAGGTTCAGGTCCAGTGCTTCGCAAATGTGTTGATGACACTTGAATGAGTTTTGGTCTTTTGTCAGTTGTCAGTTGTGTTGTGTTGTGCTTTTGACGTTGGCTTTAACATCGGCGTCTTACGCTAAATTGCGCGTATTATTTATACATAAGAAATCAACTGACCATAAGTTTTGTATATTAGCTAATCGGCAAGTTGGTCATGGCCAAAGCTTTATGTACATCCAACGAGACCATATCCCAACCCCCAACCCAATCCAAAGTGCCACAAAACTCAGTTAGCGAGTGCGTCGCAAATCTTGATAAAGCTGCTAGATAAGTCATTAGAATGCTACTTAACTCTCTTGTTTGCTCTGGCAATTGTAACCCTTGGCTCTGCGGCACATTAAATTCCAATTACATGACAAGTTACTGCTGTTAATGGCCAAGTTAATGCATTTGCAGCAGGCAGGGGTGCGTTAGCTTAAGTGCTTAAGTTCGGGCGTGGCCCACTAACACATTATGCATACCTTTTATATGTTCAAGTCAGTTTAAATATATATATAAATGTATGTGTATATGTATATTTGTTTATATAAGTATTTATATATATTTGTTGTATAAAGTACGAGTTTGTACATGAATTGAGTGTGTTTGTTTGTTTGATTGTTTGTGTTGTTAATATGTATGTGATTAAGCATTCAAGTCAAGTGAGCTTCATGCAATGCCGTTGCTTGTTAATATTTATAAATAATATACATTTAGGCATTTGCTTGTTACACTTATTAGTTAACTTAAAACTAGCTTACAATTAGCAGCCACGAGTTTGAGGAGAGTGTGTTTCTGTGTTTATTTGTGTGGGTGTCTATTAAATGCGGGCTCCTTGTCAAGCCAACAACAAGCTGCCCCAAGGCTGCAGTGCTTGTTATCCTATCAGTTGTTTTGTTTGTTATTATATTTACTGTTTTTATGGAGTGGTCTTGTATTTGGATTTGATTTAGATTCGAGTGCAGGAGCGCATAACTAAAGAGTAAACCTGTTTAATTAGCATCACATTGGTTTAGAAAACAGTTAACAGAATCTCTGCTGCATTTCCCTGTTCTTTCCCCGTTCCTTGTTCCATTTAGTAGCAGCACCAGCGCGGCTTCTCCACCTCCCCGAGGGCAATGTGCTCGATGGCCCACGAGGGCGTCTCCAGACGACCCTCGCCCGTCGCCTTCACATCCTGCCCGTCCACCGGTATGCCAATGTGCACATAGGGCAGCCGGAACGCCGCACTGTCCGGATTACGTGCGAGGGCAGCGGCTGTGTAGCTGAAGGCAGTGTTGCTGTTGGTGTACGCCAGCGAATCGCTCGACTCGAAGGAGCGCAACGAATGACTCTTGCCCTCATCGGCCAGCCGCACCAGTCCCATCGCCGTCGACAGAAAGACCTGCTCCAGTCCCTGGTCCGTTTCGGTGGATGTCTCAAAGTAGGTGGCGCCAATAGAGCTGGCGAATAGATAAGCCTCATCACGTGAGACGGCACGCTGGGATTGCATATCCATTTTGTTGCCGACGAGCGTCAGTATCATTGGATCTTGAACATTGCGATGCAGCTCCTGTATCCATGATTTAATTTCGGTGAATGTCTTATATTGTGTCATATCAAATACCAAAATGGCTGCGTTCGCATTCCGATAATACATGGGTGCAACGGCTCTGAAACGCTCCTGTCCGGCCGTATCCCAGATCTGCAATTTCAAGTGGAATATGAGTACTCAATCAAAGTGGCAAGCAACAAAAGCACAAAAGTACACAAAAAAAAAAAAACACAAAAAGAAAAACCAAGCACACAATTGGGGTTCAGCACTCATGACTTGGAACTTTAATTGAGCCATTCTGCGTTTATTCTGCAATTTCGGTCTTTATATGCGTTCGCTTTCGCTTTCCCACAACAATAATAACAATCATACTGCTCTGCGCTCAGCTTTATGGTTCTGCACAATTCAAATCTTCATAAAAATTTGGGGCAACGACATATCCAGAAAGCAAGCCAAACAAAGAGCTAATAATCTGTGCACAACGCGCCACCAAAAACTATTTGCCATTATGCGCTCTACATGAATTCATAAATACATACATAGACAAACATACGTAAATACAAACATACGTAAATACAAACATATATATGTATATACTTATGCTATATAAAAGTAAAATCAAAATCGCGCTGCAGAATATACGAGCAGCCATTTGTGATAGGGGTGGCAACCCTAGCTTAGGGAGAAAGCTCCTTTTAGCTTATCAATAAACTATAAAAAAAATAAAAACAAAAAAAAAAACAAACCGAGAGAAAAGTTAAGGCAATAAACACAAAGTGCACTGGACCAAAAAGCATAAAAAAAAAACACATCAACAAGAAAACGCAAATAAAATGACCAACAAATAACAACATTAAATCCAAGCAAGAGAAGAAAAAATAAAATAAAATCCAACTGTTTCAATCCCTCCTTACTCACTTGTAGTTTAATTTTGACATTCTCCAGGATGATGTTGCAGGTGAAAAAGGAGACGGCTATCGTCGGCTCCTCGCTGCGATGGAGAGCGTTCTTAATGTATTTGATGACTAAACGTGATTTGCCCACGCCTGAAACAACAAAAAATATAACATTTTGAAAGATAAGCAGCAATCAACTAATATAAAAAAAAGAGAGTTTATTATCAAAGAAATGTTCGGTTTAGCTTGCCATATCAACAAACTAAAATGAGTCGCTATTTTTTTTTTATGAAGATATTAAATCACTTATAAATACAAACATATAAAATCACCCTTTAGCAATCATTCAACAAAGACATTATATATTGCCTGTTGCTAAGCAATAAAAATTATTTACGAATCAGATTCAACTAAAATGATTCACACTAATTCATTTAATACTTATTGCTTTTCCATCAGCAATACGAATTATTTACGAAATAGAATCTAAGCTCCAAATATGCAAAGCATTCTTGTGTTCTGCATCTATTTTTAGAAAATTTTACTACTCGGCACAAACAAATGGCCGTACAAATAATACTTATCGGATAAATAAACAAAGTGAGGTCTACTTAAAAAAAATAGAAGAAATAACGAAAGAAAACAAAAGGTGCAATTGAGACACAACTAGTCATAAACAGGTGATAAGAAAACGGTAACCGAATTATGTTCACACATTTATATGTAAACAGTAAACAAAACAAATAAAAATGATTCTCTGCTATAGTTGTTATTGCGAAAATCCCCAGAAGACGATACGATATCGTTGCTGACTCATTTTATAATGTAAAAAGTACAGTTTAAGCAACAACCAAGGCTTAATATAATGCAAGGGGATAATTCCATTTGCACTGTAAACACACATAATATGTGTGTATATGTGCGTGTGCGTGTTATGTGAGTTTTGCATGTGTGGTTGAAATTCATAAGCCAACTGACCTTGCAAAAGAACTGTACAATAAGCAAACTACAAGTGTGCACAAAAGCACGAAAAAAAATGGCCAAAGTTCGTTGCTTTTCTGCGATTCTTGTACAAATGTCTGGAGTTGTAGTTTACCGTTGCCCCGCAAAGCTTTTCAAGGCTGTTGCTTATCGATTCGAGCGCGAGAAACTGCAGGCTCAGCTTTAGTATCTGTTATCTGAGTGATAGCGCTGAAAAACACTGCAAGTAACGGGCTAAATACTGGGATGAGATACACCCAACTGTCTTGAAGTGCTTCAAATTGTCAAATAGTTTAACCTTACCTCGCGAGCCAAGCACAACAACTTTGCCCTCAATTCCACGCATATTATTAGCAAATCAGTTGTTTGGCATTTTGCGTAGTTGTTGACAGAGCAAAGTACTGCATGTACATGTACTTTGGTGCAGTAGTTTAACAAGAGAAACTTTGTTGTCCGCTCAGCCAGCTTTATTATCGCACTGTCCAATTGAGGCACGCTTTGAATGCGTTTTACTGTTGTTTACTAGCGCTTGTTGTACTTTCCATAATAATATGATGAGTATTTTTTTATTGTTTTGCTAAAATTAATCGATGATTTCGATGAGTGCATTAGAAAACAGCTGTGAACTGTTTTCGTCCATCCCTATTAGTGGTGGATGTGTGATGCAGTGTATTTTCTGGTCCCCAGCTGTTAAACCAGGGCTGCATGCACTGGTTTGAATATTGTCTTACATTCGTATGTCAAGAGTGCTTAATTTATGTGAAGTCCATGTAAATATTATTTTAGTATTGTTGAAAATATGTAAAAGATCAATACAACATTCCGATTACTAATGTTAATAACAGAAGATATCGATACTGCGCTCGATAACTTTACTTAAGAATACATTGAATAAATTCTTCTTAGTCTAACCGCCAAACCTAGTGCGTCACTTTTTGCCGCTTTAAAAACCCAACAGGTTATGGGCCCAGGCATAAAAGAAAAAGTTGAATGAAACTAAGGTTATGCTGAAAAGCCGCGTCATGATTAAAACAGAATCGTCGACAGTAAATCTTACAAACGTTCTTTATGTGCCACAATTACAATGCAACTTTATTTCGGTGAGCAGAGCAGTAAAAGGAGGCTGCACTGTAAACTTCAAAAACAATCATGTGTGTGTATGTGACGAAAACGGTAAAACTCTGATTATTGCGAATCTTAGAAGCAATTTATTTCTGTGTGAAATAACCAAAACAATAAATGCAGTGTTCCAGCAGATGCAGCAGCAGCAAAGGCACCGGCGAAGATAACGGTAACACCGATACCAATAAAAGTGATGCACTAGGTTTGGCGGTTAGACTAAGAAGAATTTTGTCAATGTATTCTTAAGTAAAGATATCGAGCGCAGTATCGATATCTCCTGTTATTAACATCAGTAATCGGAATGTTGTATTGATCTTTTACATATTTTCAACACTCCCCCTCAATACACATTATTGACAATTAATTTTAAAAACCAACTTAAACTGAAATAAAAACCAATTGTGAAATACAAAATAAGGCGCAATACCCTTAATGTGAGTAGTATCGTTTTCATTCAGTATATATGTATATCGGCGTTTGCTTGCAAGTATCGATATACATGACATCTATCGACATGCATAGAGCCGCCGCCAATTTCTTGGTGACAGATGTTCGTGCAGGCAGCACGCACAACTTGCAAAAACAATATTTTCCTTATTAAATATAACTATTTAATGTTTAGCTAATTAAACGAATATTAATGCAATAACTGCTAAAGCAACGCCCACCACTAACAATTGGTGAAAGTAGGGAAAGTGAGAGAGAAAATTGCAACAAATGCGCGCGCGTTTTTTGCTTGATGTTGCCGCATCATAAAGTGAAAAAGTGCCACATTTCAAGAGGTAAATGCATCAAGTTAATCCCGATTCACAGGCAAATGCTTGAACCTAATTCCCTGGTGTACATAAATCCCTAGACCCGCCCGCTGTGCTTTTGGCTATAAGCAAAGCCCAATTTCTATTTTTGTTGGAAACGCGCCTGTACAAAAAGAAAAAATATATCGGGACAAAAAAGCGCAATGCAAAACATTAAAACTTAAGTTGCATTTTAAATAATTAATGATTAATTTGTAGTTGAAGCCGTGGAGAATGGCAGCAATTAACTCGCTGAAGATCAACAACAGCTACGATTCGGATCCATCCACGGGCAGCGCGGTGAGAAGCAGTTGAAAATGTTTAATCTAACAATAATCAATTAATTACAATGCAAAATACAAATCGAATTTGTTGCAGTCTTCGCTCAGTGATAACAATGATTGCCAAATATCTGACGAGGAGAACATGAATCTACCATATCTGCTTAAGCCCAAATCACTGAGCACGCCCCAAACAAATGCTGCCAACAACAACAAAGTGAGTTCCCAGACAAGCAGCCAAGAGTCCCAGTTTCGTGGCTTTGGCGACAGTCCCTATGGCCAGGTGAATCAGCAGCTTTATGGCTCACAGCTGCAGCATCTGCAATTGCCCGAACCGAAGGAGCAGCGGCAATCAGCAAAGCAACCGGATTCTGCTCCTGGGTTAACCATTTTCCCACGGTTCTTTAACTGCATCCTCGAGGAGAATAGCTGCAATGCTGTCGATATGCCGGCAACTGCAATTACAACTGGTGCAACTGTTGCAGCAACCACAACAGACACCTTATCCTTTGATGGCAAAATCAAGAGTCTGAGCGAGGCGCCAAGCACATCGCAGCCGCAAAGCAAGTTGCCACAGCATGCGGCACAGTTGTCGGAATCGTTTATATACAAGAAAATCAATAACGAACGCTCGCCCGACTTGTTTGCGGATAGTGACGAGGATGAATGCGATGAGCCATCGGACAAGGGGCTGGGCGCAACGCTCGAGGATCTGCCCGAGGCGCTGGAGGAGAGTCAATGCGTCAGCGAGGCGCCATCGTTGAGTCACAATGCTAGCGTCCGTTACTCTCTCACAGCGCCCACCGAGTCTAGTTTCGTCGACGAGCAGACAACAATGGATGCTCAGCTCGCGAGCAGCGATCTCCGCCAGCATTTCATCGAGAATTGTCGCCGAGAACGTGAGCTTTACCGTCGCATACGGCGCTCGTTGCAGGGTGTTCGTCCGCCGCCCACGGTGACCATGCCGGATATCGATGTGATCAGCACGGTGGTCAGCATGAAAGCCACTGTGCTCAACTTTCTAGTTGCACCCACGCTGCCATCGAGCATCGAGGACAGTGGCATCTGTGCCACAGCCTCGCTGCTGAAGCCCACGCACAGCTTGGCCGAAACTCAGTCAATGAGCTGGCGTGAAGTCCTCGGCGTGCGACAACATGGACTGAGGTAAGCCTTTACTGAGAAATTAAAGTAAAAAGCAACTCTTTTTAACTGGAATTGTTTTCAGCTACAACTTAAACAAAGCAGCCGAACAAAATGAATACCTCAGCTTGTCGGTGGTAGAGCGTTATGTGGGCGCAGAGACTGCCACTTCCTATGTCCGATCGCCGTCCAGTGCCAAAAAGCGCAATATGCGCCTAAAGTGAGTCGTAAACTTATTGTTAAAACAAACTATTGACTAATTGTAATTGTGTTTCACGCTTGCAGAATGCTCACAAAATCACCAGGCAACCGGCTTAGTCACTTGGCCAAGCGGCGAGCCATATTCTCATCGGCCAATTTGGCCACAAACTCCATCAAATTGAACAGTTCCATTGGACCGCAAATAATGTTGGATAAGAAGTGAGTCGCTGCTATTTACAATCACTAATTGGAAATGAACTAAAACAATTTATATTGCAGAAAGGAACGGAAGCGAAAAGCAACACCAAAACGCAAAACACCTGGCAGCAAAAAGAAAGGTTTGTTTATTTATAGTTTGGATATTTAAATGCTAAAATCAAAGCTATACATTCCTATATATATTCCTTAATTGATGCTGCATGAAATTGAATTCCCTTGCATATTTGCAGCTCGCAAAACGCCGTCTTCGTCGGCGCGCAAGCGCCTTTATCGCACCGATCTCGTCAAGCCTGGTCCATCGCGTGAAACCTCCAAACGCGCGCTATTCCAAAGCCCGGCCAAGTCGCTGCAGCAACAACAGCAGCAGACACTAATACCACCCAAACCGCTCTTCAAGCCAGAGATTGCGAATCGCGTGGAGCGGTCAAAGCGAGCACTCTTTTCCCCCGACAATGGCAGCCAACAGCAGAGTGTGGCATGTGCCGCTGCTGCTGTTGCTGCTGCTGCCAGCGTTAGCAATAAGCTGGAGACACTGCTCAAGCGCAAGCGCAACGCTTATGAGGATGATGATGTCGCCGAGCTGGCGAGTCAGAGCAACAAGCTCTTCCGCGGCAGCATCGGTTTGACGCCACGCGCTCTCAAGATAAAGAGTCAGAGCTTTTGCATTGGAGCTGGTTCCTCCACGACGGCGATGCAACAAACGCCAAACGCCTCCCTGCAGCAGACGACTACGAGCAGCATTCGCCTTGGCCACGGCCTCAGTGGCAGCACCAGCAATTTGGCCAGCTGCAGCACGCCAACTGGCATCAAATTGCAACGTGCCCATTCGGAGATGAGTGCAACGCCCCAAAGCGCCATGACGGACAATCAGCGCAAGGTGAGCTCTTCAAACTTGTTTACAATTATTTATTTATTTATTTACAAAAAGTAAAAACAAAAAGATTCAATTGAATCTAATACGAGGGCGTACCTAAACTCTAAATTACAACTATCTAATTGCCTTTCTCGTTGCAGAAACTGTTGTGGGCCGTGTCGCAGGCGCTGCAGGACAGAAAGATATCCGCCAAACACGAGAATTTCCGTCAAAATGCTGCGGACTTGGCGCGCATTGTTAAGCGCATCTTTCAGGAGTTCCACCAGGGCCACACCACCAGCAACAGCGAAACTCTGCTGCGGTGCGTATTCTACTCGATATTTAGTACTTAAGTGATCATATATTATATATACCCAATCCTCTGCAGGTTGGCCAAAAAGTATGCGTTCAGCGTGATAGCTGGCAAGCAACCGGATGACATTTATCTGCAGGCACGCATCCACGAGAGTGAGGCGAAACGGCAGACAGGCACACGTCTGTCCGGCTACATTGGACCCGAGGAGTTTGCGCAACGCAAGCTGCTCTTGTCCCAGAGTTCCACATCGACGCAGCTTATGCGGATCGCTGCTGATGGTGGCTCGATTCACAATCTGTTTGGCAGCGAGAACTCCATCGACTCGTTTGGCTTCAGCCAATTGAGTCAGGGTACTGTGACAACATCAGTCTCTGCCTCCGCATCGCAGTCCAGTTTAATGGACCGCATCTCGGAGGAGCTGTTCGCCAAGCAGCGGCAGCCACAGCTGCAGCATCAGCAACTGCCTATTCAGCCAAGTCCTTCGCTGCAAAACAGCTCATCGAAGAGCAATTTGGGCAGTTTGGCGCTGCGCGAAAATGTGCACTGCGAGCAGCGACGCTCGGCGCAAAAGAACTTCACCGGCAAGGATCAGCGCAACATCAGTCCCTACTACGGTGGCAACAGCAACAGCAACAGTTCCGCCCGCAAGCTGCACAACGTCCCAACGGCAACCAATGGTGGCGACTCTGGCGCCAAGGCAAAGCGACAAATTTCATTTGATAGCTAAATTGTATTTTATTGTTGCACTTCAAAACGTCCCGGCCTGTTAGATATGCTAATATTGTATTTATTTTTGCAAAATGTTCCACACTGATTGGGTTGTTTTTGCTTAGCCTAATTTATTTAGTTCGCGGTAATCGGTTCATATTAGAGTACTTTAATAGAGACTAACGACTATATACGTAAATATACAATTAAAAACATGAACTGCAATATTTGTTCGCTGAAAACACAATCAATTTGAAATTTGTAACTGAAATTGCTACTTATGAAAATGAATACAAATATATATATATATAGTATATATTATATATAAGGTAAAACTTTTATTCGGCTGGCACTATAACTACTAACTAGGTAAATAGAAATGCGTCTAAGCAATTGTCAAACTGAATAGCATAAAAATTAAATAAAAGCCCAACTCAATAATAACCACTGCGATTTATATATCGACGCACCAGCGTAAACGAGACAATGTGAAACACCAATGCCACCATCAGAAGGCTAACACAATCCAGCCAATAGGTGTTGTCGGCGGTGCGAAAGGACGCCTGCTGCAGCACCTCCAGTCCAGTCTTCACGCACGGATGATCCTCGTTGACCGGACAATCTGGAGGAAGAGTCCAAAATACAAGTATTGAAAATATATAACTATTAGTTGGCAGTGCAATTTTTTAATAGAGAATAATCTATTTGATCGAGTGCAAATCTTTTTGAATGTCAGAGCAGCTTACCAATGTTGTCAATGTCAATCCAAAAGTTATACATCAGCGCCTCGTTGGAGTAGAAGAAGAGGGAGAAATACTTAAGCAGCGGCACGGAATCGACATTCATGTAGGTGCCGCCGAAGATGAGAAAAATCAGGTCGAATGGTGCCGCACACTCCGATGCCATTTTGTCCGTCTCGAAGAGGCTGGAGAGGAAGATGCCGTAGCCAACGGCCGCGGTGGCCGAGAGACTCATCAGGAAGCCCATCGTGATGTAGAGCAGAAAGCCCCTTGTGTAATATATCGATGCATAGATGACGGACAGGAAAACATAACCCTTGAAGAAGGCCACCGGGATGAAGGAGACAACCAGAGCCACATAGTAAGCGGATAGACTGTAGGTGCCCTCGCCCACCTCGCGCCTAATGATGGGCAGGGCGGCGGGAAAGATGTAGGTGACACCGTAACTGAACGTGAAAATCATCTCGTTGCTCAGCATGAAGATGGAGCCACCCACATCCTGCACGGTGCGCTGCGTCAATCCACCAACTCCCGAGTACAACAGCGACAGCGTGGCAGCGGTGATCATAAAGAAGCCAAAGCCAATCAGTCCTGTCTTGATGTTGCGCAGATCCTCGGTCATGAAGCGTACGATCAGCAGATATACCTGATATATCCAGCGTATCTTCCGGAAGTTCTGCACATGCTTCAGATAATCACCACTATAATGCTTCGGCAGCAGCCAACTGCCGCTATAGAGTCCGTCCGTTTCATGCTCATATTTCGCGCGAAGAAGCTCGCCAGCACTCTCCGCACCCTTGCTATCCACCAGAGTCTTGACGTAGTAGTCCGCCGGATTGCAGTTCAGTGGCAGCTCAAAGCCCAGGCTGTTATGGTCATATTTAATATATGATAATAGAATAAAAAAAATGGGTCAAAATTAATAAGCAATTTAGAAACATCTAACTAGGAATTAAGAAATGAATAGCCTGCATTTTTAGAGGCACAACGTTTTCCATGTAGTGGAAAGTGTTTCGCACTTACTCTGTGAAAAACTTGGCCGCCTGCTCGGTGCGTCCCTGGTAAACGATGCGTCCGGCATCCATGAGAATGATGTGCGTGAAGAGCTCAAAGATGTCGGATGTGGGCTGATGGATGGAACAGATGGCCGCCTTTTTGGTGGTGCCATTTGGACTCCGATTGAACATGTCCAGCGTGGGCAGATCCTTCATCGCTTCAGGCAGCAGGAGGCTCTCTTTCGATTTGTTATCCATCATAATTTCCATTTCGAAGGAGTTGCTGCCATTGTGGCTCTCATCACTGCCGAAGGAGTCCTCGCCATAGACCTGAGTCAGGGAATGCTTTGAAATGCGTTTGCGGGTGCACAGATGACGCAATGTCTTGATGACCGTATAGGCACTGAAGCTGTCCAAACCGGTGGTGGGCTCATCGCAAAACAGAAAGATCGGATCTGTGATGAGTTCCTCGGCCAGGCTGAGACGCTTTCGCTCCCCGCCAGACAGCTGCTGGATGCGTGTGTGTGCCGCATCCCGCAAACCAACCGCCAGCAGCAGATCCGTGACCCGTTGCCGTTTCTCCGCCTTGGTGGTGCGACGATGCATCTTGAAGTGGGACTAGGTGGATAAGACGGGTTTAATTCAGCGCTGTGGACTGTGGCTGCAGGAAGACCCACCATAAAATACAAATGCTCGTAGGCGGTAAAGGTTTTAACATTGATCTCAAACTGCGGCAGAAAACTGGAGATGCGTGTCATCTGATCCCGATTCATGGCCATGCCATTTAAAACCACATCTCCGGTTAGATTACCGCGCAAACGTTGCGAAATCGCTGCCAGCAATGTGGTTTTACCCACCCCCGATCCGCCCACAATGGCGATGAGGTCGCCCGTCTTCAGGTGACCGCTGACTGCAAGACAGAGACAGAGAGAGACAGAGAGACAATGAGAGAAAGAGAGAGAGAGAGAGAGAGAGAGAAAACCACCAGCACCACAATTATTTGGATTGGACAACTTGGGCATGTTGTTGTTTTGGTTGTTGTTGTTGTTTCCCAGCGTCTGATCTTACCGTCATTTAAAATGCGCAATTCACGTTTCTTCCGGCACTCGTTCCAGAAACTGTAGTTGCTCTGCTCCTGGGCGGGCACATAGTAGTTGAGGTGCTTCCACTCCAGGCACAAGCCACCAACACCACCACCACCACCACCAGCATCATCCGCGTCCCTTGGCATCGCCACAGCCGAGTTCAATGTACTGCAACCTAAATTGACGAAACTCAAATTTCTTTCCGGATTTTGGTATTTGGTTTTGAGTCGTGTGCAGCAGCTGCCGATTTTGGAGCTGCACTAAATCCACTTTTATCACTTGGCTGTCAGCCTAATCTTATCATATGATTTTATCTTCTTATATTTGTTATTTGCATTTTGCTCTTGGCTCACACGACAAATTCGTCACTCATTGGGGGGGGAGAACCATCAATCTGTGCCCGTCTAGAGAAATACTCGGAGAAAGAGTTGAAGACGGAGATGGAGACTAGTCTAGTCGCAGTTAACCGTAGACAACCGTTCGCGCCAAAGAGCTCACGTCAACTGTGAATCGGGCTCGTTGAGGTTGGCATTTTCTACCCCCAACACGGGTAACATTAAACTTTTGACCGCCTTTTGGCTTAACCAGCTAATTGTCGCTTATCAATCTTTACATATGTATGTATGTCTCGCTGTGCAAATAAATGTGTCTCGTGTCTGTCTACACACACATACATACGACTATATATATGTATATATAAATATAAATATATATTATTTTATGTTTTCTCCATCATTTCTGGTTGAACGCAGACAACGCCAAGCATTTATTCAAGTCAATAGCCAGTGGAATACCTTTCAGGAATGCCGCCAAAGAGCACCGGTTAGTCCATCAAAATAAGTACAGTGAAACTTCTTCAAGTGGAACCAACTCACTCAACACAATTAGATTATTTATTTATTTTATTTTTAAAAATTATGCCTTATTAGCGAGTATATAACTAGGCTTCGACAAGGGATAATTATAATTAAGAGATTTCATTCTTTAATCATTCTTTGTTATTTTCGGCACACTTTATCTCTCTCGACAACAAGAAGCTGTTATCTCTTTCATTAATTATTTAAACAACATTTATGCAATGACAATATAATTTTCTATAAGCGGAAACATTGACAAACTGAGAAAGTCGCAGCGTTGATGCGCTTTCTAGACCATTAACTAGAGTCGAATAGTGGACAATAAATCTGTTTATTTCGTTATAATCAAGTCAAGATATTTAATAGTAAATGCTGAGCACTTTGTGGAATGGAATGTACTCCAATTCGGTGGCATGTTCCCGTCTATAATCCCAGAGATACTGATCGATGAGTATGGAATTGACATTACGAGCATCGACATCGGGATGCTTCTGCTTGAGTATCTCCAGCACGCGATCCTTGACCTGCTCGATGATGTAAATGGAGGCGCCACGTATTTCCACCTCCCTGGCATCGCCATTTTGTAGAATGGTGTCCTGCTTGAGCAGCTCCATCAACTCGGAGCTGTACTCCAAGCTGCCAAAGTGCACCAGGACTTGGGGTACGCGGTAATCCGCAAACATGGTCACCTTCTCGATGTCACTGAAGTGACCGAGTCCTTCGCCACGATAGCAGGACCACAAATCACCCACAAGAATTTGGACACGCTTCCAAATTGCGACACGCTCGCCAGCAAACTCAGCCTCATCCCGGTAACAGGGAAACTCGGCCACAACCAGCTGCAGCAACTCCACAGCCGAATGCTTGGCTGCTTTGACCACATTCTCAAACTGGCCATTCCATTTGGCCAGCAGACGCTCTCCCACCTGATGCAGGCACTCCAAGCGCTGTTCGAGCAGCGGCATCTTTGTGGCAGCATCATCCGCCCGGAATATGTGCGACAACGTGTCCAGGTCCAGTTTGGAGTAGAATTCGGGATTCGTCATGTCCAATCCATCGGCTATGGCTCGATTTATCGCAGCACACAGCGCAAAATAGCCGGTGTAGCCATTTACCTTGTATTTGGTGTAGTTTGCTAAACACAACTCCAGTTAATATCGATTATTAATCATATGGCATTACTCACTTGGTGTCCAGAAGCAAAAGTTCAGTGTATCCACTATGAAAATCCAGTTGGCTGCGTGCAAATCTTCCTTCCTCGGATGCAATTCGTGTTGCGAGAAATTCTCCACATCGATGCGCTTGGCTGAGAGCACATGTCATATGTCTATATATATATGATTATGTATACTTGATGTTCACTTACCAATTACACCACTCACAATTTCCTCGACCAGGCGTTCGATGCCTGCTGGCAGCACTTTTAAATATTTTGCATGGCGCACAATGTGTTCGCCAGATTCGCGCGGATTTAGCGTGATGCTCATCTTGGCAAGCGTTCTCTAATAATGGAATATCGATAAGTTTGGCTCTTTAAGTGTGATCGGGATGAGATATAGTCTTCTAGTTGTGTTTCTATCGAAAATGGGCGATAAGAATGGAATCTAATGGGAATCTTTAACAATAAATGAAACCATGAAAATGATGAATACATTTTTGTAACTTAAAATGGCAATTTATTCATTTTTGTCTGGAACGTAATTTGTGTGTTTCCAACTCATTGGCATGTTTCTTATTATATATTTGTATATCAATTTAAAATCACATTTGTAAATGAGATGCAGGAAACTATGTTAAGCATAAGGAACTTGAGCATCTAAACTATACAAAAACAAACGAATAATTCGAATTAAAGTCGAGAATTGTATGCTGCTCTCACAGCGAAGTTTGAACAAGTTTGGGCAATTTTTTGGCTTCCAAAGAGTTCCACAAGCGGTTGAATTCCGCCTCAAATGTGCTGACCAGTTGAGGTTGCGTGCTGATTACCATACTCTCCCAGTTGGAGGTACAGCCGCTGTCCGTCCAGTTGAGGGAACCGTTAATCAGTGTGGGCTGTGGTGGCCCAAAACTCCTGCGCCTGCGCTGGCAAATCTGTTCGACACGCACACAGCCATCTATCACACAGAATTTGTGATGCATAATGTAGCGGGAGGTGACGGTTCGCACCAGGACACCCAACGTAATCATACGGCTGATGGCCGCACTCAGATCATAGGATGACGAATACTTGTTGAGGATGATGCGCACGATGACGCCGCGCCTGTGGGCAGCCAACAGGGCGCGCTCCAAGCTCACCGAATTGAGGGTGAACATGGCCAGGTCGATGCTATACTTGGCCCGACCCAGCTCCTGGACGATCTGATCCACCAGACGATCCACGCAGTACTCGTTCGTACAAACGCATTTGGTGCCTGCTTGGTTGTGCTTGCGGTGCTCCTGCAGGCACTGGTAGCGCAGCTCATTGAACATGAACACCTCGTGAAGCTCTCTCTGCGGCTTCAATTGATCGCGGATCAATTTGCCGAGGTGCCACAGGGTAACGGTGCCGAAGCCTAAGCCAAAGCCAATGCCAATTGTTGCCCAATGGTGCACTGCAAATTAAAACATGTTTGTAGATATTATTTGCGTTTGTTTACGCTGCTTACTATTTGGATTTGACAATATTTTACGCGCTCTTCTTCTGAATGACAGTCTGCTGTGAGCTAACTCACCGGTACTGATTCGATTCATGAACTGAAGAACCATTTTCATATATCGATAGTTATCAAATTAAGCACCGGTATCAACATAATGAGCTTTGATATATTTTGATGGTGGTTATCGGCAATCCACCATAGAAGCGGCAACTGCTCCGAAATGGAAATAGAAAATTATGGATGAAGAATGATTTTAGTCTTCAAGAAAAAAGTGTACTTATAAACAAACGCCGTAAAGGCGAGAAACTTAATTCTTTAAATTTCTCTTTCTTCATTAATCGTGTCGATTTGAATTCGTGTTTGCTTAATTAAAATAAACATAATATATCTTTTGTTTACCTACTGACAGCGACAATTATTACTCGTTTTTATGCGCATTCAACTTTTAAATGACCCGCTTAGTATCAATTTCAAATGTTAAACAGTACTCTGTTCAGTTAACATATGTATGTAAATAACATTCCTTCATAACATTCTGAACATCGATATGTTCCATTTGAATGCGATAGTTTTGCTAGTGTATGCACACATTTTACGAGTGAAATATCCATTTTGGCGCGCAATGTGCAGCATTTGAAATGAGCAACAGCCCGCCCATTTATAAATTCAACAAAATTTTCAAGTATTTATTAAGTATAATCTGCGCACAGTAAAGTCAATGACAGTAGCCAACATTTATAACGCTGACTTGAGTAAGAGCAGGTTAATTGTCTTGGTAAGCTTCATAGACTTGCTTTATGACACGCGTAATTCGACTCAAAATACGCAATTAAACAAAAACTTCTTGACTGGAAAAATATTTGCATAAGTTGAGGGCAAACAAATGTGAGGATGTCACGTTCCGCCAGGATAACTTGCTAACTTGTTGTTCTCGTTGTTCTTGTTGTTGTTGTTGCTAACTTGTCATTATAAGCAGACACACACACACACACACACTTGGAGGCAACTAACGAACAAGGGTTGCGCTAAAGTGTAGATTAATAGCTGGGGCGTTGGGTTAAGGAAGGAGGATGGTGAGTGGTTGGTGTTGTTGTTGTTGGTGTCTCTGACAGAAATCAGCGCTCGTAAAATTTACGTAAAATTCATTAAGCGCAACAAAAGACGCCAGCGAATAACAGGTTGCAGCTAGCAAAGGGGGCATGCCACACACCCTCATCTCCCCCACAGGGAATCATTTTAGACAAAGCGCTGCATAGTTGATAAGGCGCCTTGTCATCTCTCCCTCTCTCTCTCTCTCTCTCTCTCTCTCTCTATTTTGCTCCATGCTTGTGGCGCCTCCGCGTGTGTCAAGTGGAGCAGCAGCAGCAGCAGCAAACGCGTCAAGCTCCACTGAAATTTTTGTCATCTCAAAGAAAGATGTGATGGAAGTGGCAAGCAGTACACATTAAAATCATAATCATCATCGTTATTATATATCCCATTATTACACACACACACACACACTCACATATATATACACACATATATATATTCCCCATTTTCATATTCGAGTGTTGCGCGACGAGGCGCAGCTTGGCTCCTTAAGTGGCAGCCCAGCACCATCATACCTCACCTCCTTGCTCCATGCACCTTGACTGACAGATTAGCCTTCAGCTGACATTCAGTTTGCTGCCCCAAATTTAAAGCACTCCAATTCTAGTCCAAAATAGAGTTTACCTCCATCTCTCTCCCCCACTCTCTATCTGTCTCTGTGTTTCTGCTGATAGATTAACGGCGGTTTGGGCAACACGCATTACAACATGTTGTGGTCACACTGGTTGTGTCTATCTCTCTCTCTCTCTGTGTGTGTGCGCGTTTAGTGGGGGGCATGTAATGAGTTTTATGTGGCCGCAGTTTGCGCGCCTGGGCATACTTTCCATGACAATTTTCGGTCGGCTCTCAATTTATAGAGCCGATAAGCGGCCGGGGCTTTTATGCCGCTAATGCCGGTAATTAACGTCTTTTGTCAAACCGATTTGAGCTGAACTCAACTCGGGATGCCATTGTTTGGTTGACTCGGTTATCATCAGGTACACAGCGTTGCATGCATGTTGTCTGTCCTTATCTGTGGCAAATAATCGACAGACGTCCATCTGAGTGTAGTGCATTAATTTTTGGTAATATTACAATTGGTTCAAATATATCTGTTTATATCTACTGCCAATAACTCTATTAGTTTAATCAAGCAATCAAAAACCGTAATGGTCACACTTACCGCAATGAGAGATGTCCTTTTTAGGGTAATTGCACACAAATATTAAATGGTCCTAATAATGAATGCGATAAGATTTTAATTAGTGTTATGCAAATTAAAAATGAACACACAAACTATGGGCTACAAACCTATATTAGTATAATCAAATGGCTACTGCAAAACAAACAAATTATTAATGCACATTTAGTTCATGTCATGTTGCATCATGTTGTACAACTATTTCATGTCTATTTGGCACAGAACACAGAACACAGAACAAGCTCGAATTCATTTTCCTAATATGCATGCTCAGTGTTCGTCTTCGGAATACATGAAAAATGCACAATGTTGAGGACTACATACAAATTGACATGTTCAAGTATTTTCTAATGACTCTGATAAGTGATTAGTTATGAGAATAAGACGAAATGTGGAAACTAAGTTTTGATAATGCAACTAACATATTCAAATGTATACATAAATATTTATATAGATAACTATAATCGCCGACTGCAAAAGAAGCTCTCAGCTTATTGTTATTATTCAAATGCTAGCGAAAGTTATGCACATGAAAAATGGAAGAAGAAAAAAAAACACTATTCAAATCCAATGGAAAACAGCAGCAGCGGAAAATGCTTTTGGGCAAAGCGCTTTTCATGTCAGCCATAAAAATAGCAGACGCATAAAAAATTAATAAGCAGTTGCCAGTGGGCGTTGATGGGGTGTGGCAACCAACGGATGACGGTGACGATGACGATGACGACGACGACGACGTCCATTGTCCGTTGTCCGTTGGCCATTGTCCATTGTCTTGTCATGTTGCCGGAACAAAATAAAACCCTTCTTCACCTGGCTCGGCTAACCGAGCGAGACACTTCATTAATGCATAATTCAAGCGTTTGACCAGTTTTCTCCTTTCAATATTCAATTTGAATGCCGCCCCGAAGCGAAACATAGTTTTTCCAAACTGTCCACGGTGTCCACTGTCCACTGTCCGCTGTCCACTGTCCGCTGTCCACTGTGACCAGTGTTGTTTTCCTTTGGCTTCGTTTTCAGGGTTGCTTATTTATTTGCTTTGTGTGGCGCTGATCACTTTGCTTCCACCAGCTCCTGGCTGCTCCTGGCTGCTCCTCTTGCTGCCCTTGCTCCTCCTCCTCCTTTCTGCTTCTGTCTGCTGCGTGCAACTGCTGCATTATGCAGACAATTCGATTTACAACAACATCAAATGCTGATAAACCGTTTCTAGTTGTGACCAACGGCCATTGTCTCCATTGCGAGCAGTTTGGGGCACAATTGAAGCAAACAATTGTTGACCCGCCCACTGCTGCTGCTGCCGCTGCTACTGCTGCCACTGCTGCTGTTGCATGCGTTAGTTGTTTATTAAATATAAATGATTGTCACTTGCGGCATGTTCGAAACGAAATGTTGACGGCGATGATTGCTTGAATTTCATTGAGTGCAAGTGCCCCGAGGACTGCTCCCCATCTCTTCTCCACTCCTCCTGCTCCTCTTATTGCGATTCCTTGTCCTCTTTGTTGTTGTTGTTGTTGTTGTGCTGCAATTGCTTGCAATTGGGAAACTAGAACTTAGAACTTAACTTGTCCGCTGACACTTGGGCGCCACTTTTCCACAAGTCATCATCGCTCGATGGAATTGATGATATTGATATGCGACGAGTATTGGCCATTTATTACTTATACTTATACTTATCCTTGGACTGCTTACAACTGCTACATGCCACATAAATAAGCAAGTCATGGCGGCGACAGCGACATTTGGAAATGAAATGATTCGCCGGATGTTGACCACAAAATGCCATTAAAAAATAATTACGCATTTTAAATGCCATTTGCCAGAAGCAAATAATAAATACTGCATTTAATTATTGATTGTTTTAACGCTTGTATTTATGATTGTTAACAATATGTGCACAAGTATTATCAATATGAATCACGTTTTACGCATTGTTAACGTATAGTTTCCAATTTGCAATATAAGCAGTCGTCTGCCAGACCAATTCTGATTTGATACCCTGCTTAAAACTCATCTTTCCACTGATTGTTGCTTGTTAAAGTGGTCCGATCTGGTCATCTAAAAACTATGCAGTGTCTACAGCAAAAAGACAGATGAATTTCGATTCCACTCATGATGCTGATCCGGAATATATATATATATATTATATATTTTGGCCTTTGATGTGTTGCACATGTGAAAAGAAAAGCATCTACACGAAATAGGTTTACTTAGCAAAGTTTGACTATTGACGACACACTAGCTGAAATTAGTTTAATAACTTTTATTGAGTAAATGCCGAGCAATTAAACTGTTGATATATGCATGCATGCATATTTATAGTTTCGAGTGTCCTTAAACATTTAAAATGCAATTAATTGCAGCTGAATGTCAGTAAATATTCATTTTGTTCGCATAAATTAATGGGCCCGTAATTGCTGGCAATCGATGCTTTTGACCCTTCAGTAAAAAAACACTTAAAAGAGAATAAAGCGGAATATATATAAAATGTATAATTAATTTATTAACTAGCCCAGTTTGGCTAATACGCTTACTTAATCGCAGTGCAATTGTGGCTCAAAGTACTTGGCCACAATTTCTGGTCTTGTAAATGGATCGTTTATTGGCAGCAGCAGCTCAGTGACAACTGTGGCAGCAGTTGTAGCTTCGTTGTGTGGCAACATGGCAACGTGGCAACAGAACAACAACAGAAATGTTTGTTCGCGTGCATAATGTACACTAATTGTGGCATGTTTTAAATAAACTACAATTGCAAATGGTGCATTTCACTGGGACACTGCCACATAGTTTGTTATTATTC